TTGTTATCAATTCGGGGACGACATTAATGAGGGGCAAAAACTGTGTAGGATATATACATAAATATTTTTTTTAATAGATTATTATTATTGTACCTGCTGCAGTTTCGTTTGTAGTAGCGACACTGCGCTATATATTACTGAATTTGTTCGGGCGTGTATAATAAAATGTTATAACACTAAGAGAATACGGTGTTATAATTTTTTTGTAGCAGTTTTTTATCGTTAGACTTTTGTGTGTGAATAGCTTTTCTATCAGAAACCCCGCTCCAATAAAGAATATGTAGGAACTTTCTTGTAGAACAACGTAAGGATCCATTTGTATATATAATTTATGTAACGGTAGTCCGTGCTTGTCGTATGAGTATCATTTTATGAAAAAAATGAAAAACAAAAAAAAAAGAAACGCGTAAACGCGGTCGGTAATTCGGCGATAAGACTGCAGCAGCCGACGACGACACGTTGGCGCCGGCAAATATTTATTCGGTATTATAATATTATACGGGGGGGTGGCCAAAAGTCAGTCTTCCGATTAACATCGCGAATAAAAAAAAAAATGATACAAAAAAAAAAACAATCAAAAGTTAGTTATTGTTCGTTTATTACGAGAAAAAAAAATGAAAAATATGAAATAGAATTGAAAAAAAAAAAAATCACAGTGGATGCTCATCGATGCGATCGATTTCCATTTTTTTTTTTGTTTTTTCGTAATGTATAAAAAGCGATTTTGAACTTTTCGAATCGTGTAAATGTGGACATCTGACTTTTGGCCATCAGGTTATGTTATGTAATACTTCGACACTATTCGATCGTGTATTATCGTTGAATTGGTATTAAACGAATGTATCGTTTTATAGATAACGTGACGGAAATAATTATTAGGGATGGGCCGATACCACTTTTTACCGATGTTCGATATTCCGATATTACGATACCCAAAAGGTAAAACCGATACCCGATATTCGAAATTTGAAATCAAAAAAAAAAAAAAAACCCACGAGGATATTCCGATATTACGATACCCAAAAGGTAAAACGGATACCCGATATTCGAAATTTGAAATCAAAAAAAAAAAAAAAAAAGACCCAACACCGATAAAGCTGATATCAGCGATATTGAGTATCGGTTTGTGTATCGACCCGTCTCTAATAATTATTATTGACAAATAAAATCTCCGAATTACGATCGAATATTTCATACGCAAATAATATTTTGCTGGAATATTGACGTGCGCGATTAATAACAATAATAATATATTCTAATGTAATCTTCTTAAAACAGTTTCGGCGGCGGTGTTAATATGTGTCCTAATGACGCAGCTGCTTTACGACCAAATTAGGCGGGTTGGTATTCGTGGCTCTTTATCATTATTGATAATTGCTGACGAAAAGGCCGGGCTTTGCACCCGATCATTTATTCGGGTTTCGGGTATTCGCGTGTTCAAACACCGGAATAAAAAATGTGAACAAACGTCTGTGTGTTAATAACTGTTATTATTCGGGTTAATATTAGTGAACACGGGTGTTCAGTAGTTTAGAATAACCATAATTTTTTATAAGGACCCCTCAAAAGTTGTTTAACCTTGGGACCCCCTCCCATTTAAAAAAATAAAAAAGTTCAATGTGAAACATATTTTATTGTACCTACTTGTATAATAACATATTAGTTCCCAAAACGAATGCGCAACAGTTTTGTGGACCAAACTCGATTAATTTCAAGTAGTTAGATTTGCTTAAGAAATTACAAGAACTAACTTGCATTGACAAATATGTTAGATTTTATTCGAATCATTTTAACTTATGTAAACCTATGTACAACGTACAATTTTCAATTCATAAATAAAAATATGATTAACTATTTGTTACTGTTTTAGTCATATGTATTACATGTTTAACTAATATTTCACCTGTAATAAAATTATTTAAAATGTTTTCAACATGCTTGAAACATTTTATTTAATGCAATTAATTGTATTAATAATTTATTTAATATTTATAGTAAAAATCTAGTTATTATTCTAAAAATAAGTATAAACACAATTTTTACAAATTATTACCTATTTCATAAATTATACACGAAACAATGTATGATTAATAATATACATAGAATCGGACCAGGGAGATGCGAAAATCTAGCGGCCCACGTATTTTTCAATAGACAAACTTGCAATAAGATCACGGCTTCTATACGATTCTGATCTATACGAATTTTAAAAAGAGTGACTCAACTAATGATTTAACTTATATATCTGTATATTAACGTATTGTTGACAATTGGTAGAAATTCGGGATCTAAGGCTTTTCAAACATGTTCTAATATTTCTTGAAAATTTATTTCCTCCAATAGATCATTCTCCACGCTCATTAACATATATGCCTATAACATTTCATTGATGGACGCAATTTACTTTTTATAATTTTTAGCTTATTGAATCTTTACTCGCAATTCATCTGACTAAAAGGCAAAGTGAGAATATATTCACACGTCAAATATAAATTGGTAAATGTTACCGAATGCATATTAAATTTAATTAATAATTTACACTATTAGCACTAATAGTAGTAATGTTAGTTGTTAACTAATAGCTTATGAGTCGGTATTTATTCTTATTAATAAACAATAAAATGTAAGATTGTTCTACACAAAATGAGATAAATAACAATATAGTTTGTATCATGGAAAGTAATTAATCATAAGAAAATATTGAAAATAAACGTACAAGTTAGATCAAAATCAAATATCACTTAGTAAATAACAAGAAAAGCAATCAATATCATATAATATCAAGTGTGAAACGTGTCTTATCTCTGTTATACAAAAAATCTCGTGTCACGGCGTTTGTGGTCGCACTCCTTCGAAACGGCTCGACCGATTTTAATGGCATTTTTTTTGTGTATCTGGTTGGTATGAGAATTGGCCGTAAAGTATTTTTCAACCTCCTACTCCCACTGACCATTTTTTAATCGTGATTTTGTATTTAAATTAGGTTTTTAGGTGTTATGAAATTATTTATTTGTATGTATTACCTTAGTAACACGGATGAAATGAAAACAAATTTAAAAAGGTTGGTCAAAACGTATCTATGGCAATTAATATAAATACAAATAATTCTAAAGATCTATGTGCCATATTAATATGCAATAAAATGTAATGTTATAAACTGTCTTTACGTAATTTCATCAGTAAGTAATACAATTTTGTCTATTTGTGTGTGTGTGTGTTACAATAAACAATAGCAGCAAGGGGGCCGATTTAAAAATGCAAAATTATCATCCGGGATGAATGCACAATGGCACAAAAACATTCTCTCGAGACGTTGAACAGAACACTCAAAGATATAAAAACAACGACAAGCTATTCGGCGGCACTCAGTTATTAATTTCAGGTGATTTCGGATAAATACTTCCCGTCATTTCACGTTCAACGTACGCCGATGAGAACGGTTGCTTGAAATCATCGCCATTGTGATGTAATATTGAACAAGTCCAGTTAAAAATAAACATGCGCGTTCAAATGCTACAAGATACATCTACTGACACATTCTCAAAACAATTGTTTGATATTGGCGATGGACAAGCGGCTGTCCGTGAAAATACTGGCTGCATAAAATTGCCCACCGATTTCTGCACAATAATTGATTCGCAAAATGATTGACCGCATATTCGCCGATGATCAACCTAACCGAAGTTACAGCAGCCGTTGCCGGACAACATGGTATCATACAAATCGATTGATACAGTTTGCCATGCCAACGAAGCTGTAAATTATCGAATAGAGTTTTTGAACTAGCTGGATTTTTCAGGACGCCACCACACCTACGACTAAAAGTTGGATCTCTGGTTGTTTTACTTCGGAATTTGAACCCGCCACGGATGTGCAATGGCACGCGATTGATTATTAAAAAATTGATGAAAAACATTATCAAAGCCACCATTTTTAATGGACAATTCTGAGGCGAAAATGTTTTACTGCCACGCATTCCAATTATTCCCACAAACGTGCAAATTGAATTTAAACACGTTTAATTTCCTATTAGATTGTCATTCGCTATGACAATCAATGCATGGCAAGGCCAAACGATGTCCGTTTGCGGCTTAGATTCTGACACATCGTGTTTTTCACACGCACAATAAATTATACACGGCATGTTCACGCATGGGCAAACCATCGAGCCTATTTGTGTTGGATAAAGATGAACTGACAAAATATATCGTACGCTCAATTACTCTTAGAAATTAATATTGATTTTCTTCATTTCATTTTTCTACTTGCGACACAACAATAGCACACTTTCAGTTTCAATTTTTTTTATATTTCACTTCCGATTTGTACTTACGTTCGATTTATTTGATAATTTATATGGCAGACAACGTTTGCCGGGTAAACTAGTAAATATATAATAATGTAATGAGATAAATTATTAGCCTACCAATGGTGGACAATTTTCTTATCAGTTCATGTAATGACACTATTTGTATCAAGGCACTCTAGTTGTTACTAAACAACCGACTATAAAACCGAACTGACCATAGTAAATACATGTAAAATGATATATCGTACGAAGATTGTAAAATACAAAATTATTCAGTTTTCAGTTAACTAGATGTTTAATTCTGGTTTTGGCAAAGTCATTCGTTTTATATAAAGGGTTTCGGGTGTTTGATTTTTTAAGGATTTAAGGTGTTACGGGTTCCGGTTAATTCGGGTGCAGAGCCCTGGAAAAAGGTGAAATACAGAAACGTAGTCTTAGTTACTAACTCTTGATTCTTTCTGGGCCTGGGTACTGTGAAGTTGTTTACAATTTCACTGAAACCGCTTCGTAGACAATAAAAAACTTCATGCCGTCACTGAGCAGTATTGATTATTCGGTTATATTTGTGTTTTGGTTACTAGGATTATTATATTATACATATGGTTTTTTTTTTTTATTTTTGTTCCAGTTTTATAAAAGAGACCGCCGCCGTCGTCAGAGATCTTGTGATTTTAATGTTCGCTAAACTATAATGAGCATATTACCGTCCACGCGCGGGAGAATTTTATTCGGAATCGGTATAGTCTACTTCCTGGCGCAATACATTTACGTCAGCTATTACAACGATCCGCGCCGCTACGACAATCTGGTTTCCACGAGCATGCAAGAAGACGTCTCGTCCACGAATTCCGCGCCAATTGCGCACCTAAACGTATCCGGCGTTCAGACCATGATGGTGAGTACAAACAATATACACGCACAAAAACGAGTCGGGAACGTATAGAATCAGCTCCACACTGAGATGTAAAATTTATCATTATGATAAATTAATTATAAAAAATACCGATAATTTAAAATGAATAAACACAAAAAAAAATCTTAAAAATACTAATGCTCTCATTTAAATAATGCAAAAACAGTAGAGGGGTTTAAATGTCCCCCTACGGCATTCCTTAAAAAATACAATTTTCAAACACTGCAAAATACGATTAACATGGAGTAATCTTTTAGATTCGAAACGAAGGCGAGGAATTTATTAGTTATACAGTGATGATTAAAGTACGGATTTTGAAGGCATTTGCTTTTTTTTCTATTGCTCTAAAACGAAGCTATGTGAACAAATTCAATTTATACTACTTAGAATAAAATGCATGGCATTTTATTTTGCTTTTTGCTTTTTTGCGGTTTTTTGTATATTTATGCTTTTTTAGGTATTTTAGGTACTTTTTTTTGGTTTTAAGTTACATTTTTTCAAAACGCGTTCTAAATAAACATATTTGATAATGTTAATATTTATTTTTATATTATATTATGTGTTCCAAGGTCATGGATAACCCAATCGATATTATGTCATGTTTGATTTATGGATATATTTATCGATATAATTTCGACAATGTGATTCACTTACCATGTGGTATATAGTAGATTAATTTATCTTGAAATGACAATAAACATAAAAATATGCTCTTGCTCTGGAAACCATCTACTCAGAATTACAGTTTAGTTTTTGTTGTAACACTGTATAGTTCGTTTTTTATGAAATTTATAATGCCTTTTTTATGTTTTTTTAGAAGATTTATACAGCTTTATTGCTTCTTTTTTTTCAGTGCTTTTCTATAATTTTTTATTACTTCAAAATCATTACTCTAGTGATGATTATTTTCTTATTCCTTTCTACCTTATTTTATTTTTAATTATGAACAATCAGAAATCATTCAGAAAGTAAACTTTACCTAGATGATATATTTTAAGAAAAACATTTTTCATTCGTTAATTTTCCAAGTGGTTTTCATAATAATTGGGAAAAAACAAAAAAAAATCGACGGAAATAAAATTTGATAAATTTTCAATACCACGATTCCTTTATTTTAAATTTTTACGGCCTATGTTTTATATTAGATATATTGCCCCAATAGAAAAAAAATAGACTCTTCTTGTTACATTTTCAATGTTGTTGGCGAGTACAAAAGTGGTTTTTTGATTTTCCGTGTAGTTTTTTTTAATAATTGAGTGAAACCGAAAAATAATTGAAGAAAGAAAGGGAAATTTTCGAAAATTATTCATAGAGACTTAAAATTAGAACAAATAACTTATATTTGCTTTTTCTAGACGTGGTAAAATTTTCAAAACAATTAAGACATTTTTAAACTATTTGTATATAAATTTTAAATTTATGAATTGTTTATGTAATTTTTATTCGGTAGTTACTTTTTGGATAAATTGTTAGACTAAACAGAAATGTTTGAAAATTTAACTGAAGTTTCATTATAAGTCGTAATTTATAGGAAAAGGAAAAAAAGACGGACATACTTCGCACGATCGGTGGACAATTCTTTAGGTGAGGAATTGGGAAGGTAGGATATAGGAAGGGAATGTAATGTATATCTCTATGCAATGATTAATCATACGATTCTGGGAACAGTTCGGTTATATATGTTTTAAAAAGCCGTAATTTTTTAGGATTGTCGCCAAAAAATGAGATTCAAATTCGTGGATATATATAAAAAAAAAATACTACATTAAACTCACATTTTTCTTCTTGACCACTATAAGTACAATTACAATGTACCTACTGTTAAATTTTCAACCATTCTGCTTGGTCTAACAATTTTATCTACAGAATACCTACTAAATATAAATTACGTAAACACCAAATTAAAAAATTTGACCACGTCTAAAAAAGACAAACATTAGTTTTCTGTCGAAATTACAATTCTCTACGAATATTTTTAACTGAATTAAAACAAAATGGAAAATATTAAAATCATTATTTTCGTACAATTTTTCGATTTTTCCTAATTATTTTTAAGACGGCTTGGAAAATCAAAAAAATAGCCTACTTCTTAAACAAATAGATCCGAAATTCAATAAAAAGGACACTTGTCAATTTTCGATTAGATCAATTTTTCTATTTGAAATATTGTTAAAACAAAAAACCTAAAATCATAGTATAAAACCAATATATCACTCCAATATATCCCAATATTCCGCCTCTGATCTAAAATTGTTTTTTCCATTGACCTCGTATTAGGGCATTTTCGAGCATTTATCAAGTACTTTATAGATAGCTGTTCAGTTGGTACGACATGCTGTTCTTTTCACAAAATAAATGCGCGTAAATAACCAAAATTACACATTTTTTTTTCATCCGTTTTACTGAGGTAATTGTTTAGAATTACACAAAATTACAAAACTGAAATTTTCGAACTATAAGGCCAACAATTCAGTGTCAACTGCACCATAATAACATTGTATTCCGCATAAAATAAACTCTCAGAGTCTAAGATAATTACAACGGAATATGACGAGCACATACTACGAGGTATGGCTATTAAATAACGAGACTGGTTACGAAAAAGTGTTTTATTATAAAAGTTATTACTCGTTTTTTTCACTACCCGTCTAGGGCGCTCTCTAGGCGAGCAGTCTCGTTATTTAATAGTCACACCTCCTATGTATTATAATATCGTTATTCTTCTACTCCTTCTAGATTACCTAAGTTTGAAAATGTGAACGCAAATATTGTTTATCCGGACGACAAAGTTTTAATTTATATTTTCATTGGAACGAAAAAAAAAAAAAAAAAAAACTTTTAATTACTTATTTATTAAAATGTTTTCCTCTCTATTATACTTATGCTCCCATCACTTGACCCTCTTTTTTTCTGCAGCCAGCCTATTGTAGTATCTTAAAATAATATGAAAGTTTTTCGTTTTCAAACATAAGGATGAAGCGCAATCGACAGAACGCCGGGGCAGGTATACACGTTCGGGGGATAAAGTATCTGAAAGTTTCTCCGGCCAGCGGTTGTAGAGTTTGCAAGTATTATACCTACGCAGTGTTTTCAATTCGATTAAAATTCGTATAAGACACGTATTAGATCTTCGTCTGTTATTATTTTCTGCGTTTCGGTGAATACGTACGTTGAAAAATAATTGATTATCGGCACAATCGCTTCGGGTCAAACGATCGTTATCCAATTTGTAAAAGAGGTTTAAACAAGCAAAACGGTAGAAAAAAAAAAAAAAGAATCATTATATACGTTTCTGTTGTTTTCGTTTAATCAAATTTAAATCAATTAATTAAAACTACAAAATGTTTCAATTTCAAACTTTGTGTGCGAGCAAACATATAAATGTAGGTTTTTTAACGAAACATTACTATTTTAAATCATTTACACCGATATGTTTATGATGTTTTGTCATACAGCCTACAACACAATTAAACTAAACATTTTTAGTTTGTTTTTCATTAACAACAGCGGTTTTTTCGGTTCGCGTTATCGTATTATTATTCATCGAACAGTATATTTCCGCGATCGTGTTAGAAAATTGATAAACGTTTATTATAATTGTTAATAGTTGTTCGACTTATGGTCGGGAACGATAGTTTTGCGAATGCCAATCATCTCGAGTGTTAAATATTGTAACCTGCAATTTATAAAAGTCCTCGTAATGTGTCGGAATTCGGAAATTCGTTTTAAAAATAATGTTCTTTACTATTGCTTTTTTTTTCGCTCGCCATACGGAAAGTTCGTTCGATTTTTCAAGTCTGCGTTTTAAATGGGGGTGAGTGAAAAAATAGGTCGTTTTTATTGAAAGAAAAAAATAATGTTTTTTTTTTTTTTTTTTTAAATGCATGTTTCTCTCCGTAATAATTATTACAGCGCGAATAATATTATAACGTCTCGTTTTTAGCAAATCCGGCACGTTTTTCGAGTACTGTTTTTGACGTGTATTATGGGTATAAAATATTATTACGTAAAATACCGCGTGTCGGGTTGCTGCAGACATTTCTATTCACTGCGCTGGCCTTCAATGCCGCCTGCTGGTCCGGTGTCATTTCCGTTTTAGGGCGATGTAAAAAATAGTATTTGCGACGACGACGACGTGCAAGACGGCGAAGTTTACGCGTCGTTCGTCGGTCGGAAATTGGCTATTTTTCCGACTGCTCCACGGGCATCGAAAATTGATGAGCTTTTCTCCGTGGGTACATATAGAACGGCACGCAGACGCGACGAAGCAATAACTATCTACGTGGGCGTTACGTACGATTTTTACGTTTTTCAACGTTTTACGTAAACGTTACAACTGTAAATTCTTTAGTAAAACAATTTGTTTGTTACTATTAAATAAATATATACGCATCAAAAGCTGCATTAATAAAGTCAAGAGCCTTGAGAAAAATACTTAGCTTTTGAGTTAACGAACTAATTGAATTCCGAAATTTATGTTTATTGAATACACATTATTTTTATTTTTTTTTTTTGAAAAAGTACAATAGATATTGTATTACTATCGTAGCTTTGGGTTATTGCTTGTCTTATGGACAATAATATTTGCATGATAAAAAAATATATAGTAGAAAATAACACACTATAGTGAAAGAGGTCTACTGCTCACGAGTGTCATTTTTTTAAAATTTTTATTTATGTTACGAATTAGACAGGTGGACGTGTTGACCAATTGTCATCGTATTTTTATTATTTGTATTAATAGTAATTGAAGATAATAATACTTAGGTAGGTAATTAATTAGATAGTTACATTTTAGTATTGCTAAAATTTAAATTATTATTTTGATTATAATATGTTAGAAGCAGCCGGTATATTAGGTTGAGGGCAACTGGTTAGATTTTACTCTAGGTAGTTTGGGGGCCAATTGGTAAAAAAAAAAAAAGTTCTTTTGAGGGCAATTATTAGTACATGCCAGTCCATGTACTTTGTGGCTTGGTTAATGATTTTATATATTTACAATAGTAAACGCATTTAACTAATTAAATTAAAAACGTTAATTATTTTTAGGTAAAAAAAATTCGTATATTCTTTTTTTTTTTTCTTTAGATTTAGAGCGTATTTTTTTGTAATGTTTATCACACTTTAGGTAGGTAATAGTTTACTTTTTAATTATACCTATACCCACCATAGTTGTGGGCGCCTACCTGCTTACTAATGAATTTATGAACGACTTAACCTACATTTTGATCACGGGTGGATGGGGATGGATACGGATCTGAAAAAAAAAAAATCGGTATTGATTAGTAACTGCAGAAGGATGTGTTCAAAATATTTTCATAAAAGCTATTCAATAATATTATACTAATAGGAGCTATGCTGATAGGAATATAATATTATTCATATTCTACAATTTAAACAGAAAAAATCGTTTCCACGAAATTATTAATGATGTTAAAAATGGTTTTATTTTTTCATAAAAACTAACAACAAAATCTTTTCGTATATTAATATTAATAAAAATCATATTATAGGTATGAAATGTGCGAGTCTTAAAACAAATAATGTAATATATTATATTAATTTACCAGCCGAATGTAATACACAAAAATAATAATAGTTGTTAAATATTAATCTTGTTTCAATTAAAAAACCACACGGGACCTTTTTTGATGCATTTTGAATCTAGATAGTAATATCTAAGTCATTTTTTTTATTTCCCGAGTAGTTTTCCTAATAATTGGTCAATAAATCGGGAAAAATCTGAAAGTATACGGAATAATAACAGTTTCATTATTTTAAATTTTGTTATAATTCGGTTAAAAATATTCGTAGAGATCTGAAATTTCCACAGAATATTTGTATTGGAGTTTTCCAATGCAAAGGTAAACAAGGTTTAGACATTTGGACAATTTTTGAATTATTTGTAAGCAATATTTTGAGTTTTTTTTGTAATTTTGTTTTGGTAGGTATTATTATGGATACAAATATTTGATCAAACATAAATGATTTAAAATTTAACTCGAGATTCATTATTAGTTGTATTAGTCATCAAGAACAAAATTGAGGGTAATATATAAATTATATATTTTTTTACAAGCTTTTTAAGATATATTTTGACGGCTTTTCAAATCATGTGTAAATAAACTTTACTCATAATCGTTCTTCGTTAGCAATGATTTATCGTTGTTTACAGACATAAATGAAATACATTTATGTATCCTACTCTTTTAACTTCACACATACGACAGTTGCACACTCGTCCCCAAGATCTGCTTTTTTAAAATTATTCCTTATATCGTATCTAATAACAAATATATGGATATTATACTATATAACCTAAAGTTGAATTTGTCTGATGTAAAATAAGACTAATGTGAACTCTAGGATTCATTAAGTGGACACGTTATTCTTTTCAAGACTATCTAGCATTATAATCCCTATACTGTTCGTTAATTCGGTTTAACCTGGAGCGTTCTCTTTTAATCTGGATTAACAATACGACAAAACAAACCAAATCTATTGAATCAGTACAACATTGTTTTTTAGTATTTATTGCAATCAAATTTGATATCTTTAGTGCTATACACTATAGTTCATATACTAATGTGTTAAACTTCCTTAAACTCATTTAATGAAAAACAGTTTCGTATCAACTTACTTTTACCCATACATACATAACATCGTAATCATATACCTATGACATCACTCTTATCACATACTATATCTACTGGTATACTTATTTCGTGATCATATTCCTGTGATTATTAAATATTTTTTTTTTTTTTTTTATATCCAAATCCTGTGTTATATTTATAAGACGGTCGTCCAACCACGATCACGATCCCACACACGACCAATATATACCAACACACACATACACACAACCAACAAAAAAAACAACTGAGAGAGATACGAGTAGTTTAACCTCACTTTGAGACCCATGTACATGGTTGTATATGGGTGAGTGGTCGTTTTTTATTCCTGAAAAACATGCTAAACTGACCTAAACAAACCTATACTTAACTAACCTAATATTGCATTTTGTATAAACCTAGGCTTAACCTAAGCTCTTGGGTATAAAAGGTGTTATTTATTTAAAACATAGAATTGTTGAAATTAAAAACCAAACCTATAATAAACTAACCTGACATTATGTTTTGCATTTTTTAACCTTACCTATGGTTTCCAATAGGAGGAACTAGAATGGTTATAATATTATGTAATGCACATGCTTGTATTGCTCCTAATATATGTCGATGGTTACCGAAGATGCTTGATGGTTGTAAAATAACCGATCTTGTAAATTGCGAAGGACCAAACAGTATATTAGTTAAAAAAGAAATATGCGGATTATTATTAATCTATTTACGAGGTCAATTTTTTAAATTCCGTTTCTGCTCGACACGGAGTATAAGCAAAATTACCTTATTGTTTTGATACTACAAACAAGATGGACCAACGAATTATACTAGTCATTGGAATGGAATATTTGGACATTATAAATAAAAAATATAAAAATCCTATAGTTATTCCATACAAAGTGGAACAGACAGATGTTAAATTGGACGTTTTGTTAAAAGAACTTCCAGAAATTTTAGCACAGCTTCGAATGAAAAATTACTAAAATAATAATCTTATGGATTTAGGCATTACGCAAAATTATGTAGACGTATTTAACAAAACGGAAATGGCTCGTTGTCTAACAATCACAATTTTTGTAACCAAGGAGGAGAGTACGAAGATAGCAGAAATATAATTGGAGGTAATAACAAATCAGTTGGTGTAGATTATTTAACATGGTTAAATTCAAATGCCAGAGTTAAAATTTATAGTAAATTAGTGTGTCAAATTGCCGGTTCTGAAGTTAACAAACAGATCGGTAACCATATTATCTATCGACTTTATCAACTATCCAGATATACGTCTAAAGGAAACATTTTCTTCTAATCCAGCAAGAGAGCATGGCATAGCAAGATTGGAGGCGACAATATATAACTATACTGTTGGAGATTATTATAAGATAGGGGGCGTATTTAAACTACTGAAAGATTGTTGAAAAATAGTAAAACGTATTTCCAAGATGCGCCATTTTATTCGGTGTTGATTGTTAAAATGTGGACAAAATATGACAGAGAGTTTAAAGAATAGCTATTGCGGTGTGTTTAATTATTGTACACATATTGAGGTAATTTAAATATAAACAAATTAATTGGAATACAAATTAAATTATCCAATAATCGAGAACAAAGGGGTGAGATCATAAAACATACTCTTTCTGCGTATAGTTTTAACTGTTTACCTATAAACTGTATAGAAGTCGTGGAGGACGAAGCAAACAAAAAAAAACATTAATAAGAACAATTGTACAAACATTTTATATTAAAGCTGGCGAAATGTTTTTCTCCAGATCCGGGACTAGTTTCTCCACCATTTCGAAGGAAGTAAATATCGAGGACACTGGTTTGATCAAAACTAACTATGTTTTTTCCAGATTCTAAGGAAAAGATCTAACATAACCAATAAACTGTCTCTGTATACAATAAAAGAAATAGACCCACTCTCGTCTGTATACGTAAAAACTGCGGAAAAACGAAAATTAGAATTGGAAAAAATAAATACGAAAAAAGAAAAATAAACTGTTTGTCAAAGACAATCTCCAAAGTGTATACTTCTTAAAAGGTTTTTTTTAATAATAATAAATTTGTTTATAAATATTTACAACACCAGAGAAAAACTTTAAGAAGAACGTTAGAAGATACGTTTTAATTTCATTTAAAGAAATGGAATTAATAGTCCTCCCGACAGAATAAACTATTATAAAATTTAATACTAATGGAGTAATTACATTTAATGGCAATTTGTTCGCAATGGTAGAAAATGTTCAATTTTTCTCGGATACATTACGAGACACCTTTTAATCAAAACGATAAACAACAAGTCGAAGAAATAACCATGTAAGAAATAAAAATCGATGTTAAAGTTACACAGTTTCGGCGTTTGAAGAAATACCGGACAAATCGGGATTAGTCATAATTGAAATCAAACAAATACGTTAGAGAAACAATTTATGTATAAGTTACATTATGTATTACAGTTAGATAACCTGATTTCATTGTGTGTGTAAAATTTCTGATTGGAGAAAGAAACGTCAGATGTTAGTATAGATTTAAATTATAAGATAAACCAAAAAAGGTATGTATGCTGATAAGCCTGAAATCGATATTAAATCACTGAATGAAAAATTAGACAATCTAATAAATCAATTTTCTTTAATTGCGACCACTGTAGATGTAGTGTATGTAACAAGTTATTAATAAGTTTATCACTGGATTAGGATCCATTTTTGATCTAGAATACAGAATATTGAAACGTTTACACCAATGAAAATACCGCCTTCATCAAACAATGCAGAGTCCACCGAACCGATGGAAAATAAAATAAAAAACGATTACAAATTCGACACCTGTCGATACACCTAACAATGATTAAGAATATCATCGAATAGAGGATTACGTAGAATAAATATTTGACGTATAGTACTACTAACGAATCTACCATCCAAATTCAGTTCAAACAGATTCGTTGTGTGTGAAAGACGTGTTTAACAACGTCTTCCGTTATTTTAGATATTCAATGCGTTTTACGGTCGGATGACATATATCTGATAAAAAAAAACGTCTACAGTCAACACAAATACGTGGGCAACTCAACATCGGATATTCAAACATTCGCCAGCCGCTTAAAATTTTAAAAGCTCCATGACTAATAAGTGACTTGAACGTAATATCCATCAAATGGCGTTAAAGTTTGGGAATCGGAGCGGATATCGAATTCACTAAAATTTGAACGCCTTTACGTTAAGGGAGAACAGAATTAGCGACAATTAATGAACGATATTATTCCACTAGTTGACGTCATTAATATGGAGATCATGGAGTGTCCACGACTAGACTAATTATGCACCGACGACAATTTACTATGTTGTATTTTTCATATAGATTCGAATCCGAAACAATGTACATTTTACAAAGTGTTCGCCTTACGAAAACGCTTAATTAATAACTCGTAATGTTTTTAATATTTTTATAAATATAAGAATAGATATTATGTGACCTTAGATGTGTGTGTGAATATTTTGACTAAATTTAACAATTTGTTTTTATTTAATATCATATGTGTGTTTAAAAATTTCAACAGCATTTTATTAACAAAGTGTATGAGTGTGTGTTGGTAAGTATATGCGAAAGATATGGGTCGTTATCGGCCTTTGTACCCACATGTGCGCGGAGACACGCCCGAATGCTGCTATTATATTTCGTATAGGCATGCGATTATAAAAATGTTTTGTTCGCAACGGAGGGTACGGGTAGAGGGTCAGCGGGGGACGCGAGAGCGCTCGCGGAGGTCCTATAGGTAATCGACAGTGGGTAGATGGGCGGGGGAGAGATGGGACGTTATAGACTCCAGGGCTGATGGGTTCGCACCGGTTCGTCGTCGTCGTCGTCGTCGGTTTTGATTCGCATAGGTAAAGTATCGTCTTGACGTCGGCGACCGACAGTAGACAGAGGTTATGCGGGGCGACGCGAGCGCGCGGGCTGCCGCGGAATAATCACGACCTTTGTGCCCGCATGTGCGCGGACTCGCGCGTAACGGCGACACCAATGATTATATTTCATACCCATACGTTGCATTGTTGTTAAAAATGCTCGTATCTTTGCACCGTGCGACGAGCATAAGCAATACTTATAAAATACTATTTTCGAATAGAGGTACCCGAGATCGGTACATAGTATGATAATCCCGTCATCTATGGAAACGATTTTACACGTAGGTACTCTAATAATATTACGAAACCGATGTGTCGTACGATGCACCGATGAATCGTTTGATGAATCGTGTTAAATTCAATCAGTATTAAAAACGGTGATACAAAATATTGTTATCGATGCCCATGTATATTGTATTATTCGCTTAAAAAATACACTGGTTGGTGATACAGGTATATGGTACTATTATTATCGACGAAAATATTGTTTTCGGGGACGATCGTGTAGGTATTACGGCGATAGCGTGTAGGAAAATGTGTATGTGTATATGTATGTGTATACGTATATGTGTATGTGTGTAGGTAGATATGGGTTGTGTATGTGACCGTGATCGTGGCTTCCGAATTTGCGACTAATATGAAAAAAAATATATTAAAAGTGGTCGGTAATATTTGTGCATGATCGTGATTGTAGTTGGATGATCATGTTATAGGTATAGCACAGGATTAAAAAAAAAAAAATATTTAATAATTACAGGTATATGATAACGAAATAAGTATAACAGTAGGTATAGTGTGTGATAAGAATGATACAGTAGGTACATGATTTCGATGTTGATGTATGTATGTGATAACAGTAAGTATAGATAGGAGTAATTCGAGTAAGTAGCTGATAATATAGACGTAAAATTATTTGGACGTGCTCAAAATAGGTCGAGTACGTGGTGCGTATGTAGAAAATGTTTGAAAAAAAATATTTTGAAGAAAGGTGGGTGGGAGGAAATATAGGTCGATGAAGAGGTGGACAAAGTATAGCATCAACTTAGGCTCAGAATTGGCTTAGGATCGGCTTAAGATTTGAGCAAGATTAAAGCAGGAACCCGCACAAGACCGTGGTTGGGCGGCCATATTATAGGTATAGCTCCCGCACAAGAATGATCGTGCTCCTGCTCCTGCTCCTGAGTTATAACCGGCCTTTTCATACTACTAAGGTCCTTGGTTATAATTGTATTGATTATTCTATATTTAATAGGTGTTCCATATTTATTTATAATTATTATGTTACCTTTTGCTGTGATTATGTTACTATACAATTTCAATCATTTGCATTTATGGATCTGAAGCTCATTTGAGATGAACTCATAATATAGGCACTTAAAAACACCATAACTAAAAAGACGAATTTCGGTAGAGGGAGTTCAACACTTGTTTAATTTACCATGCAATCATGTTTTGTGAGTCCAAACGTGCGTCATAGGACGGGCCCCTCTTCGTCCGTTTGGTATGGTCTTGGGTACTTACATTATTCATTTAAGAATTTCGAAAAAAAAAAAAAAATGATAAAACGTCACCCTGCCTTCAAATCCACCACTAAGTATTTATCTTGTATAGTATTAAATGTCTAGAATTTGAAGTAAACCGTCAGGGTTTTGCGTCATTCCGCGGAAGTTTAAAATAAGTTTGTTATGGTACATATAATCAAACGTTACGGCTATAACGTATATACGATTAAGTATGTTAAGTGCTCGTGTGTGCGGATTGTTTGTATATTATTGTGCCGTTAAACTTACGGTTAACAATTTTCGCAGCGGTAAAGTTATATCGATCGCGTTAGTATGTTATGGAGTAAATAATATCTTGCATAGGTATACGGTCTAGATAACTGATCGCCGGAAACCGTACCTGTAGCTGAAATGAAGTAAAATTGTATGCCATACATACATACTACTACTACTACTACTGCATAATATTATGTTGGTATTCAAAGAAAACCACGCGGCGCATTATGTTTTTAATTATAGATTCTGAGTGCAGCGAAGCTTAAATTATTTCAGTAAGATGTGGGTTTATCACTCAGAAAACACTTTTTAGATAAGTAAAAACGATCACATTGTTCACGCTGTGCCTCAAAAGATATGGTAATTCCTACCAGCAGTACTTAGTTTTAATAATTTTTCTAGATTTCCAACGGTTTTTCGAAAAAATCTAATAGAAAATGACACGACTAATACAATATCGTTCGTTTACCAGTTTAACGAGCTCAGCTCAGAATCGTTTTTTTGATAGTGGTATTATTGATTTTAGTAAATAAACTAAATTACCCAATTTTATACTATTCCATCCCGATTTTCTACCTATAACAGCACCCATGATGCGTAGTATATCCAGTTTATACAATTATTATTGATATACATTAAAATATGACGATTAAACATTCTTCTGTTCGGGTATTTTTAAGTGTCTGGTTAGAAACTTAAAATGTTCCATTTAACTTGTACTACTAAGTCACATTTATATCTGACCGTACTCGTTTAATTGTAGACAATTATTATTCTACAGAAAAAAAAATGAATAAAACTTGAACAATAACGTTGAAAAATTAAGTTATACAATTGTTGTTTTGTTTTGTTTGTTTTTTTTTTTTTTTTTTTTGTGTGTCCTTTAGCATTTTTGTTCGTATAATAAAGTAAATCTTTCTGAATATTATTTATGTAAGAAAAAACCTCTTTTTAACCGTTGGATTTCTGAACCGTGAACATTATGGTACTTTCCGTTAATTCGTAGATTACCTATGAATTACTGAATTGATTAAAAATAACCAAGTGCTTAATACTCGTGTTCGGTTTTACAATTATTATTTATTTGTATCGATATTATGTAAACTCTGCTGTGTACACCGTTGTTTTAATATGAACATAGATATATTTTACATGTTTGTGTTGCACAGTTAACGCATAACCGTATAGTATTATATAATATTGGTATTAATAAAACAAACATTGGGAATGAAAAAAAAAAATCAGAAGTTTTTGTTGTTTTGAAAAAAAGTACCTAGCTAAAAACTGTTAATGCAATATATTTCATGAAACGCTTGTATGAACACAGCGTTCATAATAATATTATACAAAAAAAAAAAAAAAAAAAAAAAAAAAAAAAAAAAAATGAAAAAAAAGAGAAGGTTATTGTTGTTTCTCGAATCAGGACAATCATAAAATAATATCGCGATCAATTTTATTAAAAAACAAAATGTTTTTGTTTTTTTTTTTTCAATATAATTTTCTCGATAGAAGTACGAGGAATAAATTCGAAAATACACTTTTCTAATTTGCTGTTTGTATTTATTTTTCCACTCATTGATTTGAATCATTTTATTTTATTTCTGTGTAGAATACTGATTATCCAATATATATAGTATTTTATTCTCCTTTTTTTTTTTTACTATCGTAAATAGCACTTAAAATTTCATTTAAAAATATGATACGAGCTTGAAGGTCACTAATATATAGCCACTCAAATTATTAAGTTTAATTTCCTAAAAATATTCTTAAGTATAATTGTTGATCAGATTGTTATTACTTTAATACATTTACACTGATCGGTTGGAGAAAAATAATAGATACCTCTTTGTTTGAATTGATGTGTACATGTGTATGCGTGTGTGTGTGTGTGTGTGTGTGTGTGTGCTTTTATGGACAAATTAATGTGAAATGCGAAAGTTAAAGTTAAAGAGCATTTGTGGAATGTTCATACACGGACCTTTTTATAATTAAATTAAAAACTAAATGCACGTGATTTATACTTCAGGGCATTAACTGTTTCTAAAGTTACTATAATATTTTTCGATAAAACTATGTTGCAGTAATTCTGTACCTATTGCATGTATGCAAATAATAATTTAAAAAAATAAGAAAAAAAAAATAATCTATACCGGAAATCGGCGTAACCAGGGGCGGAAACCGGTTAATAGATCATTTTAACGATTTATCTTAACCGATTACCAATTACCGGTTTTAAAAACCAAAACCAAAACCGCAAATTTTATTTTGGTTTCAGGCCCTGGTTTATTTATTTAACGTAAGTTAATACCTATTATATTGTTTATGAAAGTTATTATTTTATAATTTTATTTTAATAGAACTAAAAAGGCATAAGTTACAATTGTCTTTATGTTATTTCAAATCTACTAATTGTTATTAATTAGTAAATAATAGACTCGAGATTTTTTTTGATATTATAAATTATTTGTATCTAGTAGAAAAAATTATGATGTGTAGTCAAGTATAAACCCAAATGAAAAGGTATTGTATTAAAAGTTAAGCATTCTTTTTTTTATACATAAAAACCGATGTATGAGTGGTTAAGAAAAAACGTTAATAGTTAACCAGTTTTAAAAATCGAAGACTTTTATATTGATTATCATAACCGGTGAACAAAACCGTCAATATAAAAAATCGGGTTTTAATAAATGCTTATAAATAGATCGAAATCGATCGAATCTTTTGAACATTTTATAGAAAACGATAAAATAATAAATATTCAGTTAGTGGTTATATTATATGTTTTTATATTTTATTACAGGTAAATAATAATAATAATGATATCCAAAATAAGCAAATGCAAGATAAACGTCTACTCGCACTGTGTCCTCAAACTCCGCCCGGCTTGAGTAAGTTTACATGATTTGTATGGATTTCTTTTTTTTTTTTTCAGTGTGAAACGAGTTGAATCATCAGATCAATTGAAATATTAGTTTGAAACGCAAAAGAGTAATAAATGATGCAATCGCTTGTGCGCACGTAGACACGTAAAAGTTTAATTCATCAAACAACGACGTAAAAAATGTGCTAATTTAACCGTATGAATTAGTCACGTCAATTAAGACGAAATTTCAATTTCAATACACTCGTTAAATATATATAAATATTGAACGTTGATGTTATTTTTCAATTCATATACATTATAAATTACGAGTTTTAAAATGATAACGTAATATCTTCTTACTTTTTCTTCTACTTTCCTTTACTGGCATACCCAGTATACTGTTAAAGACTTTTTCCGTTATAATTCCGTTATATTCGGTACGCTTCGTCGTTTATAACTTCAACTTTTCGTTTTACAACTCTCAAACATTTTAAATCTTCTTCATCCCTCCGTCAACCCATCTTTCTCACTGTCTCTATAGATATCTTCTTTCTTAGGATTCTCATTTGATTGCTGCCGTAGTTGTTCCGTTTTATCCTCCCTTCATTAAATGACGTATTATTTAACCGTTGTGCCCTTTGGCACTTAACAAAACTTGCCACTGGTGTTAGTGCCACCACACCGTACAACTCTCCGTTCAATCTCCTTCACCAGTCTCCAGTCGCTTCATCGAGAGAGGGGTTCACACATTTTCCTTTGTACTTTATGCTCGAATGTTTTCGATCTTTTTCTTTTCAAGCCTCGCAACCGCAAATGAAAGTTCCGTATCTAATCTCAGACGCGTTAGAGGTATTTAATCATCTTTATTAACTCAAACTTTTATTTTTCCTTCTGGAGAACGTGAGAGACATTAAATATAATTATTGATGATCGAATCGAATACGTTCTAGTTGAAAACGTGACTATGGAAAATATAATTTGTTTGGTTTTTTTTTTTTAACGCCCTTTTTCGTTGAATCGATAGTCAGTAAAAAGATAAAAACTGTCATTCCCGTTTCCGAATATATAACGAGATTATGTAATATTAGTGGTATAAAATTGATCGGTGTTAATAATAATAATATTTTTCGCATTCATAGTGACGTAGGTACACTTAATTACCTACCAATAATATTTTTAGATTCACCGGAAGCAACGAAATTTTATTATTTTTCTCCTCTTCAATTCCCTTATAGCCGCCCGAAAACGTGCACCTCCGTCGAAACTTTTGTTGTTCAACAACAAATATTGGTGTTTTTAACAAATAACCTTCGCTTCTGTGCTGCAATGTTCTACATTATTATAAATTCGTTATTAAAAAAGTCACAAAGAACGGAATTATTATGGAACCTTACGCTCGCCTACGCCATCATGCCGCCACCGTAAAATAGATCACGAGAACCGTGTGTTTCGTATTTGAATTATTACGGTTTTAAAACTACGTAAGGGGAAATAAAACCCACAAGTGACAAGGAAAAAAAAATGTACATTTGAGAACATCATGATATTTCCCGTGTATTTTGTTACGCCCTAGCTGTTGGGAATTGGACCACCACCGGTGCAACACCCACGTAAATATTACTTATTTATTTTTCCCAACGTGTTGGTGTACATAATATATCATGAAGTAAGCACATTCCTTTGCGTTAGTTCGTTTGTCATACAAAAAAAAAAAAAAAAAAAAAAATTATAATATTAAAATAAAAAAATTACCAGTACTCGGTAACAGTAATATAATATAAGTACAAAAAAAAATGACAATTGAAAATACTAAACTATTGGTGATAAAAATTAAAAAATGTCAGTATCGTAGTAGAAATAGTATAAAATTTAAAAAAAATCACATAATATTATCAATGCGTTTTCGGATAAAAAAAAAAAAAAACGGAAGTACCACCAATATAAAGATCCACAATGTTTAAAATACGATGCGAATAATTTTTAAAGCGTTTTTATACTAACCGGAAAAGTGTTTCTCAAGAAAAAAACTAAAAAAAAATAGGAACGAAATGGGATGAACTGTTGAACGTTTTGAAAATTATTCACCGTACGAGAATTCAGCATCTTTTAATGTACTGCGTGAAAAAGTCTGAGTGTTTTTGCTCACCCGAAAAATGTTTTCCGAGAAAAAAAAAACCGTAATATTAGCAAACCGATTATTACATTAAATTTGATTAAAAAGCCAATATTATTATTTTTTTTTATTTCATATATACGTTCGATTGTTTAGTTTTGTGAAATAAAATATTTATTTTTCCGGTTTTGTCCGGTCTATTACATACATTCAAAACCGTCGCGGACAATTTTATCGCATACGGCTGCAGCAATTGCAACGATAAGTTCTTTACGAATTTCGAAAAATATTGAATTTAACGTATCTACTCGAACCTAATTAAAAAAAAAAAAAAAAAAAAAAAAAAACTATGCGCCTGTATCGAGTATTTATGTGAAAATTGAATCTATAAGACACGGAAACCACGCCTACACTATACGCGAGCGATATTATAATACCGTATAGCTGACCCGGCAATGCTACCGCTAGATTAAACAGCGTGAATGTAATATTAATAATACAAATAATAATAATGGTTTTCTTGTCCTTGGCGAACAAATCGTCATTCGTGTCGCCGAGGTAACGCATAAACAAACAAAAAAAAAAAAAATCAATAAACAATTAGATATTTTTTTTAGAAAATTCATTAAAACCCTATGTGATCACCTCGGGGGTTGAATTTTCCAACAACCTTTCCTAGCGAACGCCTACGTCATAATAGCTATCTGTATGGCAAATTTCAGCGCCGATCCATCCGGCGGTTTGCGGGCTAGGCAATGGCCAATCGGTCGGTCGGTCGGTCGAGACATGTTTTTATACAGTGTGGTACATAAGTGAGGCGGTCTGAGTGGTTCGAACAATGCGTGTACGTTTCTCTACAGCTCCCCTCCGTCTCGTTGCGATTGGATTTTTCCACTGTTTATTTATTCATTTATTATTATTATTTTAGATTCAGCGAGGAATGCATTGGTTTTACAACGATTTTTTTTTTCCGCGGACAACTTTTCTACCAGCAATTTCGCTCCGATTTACAAATCTGAAATAAAATCCGACTGCGGCGGTACTTTAAGGCGGTCGTTTTTTCGATTTGTCCAGGAGTTTTTCCAACAAATGGGAAAACCGGGACAATAGGTGCAACATCAAACGAATATTATTCAAGAAAATTTATAATGCGTATGCAATTATTTTACCATAGCGTGGCATATATATTGTTGAAAAAGCGACACTATCAACCGAACTCCGCTCTGAATCGTTTTTTTCGTTAGCAGTGGTTTATTGTTGCTTACAGGTATACACTAAATTTCTCTTCTACTACCTTCCCAGCTTCTCATCGCAATAACAGTGGCTGCACCCTGATATTCTAACACAGTTTTCTTTTGTTGATGATAACATTTTCGACGGAATTTTCGCGGGTCCTACTACGGCATTTTTACGGATTTCGTTTCCATCGTGAAAATAAATCTTGCGTTTCTTATATGTATACATAATATATTATGGCGCAACGGTTAGGAGGTGGAAGGAACGTTCCCAAGGTGGGTGAAAAACATGTTTTAATTTCCGGTGCCAATATTATTGAGAAGAATTCGTCTGACTTTTGCGCTACAGTAAGTCACTAAATTTTCGCGATTTTCCGAACTCGACCGCGAAAATCAATTATAACGATTTAGCCCGTTACTACTTTGCGGCAGATAGAACCGAAACGTTTTACCAGTTACCTTGTAATTCGGTTAAAAGTAACCGCAAAGACCTGCCATTTTCACATAACAATTATATTAGCAATTTCTTGGGGGGTAAACATTTTTAATTATCAAAAAGGCACTTGATACCAATATTTTTTTTTCGATTTTATGCTATTGTTTGAACATTTAAAACGAGATTTATAACAAGTATGCTCTCGGTGGAAAAACAAATATTTGAGCGTAATTTATTATTATTATTATTTTATTTTTTTTATGATAATTGGAATAGTAAATATAACAGTACTTCGCGTATTATTTTTAGAATTTTATTTTAGGAGTAACTACAAAAAAAAAAAAAAATTCATCCTTACGCAGTCCTTTAAATAATTTTTTCTAAATATTTTTCGTTACCTATGCGAATTCATTGTGTGTAGTATTTGTTTTGTTCATGGGTAATATTATTACGACAACTCGTTCGATTCAACTTTTAAAAAGTAATGGGCCGGCAGTGTCCATAACTGCACTTTTCATAGTATACACTTGTTTTATAACTTTTATATGTCAGAGTAGTATAGGTACCTTCATATTTTATTCCTGAACAATGCACAAAACTTTAACGTGTTTGGTATAGTAACTTGTTTACGCTCCTCTTTTGTGTTTTCACTTAATTTCTCCTCGGAGTCATGCGATTTGCCCTTTTTTTTTTTTTGTTAACTTAAAATAAAAATACCTACTTCAATAGTTTTCTAACTATAAATATATGGCTATACGTTTTAATAAATTTTCAAAGGACAATAAAGCTCTCGTTTTTTGTTATTTACTTAAAAATAATGTCAAAACCATAATAATATTATACACGTCGAATAAAGGGAATTTTATTTTGTAAATTTTCTTTGTTTCTTTAATTTACTGTTATGTATTATTTTGACGTTTTTTGTGTATGGTATTTTAATGAACATAATAGTAGGTAGTCCATTAGAAAAAAGTAAATTGAAAAAAAACGGACGGACCTACTTCATATCATAGGTGAACCTCTGTTATTGTAGGTGAGAAGTTGGGAAGGTTGAATATAGAGACGAATTTTATTTATATCTGTGCGTAATGATTAATCGTTGATGGCGAAAAACGATTCTGAGTGAAACTCGGTCAATAGTACTGCTTTTTCAACAATGAGCGTTTTCACGACAACAACGATTGTTTAAACAAGGTGAAAAGATTAAAATAATAAAAACCTAATAATAACAAAAAAAAAAAAAATAAAAAACTAAACAAAAACGGTGACCATGACAACCTTATCTTTAATAGTTTTTAATCTAAAGAACCAGTTTTCTAAAGTACTTACTACAGTCAAAATGTAACAAAAAAAGTCCCTAGTCATTTTTTGTTAGAAAAGCGAGATTTCCAGTAGAAATTGTGTACAAGGTATAAAAAAAATAAAATAAAACAAATAAACTTCATTCCTCGCTTTGCTCAGAAACTAAAAATATTATGTGATGCGATGATTTAAAATTACATACTTTGATAATTCCAAATTAAGTCCAACATGAACGTAATAATAGTTTAAAAGGAAATAAATTACGACATGTACACGCTTTTCTGTCAATTAAATAACTATATAATATAAGCTTTGTTTATTTACAAAAAAAAAAAATGTGATTTTACGTCTTTTTTTTTTCAATTGACTTTAAACAATTGCGTAGATTTGACGCTCACACTGTTCATGATGTACATGATTTAAGTACACATTTTTTGTGACAACAAACTTAATTTTAAATTACAACAAAAGCATTGGTATTAACGGGATGTTTCAATTAAATATCACACTATGTGTGTTACGTTTTCTTTGAAGTACACAATTATATAACATTATAATATTTTTTTTTCGAATAATACAATAAAAAACTCCAAACGATCGAGTAAAAAATGTCATAGAAATGTGATTTTATAATTATTATACACGACTAATTGTGAGAATTTTCTCACGAATTCTTTTTCATACGTACAAATTACCGTACCCATTCCCCCTAAATGGGTGTCATGTATTGCGTTGGAAAAATCATAGGGTAGAACACGATTGCGTACGGATTCGTATTCGACGTTGTCAAAGTTATATTCTATGTACGCTCAATAATTGTCTAGTGAAATAATTTTGTTTGAACTTCAAAAAATAGAATATTATTTTATACCAATTAATGAATAAAATCATTGGTAGAAAATCAATTATTTTATGATACTTACGTTTGAATTCCTGAACATCTAAAACCTTTTACTTTTAAATGTGTATAATATTATAGATGGAACGAATCCTTTACGCATACCGGATCAGGAAACGTTGGAAGATGTAGCCCATCGGTTGCACTGGCTGAGACTGTTGGACGGCGGTCATCAAGCGCCTAAAGACTGCCAGGCCAGGTACAAAATCGCGATTATAGTGCCGTACAGAAACCGACTGTCCAATCTCTGTACGTTTCTGTTGAACATGCACCCGTTCCTGACGAAACAACAATTGGACTATACCATTTTTGTAGTAGAACAGTTTAGTAAGTCGATATTTTAATATGATTTTATTTTTTAAACTGCGTCGTCGGTACTTTATTTATAGTTTAGTTTTTTTTTTTAACAATGATAACATAAACTCTGATTTTTACGGTTTATACGAACCTAAGTTTGAAAAATCTAAACATTATAAATGTAAAATATTGTACAAAATAGATGGCAAAAGTCGATTGTGCACGTTTTACGTACCTAATTATACCCCCTCCCCCCCACAAAAAAAAAATGAACCAAAATAAAGTCTGTTGAATTTTAACATGGCTTTTTTTTTTGAAAAATGTATTCAATTTTAGATTTTCTCGGTTCAAACCATCGTTACTAGTTTCATTACACATGTTACAGTTAAAACCTAAAATCTGTTAAATTTTAATTAGTCAAAACTAGTCTAGGTGTATTTATTATTTGTACGAGAAATTTGACTGACCTTCGAGGCATTGGTTCTTTTCCACTCAGATAATGGGAGAAAATTTGTGAACAGTGTGGATCACTAAGTTGATAGCACTAAGGTCCGAGTTAAAAACCGTCCACGGAAAGATAAAGCCGCGGCATACGCAATGACAAGCCGCATAATAGCATCGACGGGCAAAATTTTGTGAGGTGTGCAATAATCATGCACAACAAATCGCTGTTTGTGTAAAACAAATCAAATCATATGCAATTCCGAATGGCACGATAATTTGCCATGTCGAGATAAATAACAATACTGAATTATCCTGTTTCTGGCAATGATAAATTCCCTATACTTATCTTAATGTGTACTTATTTCTATTTTTCCCTAGTCGAAAATATGACTGCAAACTAATTATTTCTGAAAATCAGTTTCCACTAGATAATTATAGTTTCCATCAATATATTTCAGACACAAATAATTCTAATTTTAAAAAAAAAAATGTAAGTTTAAACAAGACCGTGGAGCGTCTTGGTTAGTTCCAGTTTTAACTAGCAATAACCGTTTTGACGAAAGGGGTTTTTGCCATCTAATTTTAATGGATTTCGGGTTTTAACTGTATATTTAGTATAAACACTTACTTTATTTCAATTCCACACATCGTCTCGTTGACAATAATTTCGTTGAACTTATAGACGACGGTCTTTTTAACCGAGCCATGTTAATGAACGTCGGCTTCAACGAAGCTTTAAAGTTGCGCAAATTCGACTGTTTCTTTTTCCACGACGTGGACCTCATACCGGAAAACTATGAAAACATGTACAGTTGTCCAGATCAACCGAGACACATGTCGGTGGCTATCGACAAATTCAATTACAGGTAATCGTCATTATACAAACAAAATATCTTAGGTGTACGCGATAAGTTTTATTATGACGAAGACGGACATACTCCGCATGTGGGTGAACCACTGTTGTAGGTGAGAAGTTAAATTAAAAAAAACATTATCGAAGAAAATATATAATACATATGTAATTATTTTACCATAATGTGACATATATATTGTTGACAAAGCAACACTATTAACCAAACTCTGCTCAGAATCGTTTTTCGTTAACAATGTTTAATCGTTGGATACAGATATACATCACATTTTTTTCTCTACCACCTACATGCGAAGTACGTCTGTCTTTTTTTTTTTATAGGTGAATGGGAATTTTAAGCTAATATTTAGAGTATTTTCGATCGTTTTAATCGAGGAACATTTTAATCTAGCTCCATGACCCTATATTTTTAACTAAATCATCGTCAGACCGACGAACAATATTAAAAATATTGCGGAGAAATATCGCTGCATTATTTATAGTATTTTGATTACACTAAACTACTTGTCTACTTACCTAGCTACTAATTAATTTGTGTGTAACTGCGTGTTCACCGCCGTATAAACTTTATACAAGAAGATCCTTTTAAAGTAAATAATAATAAAAGTGGTTTTGGCCGAAAGAAATTCTAACTCTCGTAGGTCGGATAATGTTATACATACAGACGAATTAAGCTGGAAATTCTGAGTTTTCAAAATTGCTAATTTTTTTCCCAAAAAAATATTAAATCATGTTATGTATAATATTATTATATTTTAGTTAATTAGAACGATCCCTTTTATACGCGAGTTATAATAATTATAAAGACACCCTCTGCGCAGGCATAAGCCATCATAAAAGGACAAAATAATAAAATCCTACTTTTATATGGTAATTTCCATAAATCCGGTAAAATATATGCATTTTTATTTTATTTTTTATTATTTTTTTTAATTGCATTTTAAAATAAAAAATGTTAAAAAAAAAAACTAATCAACATTATATTATTATTATTACTATAAGTAAGTAGTAAAATTACTTCAATGCATTTATATTTACCCGAGCGTATAGGTAGCTATTAGTATTCGTTATAAATTAACTGCGTCTTTTAATTGTAGGTACCCACTGCCCTTTGACGATCAATAAAAGTCGTATTTTACAATAATTTATACGTTTGAAACTGTGCGTAAACTAAAATATAAAGTGTAAACATGATTTTGCTCATTTAAGTTTCTATAAATAATTGTTGTATGTATCCCATAGAGTGCAATCGAAATGGCGTGTAAATATTTCTGAATATGAAAAAATTAATAACTATACCTAAGTACATGAGAACTTTGACATTTCTATTAGTATACGAGTGTTTCAAGGAAATTTAAATAATGCAAAAATAACTTTTGTTTTAATTTAAGTTTTTTTTTGCTAATAATAATTTCTAGAGTTTTGTGCTATGATTCTGCTTTTTCATATTTTTTTTTTTAAATAAAAATAAAAAATTGCTTTTACAAACTTCAAGATAGCCATTTTTTATAAATAATATTAAATATACATATTATATTTTAAAAAATATGTCGGTTTTACAATAATTCCAATTGTTTTCATTCCCACTATAAAATAATAACAAATTGGTCGATTCACCAACATTTCCATGATAAATAATTATTTTGTTCAAAACATTGTAGAAACTTTGTTTGTTGTTACAAAATTAAATTTTTTGTATTTAGTTATGACGAAAATATGTAAAAATACAAAATAGAGGAGTCATACTCATAGTAATTATTATAAAAAAAAAAAAAACTAAAAATATTGAATAGAACAAAAGTTGCATTCGTTAGATTATCGCGCACCACTCTATATACTAATTCACAAGACTGGGTATTAACGAGTTCTGTTTTTTAATCAATTTTAACTTTTAACATTTGATTATTTTTGTTTTAATCCAAAATGTAGGTGGAGTTTAAAATAAATTGTATTTTATATTCTAGGAATAAACCCCGTTTGTTTTATAATGATCTTCCATGTTTTCAAAAAATTACTAACTGGCTTAAACTATTTTCACTGTAATAATAACAATTTTTCAAAAAATATCAACTTATTTAAGTTAGGTAAACGCACAATTTAATTTATCAACAAAACAATTAACTTTTTTAATTAACTTAACAAAACTAAGTTAATAATATTTAATAATTCGCAGAACTTGCCTTGCTAATGCATATAATACATTTTTTTTTTTTTTGAAAACTATTATATCGATAACTTTTTTAACTATTAAGTATGATATTAATCAATACCGCTGTTCGAGATTTTTGTTAGTTATAAATTACGAATATTCAAAAACATAAAATGTAAATTCGATTTGATAAAAATTATTCACATTTTCAAAATTATTGAAGATAACAATATGTATGAAAACTTTGTTATATTTAATACAAGAATAATTATCATACATTTTGTTTTTTTTTTTTAGATTCTGAGTGTAGTGAAGAATGTATTGGTTTTACTAAAACGGTTCTTTTTTTTTTTTTATACTGTGTACAAACATTCTACCATAAATCTTGCTCAGATATATCTGGCACAATTTCTATAAAGGAATGTTGTTTATATGGAACTTTTGTGAGGTCATTTTTTTGGTTTTTCAAGTGGTTTTCATAATATCTGGAAAAAAACCAGGATACAACGTACAAACCAGGAAATTTACGAAAATAATGCTTTTATTATTTTTTAATTTTGTTATTTATTAAAATTCAGTTAAAAATATTCGCAGAGACTTGAAATTTAGAAGGAAAACTTATATTTGCCTTTTCTAAACGTGGTAAAAATTTTCAAAAAATTTAAACGATTTTTGAACTATTTATAAAACATTTTAATTTTGCGAGTTTTTTCGTTAGCAATGGTCTATCTTTGCTTACACATATACATTAAATTACCTATTACCTATGGTAACTGCACCCGACCCCATTATTCTAGGCCACCTTTTTTTTGTTGAACCTTTACAAAATGTTTAATATCAATCATAAATAAATAAACACACACCTCATGAATAATTTACCTGTATTATCTGTACAACAATAATAACAAGCGTAAAAACGTTGTACCTAACCCACGTAATCGTTAAATAATTTATATAATATTTTTAAAACGGTTTCCAGCATCGTTCTTTTTACCGACGTTAATTCCGAAATAATATTATGCCTGGTAAAACAAGGCGACCGACGGATAAATAGATTCTCTAAAAGGAAATATAAGACTAAATTCCTATTAAAAGAAAAGTTATGCAATACAGGTTTTTTTTTTTTTTTTTATTATTTAAATGTCTTCATTAATTAAAAAATGTACGGTTCTTTTTTTTTATAAGTTTGAAAAGGAATAAAGCAATATTTTCTTTAGATTTTTTCAATTAACACGGGTACAGTATCTATAAAAAAGGCCGCGTGGGCGTAGTGAATGAAATTCTTTCACGATCGGTCGTCGGGTTGGATTTACGAACAAATTATACAATTGTTTTTATAGAATAAACGGTTCGTTCTTCATAAATATTCTATTATGTATTTTCTTAATAATTAAACGAATGGATGCGCTTAATATACGGTACTCATACGCTTATAACATGAACAACGTTAATCGTTTGTATATATTGTTGGTGAGTTAGTGAGTGTTCGCACTGTGGAAACTCGAAATTATATTTTAGGAACGCGTTTATTGAAATAAATTTTTAAAAATGTTAACGGGTAAAAATAAAAAAAAAAAAAAAAAAAATAAATAGATCGGCCGATTTTCCGGCGGCCGACACGCTTCTCAATTCGGGTACGACGTACAATTATATCGCGTTCAAACAAAATGTTGCTCGTTAAATTAGGCGCCCGTCGTCGTTTCTCCTCGCTTTATATAGTACGAATTCCGCTGGTCGAAAGATTACTACTTTTCCGAATGATCGACCGTCGTCGTTTCTGTAAGTACCCCCATCCGCAGTACGATCGTAGGAAATTGGCCGCGAGAAAAAAAAACAAACACAATAATAATAATAGGCGGAAATCAAATATACGCGATGTGTTTGACGATAATTTATAAAGGTATTATTCGTATTTAACAATAAAAATAAGAGCGTGTGCGGGGGTGCTCGCACTTGTATACTGTCATTTTTTCCGTATTATTATTTTTTTTTTTTTTGCAATTTCCGGTTGTTTTTTTTCGTATTATATCCCATTTTCATAATTATTTTGATTTTATTACATAATTATGAATACCGGATAATAAATATTTATTATAATATAGGTGAAGGTATAGTTTTTTTTTTGCACAATATATGTGTAGTTAAACAAATATATAACAGGACTCAAAATCGGTGACAACTTCGAAAAAATAAAAATCTTATGTAAACAATAAACATATTGAATCGACTGGTGGTCACTCAATTAATATTTACTTTAGAACAAAACAACTAGAGCGTGGTAATAATATCGAAGTGCCTGATCCTATTTTATTTTCCTTAATAAAAGCAATTCCATTAGTACATATTATGTATTATGTATTACAATGTTGCACTAGTTGCATTAGACAGAGTGAAATTAACTATTCTTATTTACTAGACATTAGTAGATTATATATTATGCGCGTGTATAGATACAAACAAGGTTACAATCAAGGCTATCCCGGAAGACATCAACGGAGGAGTGAAATTCATCAATTTGCTGGTTCTGAAAAATTAATTATTAGTACTTACTCCCCTGTAAATCTCCATTTTAGCCGGGAAAAAAAAGTTCATTGTGTATTTTTATACACTATGATCACACTAAGCGTAAAAAAATGTGCCGGCCGGCAACATTCATGGGGGTGGGGATGGGTTAGACGATAAATTCTCTGGAATAGTCCTGCTTACAATAATTATGCATAATTATATTTTACAATAGGTATTAAATATAATTTTACATTTTACATCAAAATTATAAATATATTCGTCAAAATGATAAAAACATATTTCCTTAATAATTGCCTAATAATATTTTATTTGTAACAAGATTGAAAACATATTCCTAAAATAATTTTCTTTAAATATCTTCCGTTGAAATTATTTGAAAATATGTTTAAAATAATTTAGTCGAAATTTTCATATTTATGCCAAAAAAATATTTTGTAAATATAATCATCACCAAAACGCTGTGTCGGAAGTCTGCTTAATACACATGTAATGAATATTATGATTCCGGAAGAAATACATTAAGCATAAAGACACACTCAACATTTATCTGTAGATGAAATGTGAATGGAACAGTGGCGTATTTAGGATTATTTCAAGAGAGGATGGATATTATTTCATATTACTGTATAACGATGGCTTTGAAATGTAAAGATTAAAAGGAAGTAATTATTTTGTATACTTTTATTTGTATAAGACGAATATTATACAATATTTACCTGATATATTTTTATCTCACTTTTCGTATAGCATTTAACATGGAACTTTGGTATGATAAAGAAACGCTGATTTTTTTAGACTTAGCATAGAAATACTTTAGATAAAGGTTTACATAAAACTAGTTTAAATTATAGATTAAAAAAGGTAAAAACCATTTTGAGGGGAGAGATATCTGACCGTAAAACCGGTAAACTGCCATACTAAACCGTAAAAAGTGTATATGCCTCACTTTAGATGGGAACTAAATCAACTATTGGAACTGAGAGATGCGTAAAATTAAATTTTTTGTTAAATTTATATCTGGCTTTTTTTATTTCAATCACCTAAACTGGGCAACGTCGGTTGATGACAGCATCAAGTACACTAGTTTTAATAATATATTATTGATTTTAACTACACAGGCTGCCGTACGTTGATCTGTTCGGTGGCGTGATTGGTATGAGCAGAGCGCATTTCCAGTTGGTTAACGGGTTCAGCAACATGTTCTGGGGATGGGGTGGCGAAGACGACGACATGGCATCCCGAGTCAAGGCACACGACCTCAACATCACCAGATATCGACCGAACGTGGCCCGGTATCACATGTTAACGCACGTCAAACAAAAGGCTAACCCGAAAAGGTCGGTAAACGAATTTTTTTTTTTATAAGTAAACAAATCTATAGTCTATACAATTATGTATAACGATTAGGTTTGATAATTGATAAACATAATAAATAATAATAATTCTCGTGATTAGGGAGGTTACCCAGTGGTAACACCCAATAAAGTGAAACGAACTTACAGAACTATTCCGAACAAATTGTCGTTTAGTGTTTATTAGCAAACATTTAAGGCTTATAAAATGTCTTGAAAAAGCTGGCCAAAATGCATTACATTGAAATTATAATAAAAAAAAAAGACATATTATAGGAAATCACGGCTCAAAGTTGAAATTCCCAAAAGGCACATGCTTGACATTTACGCAATATGACCTCCACAGGTTCATTTAAAGGTACGGGGGTCTGTTAGAGGTGTTCAAAGCTAAAATTTACTCCTACCACAATATCATTCTGTATTGAAATTTGACTCCAATGACATCACTTTAAACCACTTATATACAACAAATTCGGGAATAAGAATTTGAAGTTATTTGGTTCAGAGGTCAAACGAAAGACGAACAATAATACAGTGCATAATTATCTCTATTTTTGGAAAAAATTTAACAAAAAGGAAAAATTAACTGAAAACAGGGAAAAAAAACCCTAAAATATGTATGCGTTTATATTGCAGATTTAATGTTGAATAGTGAAATTAATTTATTGTTCATCCAGTCAAATCAAATTCGTTTTTTATGAATATTAAAGAAAGCAAACCTGTAGCCATTATTTTTTTTTTTTTCAAAATTATTTTGTTTTTTGTAATTTACAATTTTTTCCAAGTACCTACTTACGACTAAACTGTAGAACAAAAATGTTAAAATATTATAGAGGTATAACCGTTGCAATTTATCGTACATGGTACACCCGAATAAAATGAAAAAGTAAAACGTATCCCATAATAGTATAAGCATTATAAGTACCGCGTTTAATTAAATATAAAAACGTACCTAACGTATACAATTAAAAGAAATAAAAAAATGTTTTAATACTCTATTACGCGCGTATATTCATTTTAATAAAAAAAAAAAAAAAAAAACAAAAAAAAAATTACCGTTGGAACCCTTGTTTGTAAGTCATAAATGCCACTAAGTTTGAACTTAGTTTACATTTGTCTGTATACGAATAAAGGGTTGTCTACCCGTCACATCACTACCACAACAATTATTATTATTATAGCACACAATGGCCCACCGTCAGTGTATTATAAGGGTGTTTCACGCCCTAATAAACGGGGTAGTATAATACAAATATAAATTTAAAAAAAAGTGTAGAAACTACAATATAATATTATAATATATAGCATTTCTAAACTGTCCTGTGCAGTTGAAACGAGGTTTTTTGGCGAATACAGGTATTATGGACAGGAAGAATATCGAAAAAAATCCATCTAAGGAAATATTTCGATCGCCGACTCCCTTCTTGCCTTTTACTTAGCGGGTATAATTCGTACATCGCTTTTATTCCTGCAGATTTGAATAATTATTGTATTTTTTTTTTAGAATTAACAATTGTCGGTTGGTATAATAGGCAATTTATTTTTATGTTGGCGGATAATTTATTTTATTGGAACGTTTTTTGCTTCTTTTTTTATTCCGTCTCTTTACACACACACATACACACGTACACACACTTAGATTTTTTTCAATTTGATCGTTTCTAAGGCAACAGGTGCGTGACGATGACTGCCGGGAAACGTTAAAAGTGATCGCGTTTAATACATTTTTTTTTTTTTTCCTAAGCCAACTATTGCTGCTTCCTTAGCAGACGGTTCCAAAAGGTGACTAATATACAATAATATTATATTATAGCGGTACATTTTTCTCTAACGGTTAAAAACAGTTTGTGCGTTTTCGTACCCTTCTTGCAGGTATTCCTCGAATTTCCGCGTGTTGATTCTAAGTCGTCTAATGTATTTTTCCAAAAAAAATATTAGTAAATATTTAATCGAAATTTATAGTTGGTTGAATCTGCTAATCTACAAAAATATTGGTCGCAGTCAAAACAGAAATTGCGTAAAACCGTTTAAATATTTTAAATTGTGACGTCCTCAAATGGTAATATGAAATATTTCAGCCGAATAGACTTCGATCTAAATGAAATTTTTTTTAGGAAAAAAAATACTCATTTTAAGCCAGTTTTAAAATTTTAACCCTCTCACGATGGCGTGCGCAATCCGTCGTACAATAAAACTAACATTTTTTTTTTTAACTGGAATCGCCTATTTTCAGTACCGGCTAGATTCGAATATACATTTTTTCTTTATCTCTGTCTGGTGAGATTATGTCAGGTTATAATATATGCCGTCTATAGTTTAAAAAATATGAATTTTTCTCTTTAAAACTCACGTTATTATATACTTTCGTGTTTACAGAGAATTTTTTTTCCCATTAAACATTAATCAAATTTTTTACTTCCAGTCCCGAATTAATTAATTTAAAACAAATATTGTGTATATTTTCTACCATGGTATTAATATCGTTTATTATAAGTCTTATATATAATGTTTATACCGTTCGTTAATTTCTTCAATTTTTTTTAACGCGTTATTTGATATTATATATAGTGGTTTAACGAACGAATAATGCATTTTTTTTTTGTTTTTTAGAATATCTCTGTATATTTATATAATATTGGGTTATAAGGGAGAATATATTTGCACAAATAAGTAGGTTAATTCTATAATCTTTCTAAAAAGTGTTAAAAAGTTTTGAAGTCTGTATTAATTAAGTTTGCGTGCTGGCATTGGTAGATGGTATCTTAAAAACAATTTGTTTCCACTCGTAAAATCTAAATAAACATTGCATTTGTTACAATGCACAATGTACAACGTAATCCATTTATATCATCTAAAACTGAACATGAAGTTTATTACCCTTCCTTGCGCCTTCTGTCAAAATGTTAAACTACCATAACTCATAAACGGCAAATCCAATATTACTGTTATGCATATCAACACTTTTAGAAAAATATTCTCTTTACGTATTTGTGTTTAAATATGGGGTGTGCTATTTTAAAATTAAAAAGGCATACTTACTTAGATTTTCAGTTATATGCGATCGGGATACAAATTGAAATTAGTGTTATTAGTGAAATGGAAATCAAATCCATTTAAAATCCTCCGCTTTTTCATAATAATTGGATCTCTCTGTATAATAATAATTAGTCACAATATTTCTTATTAAAAATTAATTTTAAGTAGATTAAGACGAATACCGTTTGGTATACCGTTCAATACCAATTAGGGTAAACATCTAAATATTGGGCATATCACGCTGTTGCATCCCAGTATCTTAATCAGTCCTTCACGTAGTGATATCAAATTCAAGTTATTATTTATTAAAACAAATAAAGAAGAAATATGAGCGAGGTACGCGTATCAAAAAAACTGTCTATCTATTTATCTAACTTTTATTTTATCACGATCAAATCATGGTAAACACCACACGTTCGTTGTAGTTACCTAGTGTTGTTATGAACCCTGATTTTTAAGGTCGACCGGAACCAAATCGAACTTTTAAAATATATTTTTATCGAACATTAAAAAGTAAAAAGGTTATCGCGTAGTTTGATGGTAGAAATTGTATATTTGTATGGAATTAAAAAAATAAAGTAGAATAAAATTATAATACGACACCCAATAATGTGAAAAAAAAAATAGGATTTTTCTTTTTCGTAACAAGGCCGCCTTATCCCGACAAAACACCGTATTGGTAACCTCGCTAAATCGGCATTGAATAATTTTCGAACCCAACTATTGGTATTTGGTGTGGTTCGATTTTTTGCAATTTACTGTTCGATTTTTGAACAGCTTGTAACATCTCTGGTATTTTTAAATTTTAAATACGACAGATACGTTTTCTGTTGGTTTCAATGGGTTTCACTCTTCTCTGACTGTACAGCGATATAGAAGTCAAAACAGTCACTCTTTTAGAAGGTCACGAAAAAAAAACCCAGATCTTAGTCTATATCCGGTTAAAGTGTTTAGTGTTGCGTACACGTGGAACACCTGTAAATAGTATATCAGTATTCAGTGCCTATTTAATAAAATGTTCATCAGTATTATTTGTTTTAAATTTTATTTAACGTCTTTGAGGGTGATAAGCAATTGCCTGAAAACGATAATAAATTATTACGATGTCGATAACGTGACCATATTAACATACTGCACACGAAATATAAAATCCTACCCGACGTGATTTTGCATAACAAATCGGTTTATATTCGATTAATTTTCTCCATTCAATTGCTTCGCTTTGTTCGGGGCACCAGACAAATCCATTTTGCATTTATAGTAACACCTACTTATAACGGAATTACTCGGTACCGACTGATTTTTCCGTTATAGAGGAGTTTCCGTTAGAGGGCGATTAAAATATACGAGATATAATAGGTTACTGAGAACTAATGGAAATTTCCTCCTTACAGAGGGGGTCTGAGGGAGTTGAGGAGGTTTTACTGTAACTATTGTAGTAAGTATTAATTTATTATTCGAATATAGGTGTAAAGTATACGCTTTCGGGCGGTTAACGTTTGTTTTTATCGTTATATGTCTTATAATTTTCGGACTGCTCTGTACCATGTTTTCGACTATAACCTGAACGGTCTTAGAAGATAAGGTCGGGCCATTTCCCCCTGCCAGCCCACTGGCAATGTTCCGCTTAAAATAATCTAATGAGTAATTAATATTACCTTGATAGATTAAAAAAAAAAAAAAATGTATAATAATTACAAATATGATGTGAAATAAAATCACGACCGATAAAAATTATGGACCATAAAATATATTAAAATCTGTCACGTCGTACATAATATATACGCTATTGTAGTTGACACGAACGATACGTTATCATAATAAAGTCTTCTTATTGTCCTCCGCCTTTTTCCCGCGCCAGTAACTTTTATAGTAATTTATTATAGCCACAAAATCGTTATTATATCGAGATAACCGATACCTATATATATTTACTTTTCGTGACCGAATCTTACTTTATCTAAGTTTATTCTTTTATCTTTCTCCGACAACGATTACTTTCTATTATATATACTGAGTGTATAAGTGCTTTCCGAAATGCTGAGGATATTTTTACTGAGGGGGGAGGTGAGAAAACCGTTTTTGTTGGACGTATGTGCGAAAGTTTGCTTTAGGGCCGAAAGACGTCCGTGTATAATTTATAATAATATACAGTGTACTTTACTGGCGAATGGTGACACGAAATATTTCAGCCAGATGAACTTAGGTGGAGGTGAAATTTTTCCTTTAGGGGATACAGTAAAACAAATTTTGAACCGAATGTCAACGTCCAAGTATTAAATTTTAAATGTGATGGACAGTTTGACTCTTCTGAAATTTTGTTCGAAAAAACTTATTATGATTAGTACAAAGATGAAATAAATAAAACATATAAATTACACATTGACATAATACTAAATACATTTTTCGAAAAATTGAAAAAAAAAAATCATATTTGTCTTGTACAGTCATATCTAAGACAATATTTGAGACAGATAAAACTATTATTGTTCGAGTCAAAGGTTCAGTTTGAACAAAATGAAACTGTTCGCGAATCTGTAGCTAAAACTATTGGTGTGAACAAAATTGAAAATTTGAGTTTCGGAATTAAATTTATGAAAACTGGCTAAACATTATGTATTTAGCATTCCAGAAGAAATATACTCAAACTGATTTTTTAACTCCTTCAGGCTAAAGTAATTGTTTGTGTTACCGAGTAATGAACGGTAGGTACACTGTATAATATACGAGTTTACTGCAAGATTGCAGAACATTAACGAGTTCAAAAGTTATAAGTCAAGTTAATTTTAACTTTTCACCTTTAGGTACTACCGTTGTATAAATAATAATTATCTTCTTATCTTAGTATGTACGTGGATTTTTGAGGAATATTCCTGACTCACGTGTTTAAAATTACTCATCCTTGTAGTTGCGTATTTAGGATTTAGCCAAGGAGGGATTTATAGAATAATGAAATTAAATCATATTATTTATGTGAAATCTAGATGCGCGCCAAATCCGATACACTTTTACAACTTTTGACATTTTGTTTTATTTTGTTTTAATGAACAAAATGAACTGTTTTACTATGATTTTCCTATGATGTGTATTTTTTTTTCGTTGTCTGTAAACAACTTTTCTAAAAGAAATCTTGCTCCGATGTATACATGTATTTGTAGCACTTTTTCTGTAAGAAAATTTGAAAAGAAATCTACAGGTAAAACAACAAATGTTTACGGTGCGTCGCAGCGTTCCTGATTTCGTTGTTTTTAATTTTGAAAAATATGTTTTCAACCAGAAATATTGCTTTAGTCAATAAATTCGAAGAAATCGTTTTTGTTGAATTTTGGATCGTAATAATCTTATAAAAAGTCGTTTATTGATTTGCCCAGCAGTTTTTATAATAATTGAGAAAACCGGAAAAATATGATAATTTAAAATTAATACAATAACGGCGATAGCATTTCTTTATTTTACATTTGTACGGCTTATGTTTACAAAAAACTTAAAATTGCTTTTTCCTGACGTGGTAAAATTTTCAAAACATTTAAGCCATTTTAAAGTTATTTATAGATATTTAAACTTTGTTACATTTTTACGTAACTTTTATTCGGTTAGTACTTTGTGGATAAAACTGTTAATCCAAACAGAAAAGTTTGGACATTTTATCAGGAGGTTTATTATAAGTCGTACTTTGTGTTGAAAAAAATAAATAGTGTAATGCAGAAATGTGGAATTTTTTTTTATAAGAATTTTAATATCATACGCTGACGAAAATTACGTTTAAATTGAATCGTTTTTCGTTAGCAATGGTTTATCATTTCTACAGGGTACCTTATTAGAAATAACTTTATTATGTGTCCTAACATCCCGGTTTCTCACCTAAAACATGGGCGCGCCCGTCCCCAGTATGAGCAATTTTTTTTTTTGTTTTATCGATAGACAATAATGTTCTCGATTGCAACACGTATCTTTATCTAGATACTAAAAAGTTTATCTTAATAAAACAATGGCCCTTGCGCGATAATACAACCGGACTGCATAATGTAATATTATATGGGTGTGCGTTTGTGTTTATACAGGTACGAAAAGTTGTTCAGTGGCCGGAAACGTTTCAAAACCGACGGGCTCAACAACCTCGAGTACCGTGTAAAGTCGCTGAAACGGTTGCCTCTGTTCACGTACCTGCTGGTCGACCTGACGGGCAGACAGAGTTGATGGACGCTGACGTGGCGTTGGCCGACGTGGGGTCGGTAAGCGACCGCACTTTTTAAATGAAGGGTCGTCCGTTGGTATTTTTCTCGCCAACATAATACGTCTTTTTTTTTTATCCCGTTGTTGTTTCATTCGTCTATATTATATAATTACTCTTAGATGATTCGTTTTTATTTTTAATTTATTATATATATATATGTGTGTGTATATTAATATGTATACTATACATTATATTTTTTCGTATATTCTGATTTATCGCGATGTAAAATAATATTGCATAATATAATATATTATTAGGTTTAACGTAATTATTATTATTATTATTGTATTGTATTGTATTGTATATTTTTTTTTTATTTTTATTTTTTTGTCTGAATTCATCATATTATTATTGTTATAAAATAAAATTTATCAGGGTTGTCGTGTTCCCTGCACTCAGACGTGGTGCTAAACAAATGGAAAACAAAAATATTTATTATTGTTTCAAGCATTCGAATTAAAAATAATAATAATTATTATTGTTATATTGAACGGGGGAATAAAAACACGGATTTTTAAGAAGAAGGAATCATACTCCGGAGTACAGTCCTCGTATATTATATTTTCTATTGGGAATATATTGATTTTTCAATTTCGTTTCGTCAATCATAAAAAAAAAAAAAAAATAATAATAAATAAATAAATAACAATAGCGTTGTTGTGAAATTTAATTTCGAAATAGCCGGTACTTATGTAGTTCTTATTTACTTACTTACTGTACGCGTTTTTTTTTTTTTTTTTAAACCGGATATTAATCATTCGCACAGACTCTTATCTAATGGGATCTAAATTTAAATGTATCTATATCGATTTAACATATGGGCGTGAATTCTTGTTTGTTCATCATTCTTAATTGTTTACAACTTAATATTATCATGCCATGTTTTATCATTTCAAATGTTCGTTTGTGCGTCGTTGTCGAAAACAGTGCGCTAGTGTAACAGTAATTATTACGTTAGTTCGATAAACTGTTACTAGAGTGTAGACCCTTGGAATCTTTCAAAATCCAATACAATAAGTTGTACATATTTTACTGTCCACGCACACTATATTATAATCGCACAAAAGTTTAAAATTAAAAAAATACCCATACGTAAAGCGATTTAAGTAATAAATGATTAGTTAAAATAATTATCCGGTCTGGATAAACTTTTCTGGTCGTTTTTAACTGTTTTGGAGACATTTATTTACGATAGAATACTATTAGATACTTGAAAAAATAAAAATAATAACCTCTCCGAGTACGGTATATGTAATAATGTTATCATTGTAATATATCTAACTTTTTCGTTTTCCCTTTCTCTTTCTCTCATTCTCTAAGATGATAATATCATTTTTTTTTTCTTTCGTTTTATATATTATTCTCACTGATAAATCAACCGATGAATTGTTATAATTCATTTCATTGTACACCTTATATATATATATATATATATTAAACATTACTTTTTAAATTAAATTGAATAATTTTGAATTGATTTATAACTTAAACTAAATTGAATGAATAAATAAAAAAAAAACCAATTTATTTTTCCTTGAAAACATAGACAAGAAATCAATGACGTTTTCAAAATGAACATTACGCGAGCCGTAGTGATTGAACTGTACACCAACTTATTGGTTTTAACCCCCACAACACAGTTAATTCATAAAACTTAACTCAACCTAGTTAATATTATAGTCATTCCTAGCCCAGTCTTGATTTTTTTTTTTTTTTTTTTTGAAGGAGCTAGGAATTCAACGGACAGACAATAAAACATCATTATTGTATGTTAGGGTAGACCTGTTGTAATCGGGTCAATTTAACGTGACTCTGTGATATTTATTAAAAACCCATACTTGGGTGTTTATATATTATGAGATTATTATTATTATTATAAATTGTATGTATATTATAAATTTATCTTTCTTATTTTACCGATTTATCGTGCAACCAAGCGATTTTTATCCGTTTGGAATTTATTGTAAACGATATTCTTATAGATATTGTAGGCGCGTAGAGCCGCATAATTGTTTCTTTATAGATTTTCAAATGTAATCTATGAATAATATTATTTTGATGTGTTTACAGGTTAGACGCGGTGTTGTAGCGCGTAAAGACTGCGGGCTGAGCACAAACGACCGAACGAACGAATACGAAGTGAATTCAGGTAGACTTTCGGCCGTACGCAGTTTACGGCATTGGGTCGTTCGGTCGTGTTCAGGCCACAGTCTAAACGCACCTTTATAATAGGTATACCTATTTCATATACGTTTATGTATATCTTTGTTAATATTTTTGAATTGATATTTATTTATTATGTATACTCTTATATCTTATTCGTATGTATTTTAATATTGATTTATTGTCTATTATTGTAAGTGTACGACTCTTGAAATCCGAAATTTCGTCGTTAGCCGATAATTGTTGAAAATTTGTTAACAAACAATAATTATTACAACGGATCCCCGTCAATGGATTTAGACTCGCGGTGTTTCGAGACGACTGCAGAATTTAATCGAGTTCGGGCGAGTATTATTCGCAGTATAATATTGTGTATAATACCTATCTGTAATATGCAAATCTTTGCGATACATTCAAAATAATATCGAATTCGCAATAATGTTCGCACTGCCGAGTGATACGTTATTATTATAATACAAGTATCGTTCGAATTCAAATACAATAATATACAAAATTCGGAATGCGAACAACTCGTTTGTTTGAATACAATAATACTATCGGAAATCGAATTTAAATCAAATATCTAGTCGTTTTATTTCTTCGCGACAATTTTTTTAATCTATCATATTATAATCATTATTTTATATTTATTACCCCTAAGACCAAACATTTTTTCAATTACTTATTGTTTATCATAAAATTATTTAAATGTAAACGATTTTAAAGGTAAACATTTTCAAACAAAAATAATAAATTACATCATCTCACGGTAATTTCTTTTAGTTATTTTATAATAGGGAATTCCATGTTTTTCAAACGAATTTGCGCGATTATAGGGTTTTCGGGAATCAAATTTTATAATATCGGAGACATTTATTATTCTATTTTCTATCGGAATTCTGACGGTCGAAAAACGTTTTATAATATCCGCAAAACTCTTTGGCAACTTTTTTCTCCTCGAAATTACATATTTTTTACCGCGCCCGACTGTATAGTTGCGTAGATACACGGATTTCGTTATTTAATTAGTCTTCCTCGAGTCAGGTACGCACTAAACGTCAATTCAAAAGTCGATTACATTACCTAATCCTTTCTGAAAATGTGTTCCTGAAAAATGTAAAATTTACCAATGAATTATAGACGCGTCCAATTTCCGGGACGGGAGTCGAAATTACACCAGTGTGTATAGGGACGGAGTAGCCGGTCAGGAACATATAGGATATAGATATCATAATAAATAATGGGTAGGCCACCACATAATACAATCACTATTCAGAATTGAGAAAAATAGCGTTCCATATACTGTTGTCTTTCTCTATGGGTAGCTGAAGATATTTTGAGGTTATGTTCGAACTAAGATAGTATCTAGAATTTTGTGATTAGCAGCTATAATAACGGTATTTGAACAATGGCGATTTGTCGATTTGTTGGTCGTCCGTCCGTCAATTTTCAATTTCATTTAAAAATCGATTATCACTTCACCGATTCTTTATTAGCAACTTCACTTAACAAATTAAACCGTTTGGAAGGTTCAGCGAAATAATGTTTGATATAGTTTCGGAAATAAATTATATTAAAGCGTTAAAGTAGCAATAAAGTGGTTTTAATTAACTAAACAAACTAAACAATATGGTGTTTTGTTTTTTTTTTTTTGTTAATATACAAACTCGAAAAATAACATTTAATATAATTAGTACAGGTTCAATAAAAAAATAATATAAATAAAAATCAAAATCGGTCGTAGCAAGAACAATTTTTTTTTAAATTTTATTGGCGGGGCGGGTAATCGTCGGGGGTGAACTGAGTAAATTTTAATCTCCCTGCGCCTGAATTTGGTTCTCGCTCCGTCCCTGCATAGCTGTGCGTAAAGCATTTTCGATTGCCTATACCTAGAAATTGCACGGTATTTCGTCGAACGTTTAAAACACGATTACAGTATAATATTGAATTTACATCCGAATTTGTGTTTTAACATAAAACCGAGTTTTTATACCCATGACGAAAAAAAAAAAAAAAAATTACGTTAAAAACTATATGTGTGATTTTTTTTTTTTTTTATGTCCTTCATTAATTATATTATTATATATATATTGACCCCGCCGACCGAACGCACACGTACACGTATAGGTGTTTTAATACTCGAAAACCGAAAAACGTCCGAAACAGAGTAAAAATTGATCGATACGTTAAAACTTGTTTTCCGTGTATTTTGTATTAATATTGACGGGATGTCGTTTGTGCGCGTTATTTTTTTTCAATGTTAACTTTGTTTTTTTTTTTTTTATTTTTGTTACAATATGTTCCATTAATCAATATTCGTGTCACGGTAATTAATTAATAATATATTTCGTTATTCGTTCGTTAATTGTCGTAGTATATAATATGTCACTTAAATGTTACGAAAAAATAAATGTGTATTTAATATAATAGCAGCTATATTGTATTGTATAATTATTGTACTCGTAGATGTTTATCGGTTATTGTTTGTTCGATTCAATTGTTTATACTTCTTTTCAAAAAAAAAAAAAAATGTCTAACGGTTCCCCATACTTTTATTATTATATTATGTAAACATTTGTTTCGTTTTGCAATTTGTTTGTATTTATTATTTAGGCCATATCACACTTCTGTAATAATGATAATACTTTTGAGACTATATATTACATTATTACCTATATATTATATATATATATATTTAAAAAATAAATTATCGAATTTTCAAATCGGAACACACCGACAAATTTTAGCGATGAATTTAAGCTATATGATTATATTATTATTATTATTATTATTATTATTATTATTATTATTATTAAACCGTAGAACGTGATAGTGTTGGTTTTTCTTCTTTTATCTACCATTTCATATTGCGTTATTGAACATTTTTAGAAACAAGAGAATATTATATTCTTTAGAATTATCTAGAGAAAAAAAAAAAATGTTACATACATTGCTTTTTACTATACCGTATTTTAATGTTCAATCGGATTAGAGGCGGTGATTTTATGTCATTGTCTTACGTGCGACGCAGGAATTTATAGACGTGTTCTATAACGTGCTGATCGGTCTAAATGCAGCGACGAGAATTCCAAACACAGATTTGAATTTTTCGTCGAGTCTATTTGAAATCGATTTTCCCACATTTTTGATTTCATACCCTTAAATCCTAAGAAAGAAAAAAAAAAAGGAGTAATGAAAAAAATTGATAAATGTAATTTTCGGGAAAATAAAATACAAATTAAACGGATGTAGGAGAGTCGATCTCAAGTAGACTCGACGAAAAATTCAAATATGCTTTCAGAATTCCTATTACTAGACAAATCGGTACGTCGGAAATATAAAACGGCTAAATGTCTACGTAACACGTGTGTGTACGACAAAGACAGAGAATCGCCACTTTCAATCTCCTTAACTTGTATGAATTTGTACGAAATATTTTAAAAGTTGTACAATTGTCATTCAGCGGAAATTATTACGGTATACAAAACATGATAGCCAATAGATACCCTTCTACTCCTTATTCTCTAAATAAGTATACAATGAGTATACACTTTGAATTTTCAAATAGCAACCCCCAGACTCCTTTTTTAACGCAGATTCGAATACAAATTATTCGTGTAAAAAAAAATTAAAATTCATAATATACCTGCTGCGATATTGAACACACCGTTGATAGGTATATAAACTTAACATTTAGTCCAATAGAGTAGCAATGAACTTATTGCCTTTTAAGAATTTTTTATTAAATATTTTCTTACATATATTTCTTTGTATTTTTGTTTGTTTTGCTTGTTTCTTGTTGAAGATTAATTTCTATCAACTATACATTTATAAACTTATATACTTTCTTAAACTATTTTTATACATAATATTTTTATTTATTTTTAGGTTTTTTTTTTTTTTTTGGCACAATTGGTTATCATACCACGCTTTATATTGTAATAGAGCTAGCCCCGTTGAGTTCTAAATAAATAAATATTATATTTTTGAATCTATGATGAAAAACGGTGCTTGCCATTTGAAGATTTTATATTTATTCTGAATACTTTTAAAAATGATTTAACCCGAGTCTGGTTTTTTGCGTGTTTTTATATATTTATTATCCCTTTATTTAAGTATATAACTCCGTTTCAGCCTTGTATATCATCGAATTCGAAACTTTTATACTTTAATTATCGCCGTGCTGCCGTTTTAATAACTTCGAATTAATTTCAAGCCTTCCATAAATTCGAGTTTATCGTCGGCGTGGCGATTGCGTTTAAGTTTCGGTGGGATAAATATCTATATTTGCTGGTTGCTCATAAGCATAGCAACAAAAGTTCAATGCGGTCGGATAAAAGTCCGGAATCGAGTTCGTGAATGGTAAATCACAGTGCTGCAGTCACTGCACAGTGGGACAGATGTTTAAAAAAAATGGAAAAAAAAAATTGTTTTAACCGTATATAGTAAATGTATTAAAATATATTTTTCAATCGTGCAATTAATTTTCAAATATATTTAAGTGATTATATACAATGAATATAAGTAATGGAAGTATCAAAATATTGTTACTCGAGGTACTCAGAAGTGGATTAGAACAAAGTAAATTAGGATAAAAATCAATATATGTTAGTTTTTAATACGTACACGAATACAAAATTATATTTTAATTTAAAAATTTAGTAAACAATTTTATAGCAAGCTGTATGAACAATTTAGAACATATTTACTAACTGATAAAGTGTTTCCCAAGAAGAAAAAAACAACATCATTGGAAAACTAATAGATTTTTCGTTACGTATCATTGAATCTAAAAAATATGTATTATTTAACCATGGACGTCAAACGTATATATATTTTCGATTGAAAAATATTTTTTATCAATCAAAAAAAAAATATATATATAATAACCATATAATCCCACAGAGCACAGATTTGTTAAATATAATATATGAACATAGACACATAGGTGTATACACTCGTACACATAAACCGAAAACAGTAAAAAAATAGATAATAAAATATTGTTGTTGTTGTTGTTTTTAGTGAATCGATTCGAAAACTAACAATTCACACGCTACTGCAGAAATAATAAAAAAAGTTTTATAATAACCGCGTAGGTAACGTAAAACAGCAATGCACCGAATTCGGTGGTTGGAAGCGAACAGAGATAAACACCGGTCGCGAATACTGAAAAGACAGACCGAAATGGAAATAAAAACTTTTGTTCTTCAATGATTATATCAGACTGTATCTTAAAAAACGAAAATATGAAATAAACGTGTAAAGAGAACGTTATTCTGCCGCTCGTAATTTTACTATGAAAACTGTTTGCGTTGGAAAAAACTACTCGAGCTTTAAATTTAATTAAGAAATCGTGCACTGTGCAACGTTGTTATTATTTTTTTCTGTATAACAAATACAAAAGAAAAAAAAAAAAAACAAAAAATATTACAACTGCTTGAAATGCTTAAAAATCTGATATATAGCTTTGAAATTTTTCAAATTCTTGACTAACGCGATAATAGTGATATTGAATAATGTGCAAGATCTCTTTATTTTATGGCGAAAAGGTTTCTCGACCACCCTGCAATGCATGGCATTTTATTATATAGTCCATAGCCCACATAGTTTTTACCTGTGCGAATCAATTTTTCATGACCGCGTTTTGTTAATTTCGCGATTGCGCGTGTTTTTAGAAAAAATATTAAATGACCCGAACGTCAGAAATCCAGAAAGTAAAATTACAATACACAGAAAACAATTCACTTTTAATTAAGTCTATCAATCCCGGAAAGTCGTTAACCAGAAATTATTACACTCGGGTTTACATTATATTGCTTTTGCGTTTGCATCTCCCGTCAATCTATAGGTTCTAGCGGATTTATTATTATTATTTTTTTTTTTTTGTGAAACATTTTATGTCTCCAATAATTTATATTCACTGTATCTAAACAAATAACAATATGCCATATCGGTTCCGTAATACATTTCATTTTCATATCATTTTTACAAATCGTAACTCCGTTATTTCATAGCTATTTATTCACTATATTACGTAACCATTTAAAATTTTAAAAAAAAAAAAACCCGGAGGTACGTATTATTTGTCACGTCGACGCTGTCGTGTTTTATGTAGACAAAAAAAGAAAATATGAAATTATTTCTTTATAAAACAAACAATGTATTACACGCGAAAATCTAATAATCTAATACCTAAGTGACAATAATTCTTATAGGGTGCTTGACGTAACGTAAGAAACTCGTCAAGTCGGAAAGCATCAAATTTTTTAAATGTTTGTTTTTTTTTTTTTTTAGAAAACTTAAAAAACAAGTAGCTTTAAAATGTTACTATATTACTTTTAGGGTTTTTTTGGTTTTGGCATTTCATTACCACTTAAATTCGATGGCAGGGGTACTGAGTTGTGAGTACAAAAGGATTCTGGGGATGCAGACCCCATGAGCTTGATAAGACGAAGCTCAGCTACCCACGGTTCTCATATCCTAAAAAAAAAGACAGACATATACTTTTCACGTGGATAGGTCACTGTTGTAGGTGAGAAGTCAGGAAGGTAGAGGGGAAATTTTATGTACATTTGTACGCATCGATTAGCTATTGCTAACGAAAAACGATTCTGAGCGGAGTTGAGAAAAAAGTGTAAGCAATATTTTATATCGCATTATGGTAAAATAATTGCATATTCATTATATGTATATGAATCTCACCCCCCCCCCAGACATTTTCAATACCTGGCGCATCTATTTGAGGGTTAAACCACTATGCACTGTTGGTTATCAAATAGCGACACAAATATTAAAAATTCCTCGAATAGATTCAATTGTGGTTAAAATAAAAGTCGGCGTTGAAATATGTAATTTCCGTCAACGTCTCCGGTGTAACGTTGATCTCCCTGTATATCATTTTTAAATGACAACATATTTATAATTAATTAGTCGTTGCATTTTTGTTGGAGAAAATCGAAAATAAACCAATACAATTACGAATTAAAATGCCCTAAACACGGGCTAAAAACGAATAATATTATATATTTTTTTTTTTTTCTTTAAATAATATTTAACAAAATCGACGTATAATAAAACAATAAATGTATATAAAATAAAATATTATTGCATTGATAGTTGATTGAAGCGTGTACGGGACAGCCGAGATTACAATAATATAATAATAATAATAATTAATAATAAAATAATATATGACGCGTTTTTTTTTTTTGTGTTTTTTTTTTTATAATTTTATAATATTAGTAGTTAATAAAATAAAAGTATAATATAATAATGATATATTTTAGCATATGTATATATATATATATCTTATAAAAACAATCGTTGGCGAATAAAATCGATTCTTTTTTTTTTTTTTAGCAACACATTTGACGGTCGGCTTGTTTGAAATGATGCGAGAAATTTGCGAATCCTTCGGGTCTGTAACAAACAATACAAATCGTTAAAAAACAATATTTATTCATAATCTACACATTCGTAGTCGTACAAACGGACATGCGAAATATCGCAATTTAATTAAGCTTATATCTCGCTTAAAAATTTTAATATCGTCAATATACCGACGTGGTTGCACAGGTAATGTTTTCGTGTTAAAAAATGGGTAATTTTATACTATAGTATCAAAACTATATGACAGCACATAGTATTTCCTGCTGAACGCAAGTTTGCTGCTCCGTACATTTGTTTAGATGGCGACAGCGCATGTAGGTGTGGAATCCTCATTACCGCCCGTAATTGGATTATCTCTTTCCGTGTATTTAAATACCATAGTAGTTATAGTGTTCGACATACATTTACAACCAATTAAGTGGAATTGTATCCATGTAACAAAAGCGTCTTTATTATTTCGATAACATTATTAACTGAATTTATAATAGTCAAATTTAAAAAAAAAAAAAAAAAAAAAGAATGTTTACGAGTAAGAGTTTACAGTAAATATATAGTTAAGGTGTTGAAATTTAAATAGTAAAATAAAACTAACGACCAAAAAAGAGTTCCAAGTCACGGCATTCTGCATACATAGACTCAGTGGCGCCGAACTAATTTTCTGCATGTGTGGAAATAAACAGTAATTTTTACCCACCTACCCCTGAATACGGTATTCAACCTAAGTCGTGAGACGCATAGCCGTTGTTGTAGATTTAGAAATTTATTAGGTACTATTGGTTATTTATCGTAAAACTATTAATTAAATAGTTAGTTATAGTTATAATTAATTTTTTTGTTTGCTTTTACTAATGCAATCACACAGTACACGCTACGGCAGTTTATTCGTAATATAATTATTACAGTTAATAATTATGTCTATTCCTCCTTATATTAATTGTGTAATTATTATTATTATTCGTACGGCAACAACAACGCGGTAACATTTAAAATAAAATTATAAGTGATAATTATAACAGAACATTAAATAGTATTTAGTCAAATCTAAATTTCTATGTCCAAGGCCTTTATCCATTCACGCGCTTCCTTCGTAACTTCATTAATCCCATTAATGCTCGACGCGAACCTTCTATTCGGGCATTCGTCTGTAATAAGTCTCGTAGTCTAGCTGTCATTTCCACAATCACATTCTGGGGTGTCCTTTAATTTCCACTCGAACATCATATGTCCACGTCTTCCGTGTCCAGTTCGTAATCGTTTAAGTATTACCCATTCTTGTCGTGGAAGTTCGAACCCTTTAACTCTTTGTGTGGGATCCTTTATCGAATTTGTATGTAATACCGTATTGTCCCACCTATTACCCAGCCAACACAGTAATTATGTAATGAACAATGTTTTATACTAAACGGCCACGTGCCGTGTCACCACACAAATGGTACTCTCTACTACTCTTTCCTTAACTAAACTTAAAAGTGGAATATCTCGTTAACCGGTTGATGGAAATTAAACATTTTGACACTTAAATTTATTTACATTAATCCTCTGTTTATTTATGGAATTTTTAACATAGGTTCTCATTTGAAAAACCAATGTTGGTATCGTACTATCACTACAGGATACTCCTCAAGTATTGTGAAAAATCTTAGTATTCGAAAAATATCGGCTTTAACTACGCTTAAAAATTCCAAAAAATCGAAATTGAATGCATGCAGAATTTAACCAAACAATTAGGGTGAGCACGCTCAGTGAATCGCTTTGTATAGTTCGTTTTACACCACGCAATAAAAAAAAAAAAAAATACAAAATAACTGTAGCTAACGTGTGACCGACTACTAGCTATCTTATATTTTATACAATGTAACAATATAATATCTCCTACAATTTAAAAAATTCGTTTGGAAGAGAAAATAAAAACGGGCATTATGGTAATCAAACTACTATTACCTATATTTTTATATGTTATATTTGACGTTAAATTTGATGTAATATTATTTTTATGACTGAATACGAGGTGTTCTATATAAAAGATATTTTTACCCGTTCACGGTTATTTTTTATTTCTCGGTCAATTTTTATGTCCTTGTTTTTTTATATTTTTTTTTTCGTAATATAATAATTATACTTGGAGTATTTTTTAAAAAAAAATGATCGTCAATTAATTTAGTTTAAATTAGTTTTTATCTACAGCCTATAAATATATACGATTAAAACGCATACAAGTATATGTCATTTGTATTTACACTACGATTTCAGCCAAAACGCTACAATGTTTATTGTAACATATGTTTAATGCGTTTATAATCAATTTTTACATGTAAACTATACAAGCTGTTCCACGGAGATCTGACAAATGTATAACTAAAACTATTCGTGTTAATCGATATTTTTTTACTTATATGTTTTCGTAATAGTTACTAGAGTCTATTCAACTGAGCAAAAGTTATTGAATATGTCAAATCTCCGTGGGACACCCTGTATAGTATAGGTATGATGTTTGTTGCTTAGATTGAATATTCCATATCTAATATTTGCTTTTTATAGACACGTATCGTACGTATCGTACGGTCTTTCAGAAAAACGTGATGTATAAAAATCTATCAACTAGAAACATGTAATATGTAATGCGCTTTTACAAGCTATCTTTTATTTGCTCTTTATCTCTCTCCAAACTTAAATTATATTCAATTGACAATTTTCCATAGATATGATATTTTTATTTATTTATTTTTTTTTTTTTTTTTTTTTTTTTTTTTACGCCATTCATTTCATTTATTGGTTAATATACAAGGCGTCCCACGGGAATTTGACAAATGCAATAACCTTTGTTATAATCAATATTTTCGATATATTTTTAATCAAATAATAAGTAGGCCTCTGCACTAACGTTAATATATGAACATTTTTTTTTTCTTTTTTAGGTGGAGGGTGACCTTAAATAAAATATTTTAAATTTTACTATAATTTTTTTAAAATAATTCAAATCAGCCATTTTGTAAATAGATTTTTAAAAAATGTTTGGTGGTTGAAACTTCTGTTAAAGTACGGTCTTTTTTTTTTTTATCTTTTTTTTGAAGTTTTTGCAAATGTGAACATTACCTATTGTAGTTATTCAGTTATCAGTTATTAGTCAGGATTTTCTTTTCCGTGAGTTAATATCATGGAATAATATTATCATATTATAGGTATTAGGTAGTATGAATCAATTAATAATGGTAATTTATGTTGATGAACAATATTGTTATGATTGAAGTGAAAATTATTCAAATTTTCAAAAAACCATAGAAAATAAAAGACCGTACTTTAACAAAACTTTCAACCGCCAAAAAAGTTCTAAAAATCTATTTTACCAAATGGTTATTTTGAATTTTTTTGTAAAAAAAACTATAGTAAAATTAAATTTTTTTTATTTTAAGTCCCCATTGTCCTAAAAAAAAAAAAAAACTGATCATATATAAACTGTCGTGCAGGGGCATACTAGTTGTTTAAAAAAAAATGTACATCAAAAATATTGAATAAAACAAAGGTTATTGCATTTGTCGAATCCAAGCGGGACACTCTGTATATGCATAATGTACATAGTATATTAAAAGTCGTTAAATATTTTAGTATAACAATAAAAAACATTTAATATTTTGTGTATAATGTTATTATCTATTGCATATTATTATTACGTCATACTATATTTATTCGATACCAAAAATCATTTAGTATTAACTATTAGAAAATTACTTCGTATTTATTTAGCGGTTTTCCGTTACGATAATAATAATACATTATTATCAACAGTCAGTGCCACGGCTATCTGCCAGTGGCGTCATTCGGACCACGGAAGGTATACGTTTGCGTATTTAAAATTAAATATTAAAGTAATACGGATTACAGTTGTAATCAGTTGTTTAGTCTGAATAATGGATAGTGGCTTGCGCATTACCGGTCTGCATATTTTATTTTTAAATTAATATTTTGTTTTTATTTTGAATTGAAACCGAAAACATTATCAGAATAATACATATATTTATTATGTTTTTCATAATCAAGCTCTTTATAACCGCTATGGTACGCGAATGAAACTTTATTAGTTATTCTTCTTACTTAATGTTTTATTATTTGGTTTAATAGTTGTATTGGAAAACATATGGACTACTAGCTGTCCCGCGCCCGGAGTTGCCCGTGCCAAATTTGTATTATTATTTTTTTACCCAAATTCGTTTTTAGTTTTGGCCGTGCCAGAATCGAATGAAAAAAATAGGCGGAAAGTGGATAGTCCACCTTCGCCAAACTAAATGTGTTCTATAATGAAATTTGAACAGTATAAATAATAGAAATAATAATAGTTTTCTTTTCCGTGGCAACCCTTGAATAAACAAAAATAAATAAACGAGAAATTAGATATTCATACCAAACATACCTAAAAACTCCTATTTTACACTCTAAGTGGTTGAATTTTCCAAAATCCTATCTTAGCGGATGCTTACGTCATAATAGCTATCTGTGTGCCAAATTTCAGCCCGGTCCGTCCAGTGGTTTGGACTAGGCGATAATGAATCGGACAGCCAGTTAGTCAGAACATGCTATTTTGTATGTAAAGATTTTATTTGTATTGTGTTGAAAATTCTAGAAAGAGTTTGTGACCTGTATAATCATGCGTGTATAAAAGAAAAAAAAAATTGAAATAACGCCACTGTTATCTAAACAGGTTGGAGCACGGGGTTATACCGTTCGCTCATTCGCTCGTTCTATCGAATTAATATTTGTGTGAACTATGATCGCTAACAGTTAACGACCCGAGTTTAACATGAACATTATAAAGAAAATTATTGTTTTTCACATTTTGCGCGTAAATAATAATTAACTATTTTGGTGTTGAAATTGGGTCATTGACTGCTAGCGCTCATAGTTGTTCACACAAACGCCACTTCGACAGCGATAACACCCCGTACGTCTACCCGTGTGGTTAACCGTGGTCATTTCAGAATCGAACTGTAATAAATTATACGAATATAAATATACATACGAATAAGACATTTTAGTTAGGTAAGTACGGTCAGCCAATAATATTATTTTTGCAAAATCTATTATAGATACCTAATGTATAATATTATTATCGATTTATCAATTTGATTTTCGTCAAGGTAAAGTTTTTTGACATGAACAATATTTTTACTTCCTGTTACTTAACAGGATTTATATTATAGTCATAAAAGATACTTTATTATCAAATGGAATTTCCTCGTATAATTGCGCGTTGCAAATACTATTGGCGAATTTCGATATATTTTTTTTATTTTATCATTTGAATTACGTTTCTAATATCACACGATTATTATTAAAATGCGTATTCTGATATAAGTCGTCAAGGTTTTTTATTTTTAAATGAAACCTCGCAGAAAAAAAATTATCAATGAGTATTAATAATATCATCGATTTACATAATCGTGGATATCCGGTTTATATTGTTAAAATGAACAAGACTACGTATTGCCCTAGATTTAATACGAGATAGTAAAAAATGCACTAAACTATCATAATATGTTTTATTATTATCATTATTATTTTATTTTTTTTTAATGAAATCCTGAAGTCGGTTACCTTTGGGGTAATAAGTCCACGTCTAATTTCGTAGATGAATCGTCTTCGAACAACACCTGTAATAAAAAAAAAAAAAAAGAACATAAATTATCAGAATCCAATTACCTATAAGCACGAATGAACGGTTAAAAATATATAATACATAGATTAGGAGAACAATCGCGGGAAATGTGCTCCGAATAAAAAATAAAAAAACCCAACGCGTATTATTCAAATGGTTTTCACCTGAAGAATAATAACGATAAAAAAAAAAAATCGGTTCGCACTAACCTTATTGTAAACGAACCGAATATAATATTATTTCGTGTTTGCGAATAAAATCCTTTCAAAATTCAAATGTTAAAGAAAAGTTATTAATTCGAACGATTGTATACAGGGTGATCCGTTTATTAAGAACGATCGATTTGTTTTTTTTTTGTCTGAGAATTTTAAGAGATTTCAATTTTTTTTTTTCAATTAATTATTAAACCATTTTTAAATATTGTTTAACTTTACTCTGTAGACAAGTGTTGACTTTTAATTTTCAAATGGAAACCCAACACACCCGGCAGATTCGAATAGAGGATATTTTTCTAAAAATATTGACACGCATAACACTAATATAGTGTTTAATACAATAAGACTTGTCGTTTATGAGTGATAACAGTTTAAAATTTAGAACGGAGAATTAGGTAATTATAATAAACTTCATCATAACCATTTTAAGATGACAAATTGGTATCTTTTCCCAACTTTTCCGCTCCAAATTTTACACTGGTATAACTCATTAACGATGTAAACCCGATATCATAGTTTAATGCACATACCAAAGTTGAGAAAAAATATTCCTCATTCGAATATTTGTTGATTTTTTAAAGAGAAGAGAGTTGCTAGGATAAAATCAAAAGTGTATAATACTTGCGTTGAATAGGAATAAAGAATAAGAAATAAGGATAAAAACGACGGACATACTTCACACGATGGTGGCGTGAGGCACTATTGTAGGTGAGAAATCAGGATGGTAGGATATGGGGGGAGAATTAATTTATATCTGTACGCAGCGATTAACTATCGCTAAAGAAAAACGATTCGGAGTGAAGTTTCTTTTATACATGTTATTAAACATTCCCGTTTATCCTACGTTTTTCACAGTTTTTCCCAAATGATATGAAAATATCGTAGAAAATCAAAAAAATGACCGGCTTAAAGTATCAACTAGATACAATTTTCTTTCAAAAAAGGTGCTATACTTAAAAATCGGAGCACGATTTCTGATAGAAAAGTTGCTCACAGGAAAAAAAAACGAGAAAAAAATAAACATCATTGTAAAATTAATACATTCCTCGCTACGCTTTGAATATAAAACAAATTGAAAATAGTGTTTCGACCTTTCCAACAATTCTACAATGATTTTTAAAAAAAAAAAAAAAAAAACAGGAACAAAATTCACTTGCGAAAAATCGCTGGTTCGTGATTAATTAATAGCATAGTTATGTATCTAAATAATTGCAAATTTTGACGTTAGGTATTAATCTTTGACAAAATACTAATTAAAATAAACCATTTTCGGCTGTAATAAATACCATTTTTAAGTAGGTGTACTTAATTGTAATTCTCGGATTATGCGTTTGGTTATATTATATTGTATTATCATAATACGTTATAAATATTCAAGTATTCTATGCAGTCATGTGGATTATATACGTATGCATTTTGTTTCGCGTTAATTTTGCATATTTTATACTATAATAATATCGCGTTATTGTAATATTATAAAATTGGGATTTGTTGTATTTCCCAGCCACCCAATAAAGTAGGAGTACTTTACTAATTAAGTACTTAGCTCAGAGTGAGGGAGAGCGTTTTTATTGCTGTGGCAAAATCAATATAATTGATGTTTATGAGCGGCAGAAAAATAGTTTTTATTATGACGAATACTTTATTATATATAATACTGTTTTGTCCAAAAATATGCAAATATTTTAAAGCGAAAATCGAAAATTTAGCGGATGGAAAAAAAAAAATCTTATACGAAAACGATTTTACTAACTTTCTGTCTAAGCCCTACCACACTATTTATTGCACGCTGAAATGATTTAATATATTGCCCATTTCAAATGTTTGATTAAATAATGTAACAATAAATTATTGCTATATATATAAAAAAAAAAAATCGATTTTGATCGAAACTAGGTAAATTGGTGAGGTTATAGAATTATAGTAAGTATTAACTATGACGCATGTGTTTTTATTTCGTTATAGCCAAAAGATAACTCAGAAATTGACAAAAATAAAATCGATGATGTACTATTGTAAGTTTTTTGAAAAACATTTTTAGAAATAAATACAATTGGGTGACGGGTATGTATATTAAGAAAAGTTTTCAAACGAATGATTATTACCACCGTGTGTAAAATCGGCATCTTTCAACGTGTAGGACGCAGAGGTTTCGATGGAAATGGTGAAAACCAAGTCTGTTATACATGTGAATGAAACATTTGTATTCACGTATACTTATTCGGTAGGTGCACGTGAATTTATTATTCGTGTTCACGTGTTATTCGCGTGGAAATACGCAGTGAAAATACGTATAAAATGTAACGTGAAATACATGAATATACACGTTAATAATTATACGGGATTTTGGAGTATACGATTTTTTTAAATTCGAATATTATATCGAATAAATACGTGAAAGCGTGTACACGTGAAATAGGGTGCTCTAGTACGACGATGTGAACAGTTCGGAGCACATTTTTACTAAATAATAGAGTGTTTTTCGAGGCGGTATAAAAAAAAAAAAACGTTTTTGTACATTGTAATAACGACGAGATACGGCTGTGATATTTGTTCGTATCGTTATTATAATAATTCGGAATTGTCACGGGCAATTTAAAAATAAAATCAGCGTTATGGATAATATTATAATCTACGTGAGCTCGGCTCTTACCCATCTGGACGTATCGTATTGCTGTCTAGGCAAAGGTTCTCCGGACAAGTCAATTAGCTTCGCTTCTTTGACCTCCTGCGTGATTGCCACGTTCATCTGCACGTCGTCTGCAAAAATAATTACAACAATGAATAATCGTCGTTGGCGTGTCCGGTATGATTGACAATTGGAGGGGATGCAGTAAACAATAATCACGATTCACGAATAAATCGCAAAATCTTCTTCTTTTCTACCTAACCCGTCAATGAGAATTTCAAAGCCGGATCCATAAAAAAACAATTTTCATTCAATGTACCAAGCATTTTTTTCTTGTAATTTAACTAAAATAAATAATTTGAACATAAAACAACAGTCATGGTTGTCTCATAAGTTAATAGGGGGAGGGGGGGGGGGCAGGGAATATAATTCCTAACCTTTTCTCGCCTGCACACGCCACTAATAATCGTACCGTTTTATTCGTAATATTATCATACGCGCGGTATAAATCGGCGCGGTCCTTTACAACGGGATTTTTATTTATTTATTTTTTTTTTTTTTATTCATAGCACGTGTGTGAAAAGTGAAATTTCGTATTTTTATATTAGGTACTTACTTCGTATTTATATATATATATATATATTAGATATATTATGCTATTGTACACAATGGACTGTGCGGCCGCTTTTGTGTGTTACAATATTATGAATGCTTTCGCTTTTTTTTTTTTTTCTTACCTATTACTTATATAAAAAAAAATAACCGCAACGTGTCCCGAAATAAATTTATTGCGGTTGCACACGATAATATTGTTATTATGATAATATACATCATATTATTATCATTATACCGGCTCAGACATTCGTAAACGTCTCCGCTGTATACTACTTATATTATATAGCACACCTGTGTTTCGTATCCTCGAATGCTCGAATGTTATACGAAAAATAATATAATGATATACAACCGTCGCCGCACGTTATCGGTGTAAATTCATGATACACAATATACTTTTGTGGCTGTGTCCGACAACTGCCGTTATTATTATTTATTGATTGGTTCGCGACGAAAAAAAAAAAAAAATTAAAATAATAATATTCGGTACAAAAAACATTATAACGCTGTTACAATTTTTTTGGTTAATTACATTTCTGTTCTTGATCAGAACGCCTTGTTCAACGCAATACCTACATACGCTTTATTGCATAGCCATATTTTTTATAATATATACCAATAGGCTCTATACGTCATCTGAAACATTATATTCCAGTTAATCATGTATAATGATGGTGACGGTGGCTTATTCGACCTGTGACAATGTGTAAACCAAGCCATTATGCGCGGGACGTTTTTTTAGTGAATATGCACTGAGTGTTCACTCCACCAGTGGCGTAACCAATTGCCCACTGACCACGCCACTCGTAGTCCTGGTATACTCGGGTTACCAACTTTTCTCCGAAAATAAATGTTCAACAAATCCATTATGATCTATCTATACACACCTTTAATTGTATCCGAATTCGATCTATTGAAATTTGTTCCACGAAGTAAAACAAATAAAATGTTGGGCTTGAAGAATAAGCAAAATTAACAAAATTTTAAACTGTTTAAAATGTTTATTAGTAGTTTTTCAACAAACATATCCTCATATGTTATATACCATGTTCGGGTATACCCAGAAAAAAATGTCTAGCTATGCCTTATTTTTCCCTAAAAGACGAGCAGATAGACCAAAACTTTCTTTTAACTTTTAGACTTTCCCCAATAAGTAAAATCTTGCTCTACTGAATATTAATTTGTTCAATAGACTTATCTGTGTGTCCATTTGGATATAGAAAACGTCCTTTAAAAATTACTCAGGATGAAAATACAAATGGAGAATGGAGAATCCGGAAAAAACCAAGGAACTCAGAGAGTATAATTGTATCAGATGCCAGATATGAACGGGAAGTTAAGAAAAGGAAACTTTATTGATGATTCACGTCACAGAGGAAAAAGTGAGCTTTAATAATACGCTCGGCATAATGTATATTATATGTATTCCAAGATGAAAGATACCCTCGGAAGAGATGTACACAGATTTGATGGAAAAATCGGATGAAAAAAGATATGGAAATATGGCGAAACTGGGGATCGATTATTATTTATTGATAGATGATTTGACAAAAGACACGATGAAGTGGCAGGAAATATGTATAAAATCAGTTAGATCTGAATTATATATGTCATTAGGCATTACAAAAGAAGAAGAATATATTATCATAAAAAAAAAAAAATTTCCCGGGGACAAAAAGCATTCAAAGAAAAAATAATGTAATTATTCAAAACGTCCATTTGAAAAACAATATTCGTCCTGTCTAATTAAATTTAGAAAGCTAAACAAATCAAATAGGTACTTAGGTACTTGAGTTAATTAATATAACGCTAAACGGACGAATAAATCTGCACGCCGTTTACTGCGCGCAATTGTACTCGGTTTCTTTTCTGTTTTAATAATAATATTATAATGGTACCAGCTACTATCGTAAAGAAAACGTTAATACCGTGTCTGGTGAGACACGCGGGGTCAGATCGGTATCACGCGTGGCCATTTAGAAGTAGGAACGAAAAAAATTAACGAGCTCGTCTATACATTTTTTTTTTTTTTGAAAAGCCATTTGCCTTTCGGCTGACTGCAGCAATAGTCACTGTATCATTATTGTTAGGTTTTGTAAAACGAATCGTATGAAAGATAATATGGTTTTTAATTCGTTTTTAATGATGACTTTTATATGGACGGAGGGACAGAGTATAATTATTATATTCAGCTAAAATATATTTTAAGAATTTATTGTGCGTATACGACAACACCGCTAATGATTGTACACACGTCATAGGATTTAAAAAATTTAAAAAAAAAAATCGTGATTGTCGTACACTCTCCTTCCGTTTTTCCTAAGTTTTTTGTCGGTTTTTCTAAATTATTAAGAAAACCACAAAAGCAAAAGACAATCACTTTCCAACGAACCAACTAGACAACATTTTCTTTCAAAAAAGATGCTACACTTGAAATTCGGAGCAAGGTTTCTGGTAGAAAAGTTGTAAGCAGACAAAAAAAAAACAGCACACATCAATACATCAAAGTAAAACCAAAAAAAAAAAAAAATGAGAAACAGTCAATATTCTAATACTAAGTTATTACACAAAAATTAAAATTGAAATAAGTATTATTTTTTTTTTTTTGTTTTGTAATAAATAATGGTGCAAATAATAATATTTTTATAAACGATAAATAATGCACAACTGCAGTGAAAACAAACAATTTTAATAAACAGAACTCGTCGATTTTAAAACGGTTATTAATGGATTGGGCATGTACAATAATCGGTAATGTCCATACGACAATTTATTAATTTCACATGCAAAAAGTCGAAATCGGGAAGAAACGCGAAAATATTAAATCAAATTTCAAATGCTATATTATATCTTTAGTCACGGGGAAGAAGGGGGCTTGATATTGTATAGTTTTCAAATTACGAGTGAATTTAATATTGAAAATTGACAAACAAATAATTGACATAACGGTATAATATAATGATTACTAAATGGCCTAACCTAAATATGAAATTTTAAATGGCTAATCATATCATTTTATGATGTATGCCTTTTCACCAAAAAAAAAACATGTACATTAAAGCGACTGAAGATATTTTAATTTCCAGTATAGACGTAATATATTACATTATGTTAGAATACATTACTTACCTATACTTACGTGATTTTGACCGAACGATAAAGGGAACAATTATGTACACAAGATAAAATTGAATAACAAAAACGCCGAAAATGATTTAAACCGTTCTTCCCATGGGACCAAAAATACCTATTGTAATTTGGAAGTTAAGAGGGCGTCGCAGTAACATTTGCCGTCCCTGTCTACCTTACGGGTAATCTTACAGTACTATTGGTACTACTGGTAGTACGGAAATAGATTTGTATTGCATTGCCAGTTCGAATCGTTAGATAGACAGAAACGCAAATGTTACTGTTGTGACGTCCTCTGAATAATTGAAGTCACGGTACCAAATGGAACGTCTGATCGAGTTTTAATTATTGTAACAAATGCGCTACGCCCGAATGAAAAGCTTTCCGACGTCGAGAGACGTATAGTAAAACCTCGATCGACGATGACTTTTAGTAAATTACTTTCGTTCGGTAAAGAAAATAGTTTAACGGGGTATTAGTGCCGCAGCAGAATTATTCGTTTCGGACGAGTCGAAATGGTTTCGTCTTTGATTTCGAATTATTTGGATGCGAAATACATATTAACATAAATTAGATCAACCGACGCGGTTTATCGTACCGGGCTTTGGCACATAGGAATGTAGGTAAACGGTGTTTGGGGGTTTATAACCCCTCATTTCGAAACAGCTGTACAGGTGTACAATTATTTTTGTTCAACTATCAATCCACTCCCGTTACAAATAATTGATAGTTAGAACGCTTAGACCCCCTACCCCTGCCATAAATAATCCATACCTATACACGCGGTTACACGTATGGGTCCGAATTGAATGCATAATATCGTGTAGTGTAACAACTGATTTTAAATTTGATTATTGTGTTAAAACTAAAACCAACACGAATTGAAATTATCTTAACGTGTTATATTTTTAACTCGTTGATGACGTGTAACTAATCATCATAACATTCAAAAACAAAAACAATTAGATTCTCATTCCGAAAATACCGAAAACCCCGCCACCCTTTAGGGATGGGGTGTGAATTCCGAAAATCCCGCTTCGAGGCGCGCGCGGACCCGTTTGTTCGGTTCTGTATGTAACTTTTCAGACATCTGCGCGCGATAGATTAGGCCAACGTGACCAACGAACATATACAATTCCTCGTAATATCAATTTAAATAATATAGTTTAAGAAGATTTTAAAACGATAGGCGTACAGAAGATAAAATAAGCCTCCTCGTTATAATAATATTCTCTATGTATAGAATATGCGTATACGCATGCTCGCGCGATCGACACGCATTGACCTAAATAACTGTAGCCAAGTTAAATTGTTTCGTTATAACATATTGAAATACCGGTAGGCAGGCCCAAAAATAAACCTATACAAGAACGATTCGTGTATTATTATTATTACATATTACGATTGCATTTCGAATACCTTATGCATTATGATGAAAATCGCATTTGTACGGTAAATTTGGTTCGAGCGATTTATATCACAGTTTTTGTTTCGGGTTTATGCGACGAAACAAAACGAAAATGCTGTTTGGCACGATTTTGACGTAAAAAAAAAAAAAAAAAAACCCCAAGCACGCGCTGTGCTTTTTTTTATTTTTTTTTTTTTTTTTACGTCAAAATCGTGATCTACGTTAAAAATTCGAACCGTCCGGAACGTGTCGCCGCCCGAGCTCGGCCCTAAATACGGGACCGAACGTCCCCGGAACGAGTTCTCGAATTCGCCGGCGACCATAATGTCATACCGTCCGTCGGTCACAAGACGTCGTGCGAACGTCGCGCAGTGTCCAACGCGACGCGCCGTGTCCGTCGCATCCCCGCCGTCGAGGTTTCCGCGTGTACCTCCGTACAAAACAAATATTTCCGTACTCCGTGGTACTGTTGCCGGTGATGTTATTGCGTTCATCGTGGAGTTTTACGAAATGTTACGGCACAAAGAAACCCGTAATGTCGTTATTATAATTACGCCGTAAAGGCGATAAATTATTCAATAATAACAAAAAAAAAAAAAAAAACAAAAAAATCACAATACAAAATATTTAACACAATGATGCGTGTTGTGCGCCCGCGTTATGAGTAATCATTGTTAATTCATTATTAAGGATTAACCCAATTTGCCCGCACAAGTCAGTCGCGTAACTATACGGCATTGCTGCGGGTTTTAGTTTTCACTTTGTGATAACACGCGTGACCGTGTAAAATATTAATATCTAATAATAATCGATTTTGGTCTAAATATACATCATCATCGCCACCGTCGTCAACAGCATCACGCGTGCACACGCGCGTTATAATGTCCCAAACGAACGTTATATTTACCCGTACCTATATCGCGCACGTTGTTAAAAAATAATGAGTGCTCCCGAAAATATTATGCCCGAGGGGAGGAGCTCTAAACGAAATCGATTCTAATAATATTATTATTAAATAACGGACGGAGACCGAAAACCCACCTATTAGTCGTCGGCTTTCACTCTCGAAATATCCGAAAACGTTTTTTTTTTTTTTTTTTTACGTCATACTCGCGAGCAACACGCTCGCGACTCGTCGCCCTCCCCCCCTCCCCCGAAAACACGACGTTATATCGTCGCTACATCACACGTTGATGGCGCAGGACGCAGTCGATTCCGTTTTACACAAACACCGGCAATATAACTGGCATACCGCTGTACGCCCGTGTAACCGTTTAAATATAAATTTAAAACTGGTAATTACGTTTTGGGTTCGATTTCCTATAGTATAGTAACGTCAGGAGAGGTCCTGAACCGAGAAGAAATTTAGTAACGAGTGTTGCTCATACCGCGAGTAAACGAAAATCGCTACGCGAACGGCTTCGTGGTACCGTTTTAACTTTTAAACGTTACTTAACTGTACGTGTACATTTATAGGTATTGGACGACTGCGCATCAGCTACACGTACGCGACGTCAAAAGTTACTGATCAGTGTTCTACTCACGTAATTGTTGTATACGAGTTTCAAACCGGTCAAAGGACGTGGATACGACGGCGAACCGAATTCGCGACTTCGGAACGCGATTCGAAAAACGTCCCGACGCGAAAGTTGCGGCACAGTTTTCGCTAAAGAGTAAATTGCGTATAATGCCACGTGCGAGATGCGATTTATTTCGTATTAAGTTATTTGATAATGTTTCGTATTTTTAATTGAAATATATAGCGACGTCCTGAAAGGTCATAGGAGATAATAACTTTTAACGTGCCGGGCTGTGATTTATATCTGTATACGATAGATTCGCAGCAATGCTTTCTTTTATTTGATTAACTTCCGATTTTGTCTGCGTAACGGTTTATAACGTATCATATACTCGACCCGTAGATTTCTAGATTGGGAACATGTTAAACCGTTTAGGTTCTCTAGTAGTCCTCGACTGCACGTATAGGCGATCTCGTGCTTGAAACATAAGTTTGAAAGTAACGATGATTTATTCGCGTTCGGAAAAAAAACAATTCCGAGCACAGTATAATCAATCATATTGTCGTTTTTCTATTTCTTCAAAAACTATATAGGTACGCAAACGTGACGACTCGATAAAAATATCGATTATTTTTAAATGCCGTGTAATATAAACTATAAAGTCACTGCCTTTTAAGTAGATACCTTTGGAGCGTGCTTATACAACGTCAAACAAAAATATACATAGTTATAAAACTCGTGATTGCAGTCTCCGGAAAAATAAATAGCGATGTTTAGACCAAAAAGCTTGAGAAAACCGAAGGGTTTGACTTTGACGGATTTTAACTTTGAAAACGGATTCGGATTGATTAACAAGTTTACTATAGGTCTTGAGGGAGTGAATTTTTAATATTCCGAAAACTGTCCATGCGTTATTATGAAGAATATAAATTGAAACGTATCATATTCTTGTTCGTCGATATCGCAGCTGACCATAAAACAATAGATATTTAAAATCGTTGTGCTATGACCCACAACAGCAAACTCGAAGTAAATCAATCAAAATCCGGTTTTTATTTTTTCTAATTAAAACACATCAAAGTCATACCGTATATTTTCCACGCTATCTTTTTTGTCTGGCTCTTCGGGTCTAAAACGTTATATTTGTCCGTAAACACGACCGTACTTCTCTCCTCAAATGAGTATCGAGATACAGCAGTAGATCGGTGGAAAAGTCTTATCGTTAAGGCGGCGATGGAAACGTAAAACTAAACGTTCAAATATCACATCACGGGAAAACATTTTAAAAACCCATTCCAACCCCCTTAACCTGATGATTTCGAACATGTCGTAATGTCCAAACGAACCGACAATTGTGTCCGTGTAATATATTATTATATAGCTCCCTGAAAATAACATCAAAACGTGTTTTGTTCGGTTTTAAAAACACCTTTAGATCGCGTACGATTTCGTTGATATTTATAATGTGCAGGCGACATGGTTTTTCAAAAACCGCCGTATTCTCGACAGTGTCGACTATAAAGATGTAGAAAGCGTTATTAGGTACATTGTTATGTTGTTACCTTGAACAGCGTCCGAAATTAATTCTGGCGTTTTCGAGACGACGGCGGCGGTGGCGGCCGCCAGGGCGTCCAATTGCTGCTGCTTATTGTATTCCTTCCAGACGTCCGGAACAGAGCTAATCGATTGACTGATGGTAACGGACATATTTTGCGCCTACGCGAAAAATAGAAGTGCGTGAAAAAAACAATTTGAAAAAAAAATAACAATAATAAAAAAAAAAAAAAATGTTAAAAACATAGCCGAATGATACGCGAACAAGCGTCGGTGACGACGGCAATTAGTTAGGTATCGACGACCGCGGATAAACTTGACCTTACCATTTTCCGTTTGGAGCACATAAAAGCGTGACACTCGGATCGCACGGTTTGGCCGCCGGCCGTGACGAAGGCGAACACGTTGCAATGAGTCGAATCGGTGAAACAATGAGACACCCTGCGGGGCGAAAAAAATTGAAATAGAAAAAAAAAATAATCTGTACTGTGCATTATTATAGAATAACCGAAGGTATGGATTGGGATTTTGAATTAATTATTTGTCGGTATTTTTCGCGCGATTAAATTATATTATATTTTTTCGGTATACGTGTGTTCCAGACCGTGTACCTACGTAAAACTTTTGAACGGGAAAAATTCAAGTAACGTAACGTAATATACCCAGTGGCGCAATTAATTCTCTTGGGGCCCCGATGATAATAGGCGAGTCTGGGGCGTATTCTTGGGAATATTTTTTTTACTCGCTACTTAAACGTGCTACTCAATTTGTATGTATTACCAACGGACATACATGTTACACGGATAAGTTATATTAATAATACATTATAATAACGAACAACACAAAAATTACACAATAAAAATTTTAATGAAACAATTTATGATAAATGATCGCAGATTTGATTTGAATCTATTGCGTTGAAAATACCCTCCCGGTTTACAACTATGATAGGGCCCCCTTTGAGCCTTTGGGCCCCGATATGTAGGTTTGACCGTAGCTTACAAAACACCCTCAATTCCCGCAATAATACCGTGAAATTCGTAGTGAAATTTTATTATCTGACTCGTGTCACTTCGATCCGCCTCTAAAACAATTCTTATTTCCTAATTTCCAAAAGCAGCCCCTATAAATGTGTACACGACACATTCTCATTTTATCGACGTCGGTTTAAAACGCGTCCGCGTTTTTTGATGGCCGTATTATTTCCCGTTGGATATTTATGTGGGGGAAAAAAAATACGAATATTACGTTCTATTGTGTGATATTATCAGTTGAAAAAAGTTTATACGTTCGGTCGAGGGACTTTAGTCAGGGACGCCGTGATGTTGACGTGATCACAAGTGATAATTCGGTTTATTATTATAATTCAAACAACAAACGATACAATTATTCGATGTGCGTGCATAATATTGAGATTAGAAAAAAAACTGACGGTAATTTCTTTGCGTTCGTACGCAAATGCGTTTAATTTTGCGCGTATCATACGATTCGAAACCGTCGATATTTGTTTGTAAAAATCGGCTGAATCAGTAAATTATTGTTTTTTTTTTTTTTCCGATAACAGCGTGTCATTCCGCAATCGCGTTTCGACGATCGTACCTATAATAATAATTTTAATAATTAATAATAACAGTCACCTTTCTATCGGCGTATCCAATATCGTTTTTTTCTCGTCGTTACTCTCAGTCACCTTAATACCCTGTCCGTTTAACGTGACCGTCACATTCTGCGGTTTCCTTTTGCTGGCTTTGGCCTGAAATCGAACGGAATAAGAACATTAAACAAAATTAAAAAACGCATTTTTATTGCGTTCAATCGAGACGTAACGAAAAAAACAAAACAAAAAAAAAACCGTGAACTCTGCGGAGTGAACTATTACACCTGCTACTAGGTTAGCCACCGTTCCGTTTTTTTTAATCACCCGAATCGTCGGCCGCTCACAAATCACTCTGCGAAGTAATTCACCATTACGAGGTGATAGATGTAATATTTAGGTATAGGTATTCCTATGTATTCCTATGTTCACGGTAGGTAGAGTACCGTTTACGTTTTATACGTTTTCTTGGCAACGTTTCAAATACACGAATCGAATATAGGTGTAAACCATACCGAAATTCGATCGTTAATAATAATCATAATTTATATTATTTTCTTATTTTCGTATAATATAAAGATTATAGCGAGTAGGCAGGTATACTTTCTTCTCGCGTATACGTTTCTTGGCCGATTATTATTATTTTTTTTTTTTTAACAGTTATTTTCTCTTTTGTCGTAATTTATAATATAACGAGTAATATATATATATGCGCATTACTCGAAATATTAATATTTATAACCTGTATAGACGACATTGTGAGGGCGAAGCAGAGTATAATACAGGTCGTTTCCCCAGCGCAGTCGTGTCTCCTCCCCGTAGATTTAAACGTCTTGTTGTAACGTAATCGTTTATTAGACGTGTATACGAGTCTGTACGCAAACACCGAAAATCAGTAGTTGTGTTTTTTTTTTTTTTTTATATAAAAATACCTTTAACCGTTTAAGACTTACAAAGTTTCGTATTTCTATAGCAGTGGCGGATATAAGGGGGGCTACGACGAGGCGATCGTCATCCACCTAATTAAAATATTCTCTTGCTTTCCTTACCACAAAGGTTTCTATAACAGCCTAATATACGGAAATATTATTAAATCACCCAAAAAATGTTGTCGATTTTCAATACGTCTGGTGATATCAAAAGTTGGAAAAAAAATGTATTGGTTTATAGTTTGTTATTATTGTTTTTTTTTCCTGTAAACAACATTACGATCCAGAATCTTGTACGGATGATCAAATTCATGAGTAATTTTTAGTAGCAAACTTTGTTTTATAGTTTGTACATTCGGAAGTATATTTTTCGATTATTTAAAAGTTATCTTAACCAGTGGGGAAAAATCGGGAAAATATTTACGTAATAACGGTTTATGTTATTTTCAATTTGTTTTTTGCTTTCAATAATTAACCGAAAAATGATCATGGGAACAGCCAACTTTTTCTGAATATTTGTATTAGTCTTAGACGTGATGTGATAAAATATTCTTGCGATTTTCGAGCTATTTAAAAACGTTTTCTGTTCGTATGGAATAGTTATATGAGGTCACAATCTACAAAAGCTCTTTACACAAAATGTGGATAACATTTTTTTACAATAAAGTAAAAGAATACACTATGGTTTATAATATTTTGTAGTGAATGAAGTTAAAAAAGATACGGAAGTAAGTTTAAAATGTATAGAATTATCACGAAAAAGAGAAAAATGATAATTTAGTAACATTTATTGTTTAAATATTTATTATAGGTTGAATATAAAACGCAAAAAAACGCCATTGACATAAAACTGCATTTTAGAGCTACTTGTGTCATAAATTTTCCAAAAATTCAATTACGAACAAGTTAATACTTTACGAGATAATAAGATACTAAGTAGTTAATAGCACAATTTAACACACATCGCGTGTTTGAATCCGCTTTCAAATGCGGTATGAACTTCTCTGCCGATTACACACCGAATGATATGATTAAATACGATTTGATAAGTGCTATTTTTGCCAGCTTTCTATGTGAACCGGTTAAAACAAAAAAAAAAACGAATAGTTAAATACGCGAATATGGATATGTATATTTAGAGCCCACGGCTCGGGTCTACTATACTAATTCAGTTTTTGAAATAACAACTCGAGTCCGAAAACGTTTGTTTTTTTTAAAAATAAATCATATTTTTCTTTCCATTTTACAGACTTCCGATGTCGTGTTACAAATATATCCGAACTCAGCTATTTTATCAGACTGAATTCGATACGTATTATTTTGGACCTGACTGCGCGTCCGTCGTTTGAATGTTAAACCCAAAACGCAATCGATGACGGAAACAGGGTTTTAGGTTAGGTCGGGTTGGTAATGACGACGAATTACTGGATTTCCGACTGTATATTATTATAATACAGTACGAGTAACTGACAAATTACACACTGTCGGTGAGAGCAATGCAATAGCTATTATTTTGTCCAGAGAAACTCGTATAATATTATGTGCAACGGGTGTCGTTTTCGCGATAATATTAGCATAATACAAAACGAGTACGTTCTGAATAATGTGTCGAGAAATTTTTGGAATCGTGTCCCATTGCGCGATTAAAAAAAAAGGTGATGGCAATAACGGAAAAATCAAAAAAAAAAAAATAATAATAATAATAATGTATAATAATAAATCAAACAACCGCGGTGAATAATAATTATAATATCGGCAAATCTCGCCGATGTCCAAGTTCTGAAACGGTTGTTTTATTTTACGCATGTTTAATCGCTACACGCGCGGCCTTCGACAATTGCGTCCTAAATTTATGTTCAGTTTTATATCATGCGATGCACACACGTGCATGATTCGTGTAAAATGTAAATGATCTTACGGTCTTACGGACCAATAATAGTTTTATCTTTGTGAACAATAACACAAATGAAGAGCACAAGACGTACCTGTACGACCAGAAATAATTCTGTAACAACATTATAATATCGGATATATTAAATTATTTCACGAAAATGTTTTTTTTTTTTTTTTGGAAAAACTTTTTTCTCCCCTAATAAGTAACCAAAATCGATACGTGAGGTATCATGCTAATGAACAATAGGACGTGATACGAGAGCCCGTAATTCGATTGTAAATACCATTTCAAACAAAATATAGACCTTATTAGAAAATAAAAGTATCGCAATAACAAAAGAGAACCGCGTACACCGACGTTGTCTTTAGTTTTTCGATACGCCGCGAAAAAAAGTTATTGTTGTTATACATTCCGATAGGTAATTTCAAGTTTTCCAAACTCGAAAATAACCCACTGTGTATAATAATAGTGATATCGAAAAAGCCAAAACCAACGTTGCATAGTACGAGTTCTTATTTTTTCGTTTTTATCTTTTTCACGAGTGAAAATCTCAATTAATTCTACGGTCAAAAGTAAGTTTTCACCTCGCGAACGCGTACTCTAAAGCGAATTCGAATATTGTCTAGTCGAAAATTTCGGGATAAGAAAACCGCTTGCGCTGCGCGCGCAACCCTTTTTTGGTTACGCGAGATACGTGCGATAAATACGAGAGATGGCACGGCCCGTCGAGTTCCCCGCGGGCCCTCCGGCGGTTCGTCGCATTCGCACCGGCGAACGCGGTCGCGTACGCGCACATTCGAGGTGGTGCCGTTTTTCGGCGACGCCCGCGCGGAACGTCCTAATGCGCCCGGAGACCGCGGAGACTGGACCGGGGGTCGGACGGCGCGACACGGTCACGCCGCGCGCCGTTTTCGAGTCGGATCCGCTGCCGGACGGCGCGACGTCGCGACCAAAACCCGCGCCTAGGGAAACGCGGACGGCCGTAGGGACGCGCGACAACGCCGTACAATCCGCGATCGGTTTTCGTCAAAACGCCCGCCGCGCGCTGTTGATCGTTTGTGAAACGCGGAACATTCGCGCGGGCCCGCCGCGCGGTGGCGGGCCACGGCGGTTGTTACGGCGGCCGCGCGCTCCGACCGCGTAACACGCGAGCACGGACGTTTACGTTACACGGGTGGGTAGGCGGGCGGGTAGGTAGGTATGCCTACGACACAAAGCGTAACGTGAAAGTTTCGATTATTGTACCGAAACTGTTTTTTTTTTTTTTTTAGAAAGTCCGCGGCTTGACGACCGTGCCGCGCGGACAACAACGGGAATGGCACGTTAATTCCGAAAGTTTGCGCCGTGACGGACGCGGAATAACAATAAAGTTTTCGCGAACGACCACCGATGTTGTTTTACAGCGGTAACGCCGTGATCGGGAAAATATAAAAAAAAAACCCCCCGCACGAAAAAACGAAACGGAATAAGTAGCGAAACAATAATGTTGCCCGCGCGCAAAGAGTACACCCGTACAACTGTATTATGATAAGTGCCCGTGTAGATAGCGTATTGTTTCCGATGGGATTTCGTAGCGATTTTATTCGTGCTAATCATTCGTTGATAACGCGGCGCGCCGCAAACAACAATAATATTTAAAAAAAAACACGTTGTAGAAAACGGTATCTCTTTTTTTTTTTTTTTTAATTTTTTTTTGTTCGTATAACATAAACACTCGGCGCGCAGCTGCAAATATGCCGCCGCGGCGAATGCAATTTGCGTAGGTAATTATTATTATTATTGTTGTACCTACTCCAAACAGACAATTAAACGATTATTTTAAGTGCGTACCTATTAAAACGATTTAAGTCGTTGTATATTTTGTGATGATAACAATATTATTACGTGGTTCATTAAATCTATAAACAGATAAGTGGGATTTTTTTTAAATTTTATTTTGGTCAATCGCACTTTGTCTACATTATCTTAAAATATGCGCAGTATGCAGAGCCAATAAAGACCGACGACATCGGCGAAAAAATAAAAGAATTAAAATACGTTGGTTTTATTAAATTTTAATAATATTATTACGCAGCGATCGTTGCAGCTGCGACGTTCGTTCGAAAAATGCTAGCAATAATATTACAACAATATAAATGCAACGTTATCGTTTTCACGTGATGCACCGCTAAGGAAAATATTATAAATCCTCTCGGAGGTGGGTTTACATCATAAGTGCATCGGTGCAACTGCGGAGAAATCGTAAATGCGGGCAAAAGTTATTATTATATTTAATAGGCTTACACTGGCGACGACGTAGACCGATTTTATTTTCTCTCGGCTTATATTTTTATGATAATTATTATACCGGTCGGTATTACCGCAACGACTCGTCCAATAGTATAATAAAATAATATTGAAAACAACAATAATATTTACGTTTAATGTGTCCGGGTCATTGTGCTGAACTGCGAACGTTTACCGAGTAGATTATTATTAGGCGTTATTAAAAAAAAAAAAAAAAAATATTTCCTGCCGCGACGGGTACAGCTTGTTTCTGTTGTACGGGTGGGTGGGAATAGTTTGAAAGGTGTATGTGTATATATATATGCATCGGATATAGAGTAATATTAATTAGTGCACGGGCTAAAAGCGACGATAAATCATCGCGAACAAAAATTGTTTCTGAGCGGAGCATGCAAGGGCACGACAGGTATTATAGTGTATTTCCCCCCCCCCCACCAACATTTTGTTGACAATAGGTACCTGGCCCAGAAATCCACGCGAATAAAACCGACAAACATTATCGTCGTTCGTTGTCGGCAGGGGCGGACTGGGGCTAAAAAAGTCACCTGCGTTTAGATCTAAAGTGGCCACATAAGTATATTGTTTATACACAAAAAAAAAATAGATTCTCCGATTAATTGTCGAACTTCATAAAATTTAGAAGGGTGCAAACACGTTAAATGGACCTTACGTTTGAAGAAATGTTGAAGCGTTTTTCTCAACTAGACATAGCTATGTACAATTGTAAATTCAAACCGTCTTAAATTAATTTTCCCGGTATGAACTGTTTCGAATTTAATCAACTTCTCTAAAAACGACTCTGCTATAAATCGCGTCGACGATTTATTAAATTCCAAAAAAAAAGACATTTCTTTTGATTTATCTATGGTGTACATCCTATAAACCCCAAAATCCGCCACTGTAACGTCCACAGGCCGTATGGCCAAAATAGGCGTTGGCCCACCGGGAAATTTCCCGGCATCCCGGCGGCCCAGTCCGCTCATGGTTGTCGGTTTTTTTAACGTTATAGAAAACTGTCGAAAATCTCGAAAATCTAGCAAAATATAAAGTGTGATCGCCGGGGGCGAGACGCCCGCATTTTTGAAAGTACGGCATGGAAAGAACGAAGAAGTTTTGCGGCCCGAAAAAAGTTTTTAAACAGTAACTGCTTTTGAACTGTTCGCCACCGAGCGTCAGAGATATAACGCACCCATACACAAATAGATAGGTATATCGGAATATACTCACCTAATAGTATACAAAAGTATATAAGGACGAACAACTATAATAGCCGAATAGAGTGATGGTTTTAGAATATAATATGTATAAATAGGTATGAAGAAAAAAAAAAACACGTTTTAAACGGATAAACGTGTCGAAAATTCGTATTCGCTAAAAACAACACATGTATGGTAGATACCGTACTCGTACCTGCCGTATTTTAACTCTACAAACAATCTGTACACGTATGAAAACGTTGCGAATAATGTTTAAAAAAAAACCCGACTTAGTCCGTTTAGAAAAATACACGTTGCAGATTTTTTTTTTTTTTTTTTTAACGCACAGTACCTACGTAAACGAATACACAACAACACAATAATACAATGTAACACATTTTTCGCATGCGTCTGTTTGTTCAACTGTTCGAGAGTCGGATGAATGTGAAAAATAAAAAAAACTAGTAAATATTTAACGTTTATAATGATAATAATAACAATCGACGCGTACTGTACTGTAATTTAATATAAATCAAAATTCTGGACAAATTTGAACCGAAACCATAAAAAAACAATAGGTGATGGGCGGGCCACTCTTGGAGGTGGAAAGACTGGAAAGTGTGAAGGTAGGATACATAGAGCTGTGTAAATTATATCTGTACACGCAACGATAAATTATCGCTGACGAAATACGGTTCTGTGTGAAGTTCGGTTAAAAATGTTTTGAAATGCCATCGTTTCTACGATTTTCGTCAAAATTTGAATTTAAAAAAAAAAAAATTTTCTATTCTGCTGAAGTAATTATATTCACATAAACCAGATAAAAACTAAAAAACCTAGAAAATGACGATTACCCCTAAATATAACTCAAAAATGTTTTGGAACAATTTGATCACGTCTAAAGCTAATTTATATTAAGAATTCATTGAAAATTGCGGGCACCTACGATCGATTATTTTTAACTGAATTACAAAAAAAAAAAAAAAACTGATCAAACATGATGAAACCGTCGTTGTAGTTTGTTGGCAGTAAACTGTTCCACGCACTCATCATTAGTAAAATCGTTAAACACATGATCCATATCCAAAATTCAAAAGTTCAATATTTTTTTTAGTCGAATCATTTTGCGCGTAATACAACATTGCCAACTAAATTGCCAACGTATCTAGCGCTCAATTTTACCGACTTTTCACACTGATAACAAATTCCCTGTGCGCTCATAATCTAAAAGATTTCTACTACATTTTTGGTTTTTTTTTTTTTTTTTTTATGAAACAACAATAAATTTCATAAAAAATAAGTTTTTTTCGAATGCATCGATCTCTAATCATACGACCTACCATGACTAAAATGGTTTTGACGGCTTCGGCGATGGCTCCGGCCGCAGAATCGACGGGAGTGTTGCCCAGATACTTGACGTCGAACGTTGTCTGGTCGTCTTCCGCCGCAATCGAAGCCCCGTCTTCCGCGTTTTGTCCGATTGCCAAAGATTTGTCTTCCGATAATTCTGCAAAAAAAAAAAAAATAATAATAATAATTGAAAATAAACATTTTAAATTTTGTAATGGATATATACGATATTTATTTGTATATTCCTCCGGTGGCCGCTCGAGATGAATCGAATAGGTAACGGGCAATACAATTGTGTAAGCGAATTATAAACATCAAATTTAGAATTTTAAAGTGTTTTAGTTTATCAAGTTAGCCAAATTGTCTGTCAGTATCCCAGTAATAAATGAATAAATATTTTTTTATCGAAATTTTCTTTTTGGGATATTACATATTTTATGTAATTCTTAACATTAAAACTGTCTTAGTTTTTTTTTTTTTTTAATCATCATTATCATTATCTAAAGGCTACGCCTTTTCGTTATAGTCATATGTATCTGTCGTTTTCCTCGTTTCTGAGCTGTGAATAGGACGTGACCTCCATTAGGCGTTTGAGGTCTTGGAAATGTGATGTCCTTGGACGTCCTCTAGATCTTTTCCCCAAGGTCTTTCTTTCCTTCCCTTTCCTTAATTTGTTGATATCATAAACTATAATATATAACTCCATGAATGTAAGACTTGAAGTTGTATACCTATATAGCGAAAACGTTATTCGTTTTATTAATTCTATTCTCGGGAAACACCTTTTCTCTCATTTTATTTACACCGTAAAGAAGCTGATTTTTCACTATTAACGGCAAGCACTCTATTTGTACACATTTTCGAAAATCTCAATAGTTTTTCTAAACAAATACTGACAACAAAATTACGGTACTTTAATTATGTGGGTCACACTTAAATCCTGTAATTCTATAAGTTTAGCAGTTTACCGAGTTCCGCCCAGAATCGTTTTTCGATCGCAGTGATTTATCGGTACCTCCCGCGTATACAAACCAAACTCTTAATAATCCTATATATTACCCTCATAAATCCCTACCTACGGTATAATCAGTGGCGCGGTGCGAAGTATGTACGGTTTTGTTATTTTTTTGTTTTGTTTTTGTTACCAATCGTGTCCAGAATCGTGTGTTTTCGTCAAGACAATATGACACCGAATAAAATCCGGTCACCTCATTGTTACAACAATTGTATTTTGTATAATTCGCCCGATAAACTCGTCTAGAGTAAAATATGTAGGTAACTATTATTATGCGCGCGTTTAATGTGTGTACAAAGCGTGATATCATCACTAAAATCACTCGGTAAGCAAGCAAAAAAAAAAATAATAATAATAATCTTTTCTTTTTTATTTTTTTTTTTTTTGTAAACCGTACAATATATTGCAACATTTTGATGAACTCGAATAATATAATACATTAATAAAACGCGTTTAATAAGCATGACAAAATTGTTTGTACAATTATTATGATTCGTCTTGATGTTCGCGCGCTAGTCGTAATACTTGACATAATTCGGTGAAAACGTAATAGGTACGCGAACTAGAAAAGAAATACGCGTGTGATAATGTTTTTACAAATATATGATAACGCCAATGACTATACTGGTTCGTTATAAAAGAAATAAATAGAAAACAAATAAATAATAGTAATGATAATAATATAGGCGATTCAGTTTATATACCGAACTCAACGTAATTATTGCGAATAAAAATCTACTCTGAGCGAAGCTTTGTTAATTGACAAGATTATATTAATTTTATAGCCGTGTTTTTTCCGTTCTAACAGGTAATCCAGATATCAACAAAAATAAAACCATATATAGGCACGATACTGTCTGTTTTTCACATCCTTTTAGAAAAACTGTCTGTATTTTGCAGAAGAAATGTTCGAATAAAGTACTGCCGGTCCGCGTATTTTATACGGTGCATGCGACGCGAAAAACATTTTTACTAATCAAAATCGTGTTTTTCGAGAGGTAAATCCGAACTAGAGAGTGAACTGCTAAAATTTTTAAAAATGTTTCTCATCAGGTGTAAATTCCGCATCTTCCGAGATATTCCGCCTGAAAAAATTGAAATATTTTACCTACCAAAATAACGTAAAAAAATAAAATAAAATTAAAAAAAAAAGTAATCAGAATTTCGAAATGAATTTTGTCTCGTAGACTTTTTTTTTTTTTGCTTTATTTAGATATTCTATATAAATAAAATATTATTAAAGTGTTTATTATTTTGAACTCTGTTCGGATGGAAAATATCTACGTTTGTTTCGATATACGAAAAAAATTTAAAAAAAGTGCAGTTATATAACCAACCGGATTTATTTTATTATAATAATTCCGACGTCTCCGTCGTGGACGCTGTACAGTCGACAAAAAATAAAATGCAAATATTATAATACAAACGCGCGTTCGCGTTTTATTCTAGCGAGTTTTCTCGTGATATGCAAATAATTGAATATACACAGATAGGTACCCAACGTAACGGTTGCGGTATAATTATATGTTTAATTTATATGAAAAAAAAAAAAATAAAGAATGTATAGTTATATCGATTAGGATCGACCTTATAGCGAAACAACTTTAACGCAATACCTATTGCAGGTAAGTGCTCGACAACAATGATATGTCATTATAATAATTGCGGATGAGTTCAACTGAAAAAAAATGTCATCTTCTTTTTTTTTTTTATCGTTTTTTTAACACGTGTATACTGTTTGACGCGATTGTGATTACACGGTGATTCAACTATTTTGAATTTAATATTACCGTTTTTACACGTGTTACAAAAACCTGCTGATAAACCATATTCCTTTTATAGACATTTACAAATAGTTTTCATTTCACTTGTAAGATCGGCAAACGTTGTTGTACGTTCGTTTTTAGTATATTTATTGGACGTGTAAAAAGCGCATTGAAATTGTTCAGTTTTGCAAGAGACAAAGGTGAAACAACAAAAGTCATTAATTGATTACGATTTGGATATCAAAGAAATGAAGATTTCAAATGAAAGTGTACGGATAAGAGTTACAGCTAGAGCTGTTATCGCAAAGATTTATTAATTGCATTGTGTTATAGATTCTGAGCGCGGCGAGAAATGTATTTACTACGATGTGTGCTTTTTATTATTTTATCTTTTGAGTTTGTGAACAACCAGAAATCTTGCTTCAGTCTAAAACGACCAGAGGACTTTTTTTTTTTATATAACATTTTAGGTTTACTTTAATCGAATTGTTTTTGGACTTTCCGTGTTATTTCCTTATAATCCGGGGAAATCGGGAAAAAACATAGACAAGACGGTAAAGTTCAGGGACACAAAAAGAAAAAAAAAACAAAAACATATCATAATAAAATCGATAAATTCGTCCCTTTTATCAGATTCTAACGAACAGCGCACATCGTAGTAAATCCAATACATTGTTCGCTCAGAATCTAAAAAAAAAAAAAAAAAACCAACTGACTGACAAAACCACCGCGAGAACTTTAACAATACTTATATAGTACACGTATATATATATATATGTATACTTGAATATAATATCACGTCGGCTCTTCAAAAAATGTTTAACACGCAGCGAGTAACGACTGCCACTTCATCACGTCTGTATACCTACTCGGAGTCTTCCGCGAGTATTCCGCGAGACTAATTATAAATCAAACGATAAACACGGAAGCGCATTCTCTTTCTTTGGCGACAAGGAAAATACTCACTCCTGCGCTACGTCGCAAGGCGCGTAATAGAATTTCAACGAATATTAAATCGGCAGAGTACGTGATGATACCCAGCACGTCGTAATTTACCGCTTCGGTGCGATTAACGAGTGCGATTCAACGAATAATCAATACACGCGCCTAACCTGAAATTGGAACTGTGGCGTTTCGTAGGAATTCGGCGTTTGATTGCCGCCGGTAAGAAAAATGAGAATATTTTCGAAGACGCCGCGTTGATTTTTTTTCAAAAAAAAAAAAATAATTGACCGAAACAACAAGAGGTGATTTTCCCTTTTTGAAAACAGTTGTACTAACAGCTTTTTAGGTGTGTGTATAATGTTTACCGCAATATTTTTGCGTAAACTGCCCTCGGAAATATTCTCCTTTTTAAATTGTACCAATGAGTTTAAATAACTCTATTATACAGAAATGGTTTATCGTCAAAACCTATATTATAATGTTTAAAGAAAATATTTAACGATATTTATGCCAAAAACCAACTATTTGAATTTAATCCAAAAATATTGGATTTATTTTTGAAACCGAACTTACATACACCACTGAGGAAGTTTTGCGCTTTTGTTTTTAGAAAACTTGATGACAATAATAATACTACGTATTTGTGTAGCAAAAAATATAGTAATATTTCAACATTATTATTATTCACATCATAAATACGCGCAATTCAGATAAATTTCCGTTTGGAAATAAAATTATCATTATTAAAACTAAAATAGAAATGACTGTTGGCGAAAAAAAATATTGCTCGTAAATATTACAATATAACGAACGAGATAATAATTTCAACAGTCATTACGGTTGGATTATGACAATGTTCGCATGAAATTCGAATTGAACATCAATAATAATAATATGATATTTTTCGTACGCAATTTATCGTAAACCGATGGATTTGAAATATAAAATTATTATGAATAGCAAAAATATTATTGTTGAGCCCGGTTTTCGCGTTATCAGTCGGCGTTCTAGTCGAGGTCACGGTCTCTCGACTGTCATTGCATGTCACCGAACTACAGACACGTTTCACGACGAGTCACTGTAGAAGCTCTCGGTTAACGGAGTCGGTAAATCAGATATATTTGTTCTGATGCCGCGATTTATTTCAGTATTAAAAAGCTTAGTCGATTAAAACCATGACGGGTTTAGACACGAAGCAAAAGAGAAAATGGATAAATCACGTTGTGCAGGTCACTAGCATTAATTATCCTTCAGAGCCATCAATTCATCTGTATAAAAATCGTACCGATCCTAAATTGAAAATTTTAACAATTGACACTTTTTTTTTGAGATTAATTTGTACGAAATTATGGTAAACACTACAGTTAATATAGCTCAATTATTTCTGTAACACCGGAAAAATAGGAAGATTCAAAAGTCCATTTATATTATGTCAATGCATTAGACCAGGATAACAAAAAAGTCACTGTTCGCTTTTATAAATCGTTGTGATAAGTGATAATATGCATTGCATCGATACACAATATTTGATAATAATTAATGATAAACAAGATGTTGGTATACCGGTAAACTAAGTATACCGGCGTTTCAAGTAAAAGAGTTTTGAGTATACGCATTGTCAAAAAACCAAAAAGTGTGTATACGATCGACTACAGTACTATCACTGTTTATATCTATACCGCCGCGCCTTCGCGGTACCTGGCGTACCTGCGAGCAGGCGAATGGGAAAATTAGCGAACCCCCCGTGGGCCGTATAACTATGCGTGTGCATTGTTATTTGTTTTTAATGTTTTTACAATTATGTTGAAATTTATTTTATCACGAAGTAGTTAATAATATGATAACATGGTCAATATCCATAGATATTAAAATATTTTTGCTATCTATAGTTAAACCGGATCCAGGTTTCTGGTGTTATCATTTCGTTTTGGAGGTTAAACCGTCATCATTTATTTCTAGTTACAAAATAAATGTACCAGGATCGCTTATTCGGGCTTGCACTATTGCGTATTTATCAAAAAATCCGTACTCCAATCTCTAGTGAATGAAATCATTGAAAGATTCTCTTTTATGAAAAATCAGAAGTTAAACTTTATACATTTACAATATATGTCATTACATAAAATTGTCTTATTTTATGTATTCAAATGTCATATTTTACGATTGTAAAAGATCCCGATTCCCGTGTCTATTTATAACATTATTATGTAACTGTAACGTTACTTTTTTAATGATTTTTTTCTCTTAACAGTTGTCGAAAATATATTTCGCCCTTAGACCTCCCCTCTCCCGCGAGAAAGGGCTACGTACGCCACTGCTAACGGTCGATCTAATTTCTCTGAAAATACGAAAATATCATTTTCTCTATTAGAAATTATTGAAACATGAATTTTGCCCAAAAATAAAGCTCCCTTGTCATTGCGCACAATCGACGAGACCGTTCGATTGTTCCGTTGATATCGGATGTTCAAGTCGGACTATCAATGGCATTATCGTGTAAACACTATAAACGACCGAGTGCCGGTGAGCTGAGATTCCAGTCACTACTGTCCAGTGACCTGCCAGTGACTTACGCCGCCGGTCATGCGAGTCGCGGCGGGTCGTACGAACGAAGTTAACTCGTGTTTCCGCGATTTTTTTTTTTTTTATACATATATATATATGTATAGTTATTTTATTGCGTGTTGAATCGAAAGCGTTGTACGGTTTTATTGTTGCGGGCGAAAAAGAAAACGCGCGTATAACTTTTCGGTTCGGTTTTCGCGATGATTTTCGCCGAACTCGTTAAACGAACCGTGACGATTTGGAATAGCAGTTTCAAGATCAAAGTCGTCCGTTTACGAGGTACCGTAACCGCGGTCATTTTCGTTGCGCACAATAAGTATTAATTACGCGGCAATTATCGTAGGTATGTATAATTATGAGCGATAAAACACCGTACGATTGTACATAATAACTGTTACAGCCCGGTTTAATCGCGCAGTTCTACTTATCTGCCTGCACTGACGTTGCGTCGCCCGAGCGCAATGACATTGGGAATGTTTCGATGGGCATAACCGTCGGCCGGTCGGGCACGATCCTGTGCGATTCGCTAAATCCGGCTGGAGGCCGCGTGCGTTGAAGTTTCTCGAGAAAACACTTAATATCTATGGGGGGGGAAGGCGAGGGGGGAGGGGGAAATCGCGTAAAACGTATAAAATAAAACGCGCTCTTTTGATTTCTTTTTCGTTGTCGAATTTCAGCCGTAGAACGAAACCGTTGTGGAAACCATTAGTGTTTAAAGTTTGCCGACCGGTGTGCAAATACATTCGGTTTCACAAAGCGTTCGAACGTCTTTTCAAACGGCTCCGCGTTGAACATTGCGGGGCACGCCGCAATCACACCGCGACGGGCACACGCACACTCGTGCGGTACACCGGAAATACGCTTTTCGAGTACAATAAATTCGGAATACTGAAAATAGATCGCGTCGTGAATGTCGCGCGTATCCGGACGATACGACACGCGTAGCGCCCCGCAGTGCTTGACGTTCACTGCTGGCTAGGGAAAACCGATACGCACGCGCGCGCGCGCGTCGACGTCCGGCCTCTCGTTGTAATCGCCAGAAATCGCGTTATCGCGTCGGACGCAACGGCGTGTATGCCGAAAATACACCGTACAAGGACGCCGGCGCGTACGGCCGTCCCGCGGAACGTCGCGGGAAAACCCGGGGCGCTCCCGGTCCGCGTGTTACGCGTTCGCGATTGCCGACGGCGAGGCCCGCCAGCACCGCGGTATTGCCGACACCGCCGTGCGTTCGGACGCGCGAACGCGTCGCCGCGTCGCGCTCGCTGAAAATCCGGCGAACCGGCGTCGGGGGGGGAACCTTGCGGCTTATAATCACGTGGTTTTTTTTTTTGATTTTTGTTACTAATCGATTACCGTCCGTCGATGACCGGCCGACGACGGCGATACGAAACGGAACCCGACCCTTTCGTCCGTATAAAACGCGAGAAACACCGTCACCGATACGTACGTTATCGTCTTCCAGCGGTTTTTTTCGTGTAACCCCGGCCACACGACCGCGGCCAATATACGGTGTACGGTTAGTAGTCCGAAAATTTAACGTTCGTATGTACAAAAAAAAAAAAAAAACAACTCATTAATATCGGTTAAATATCATAAATCGATATTAATGTTGCGCATTTATTGCTTGCCGATTCCCCTCCCCCCCCCTAAGAAAACGCGGTTTCTTTTCTATATGCGAATTTAATACGGTCGTTTTTCAATGGACTATAATGCAAATTATTTTTTTTTTTTTCTTTGAGTTTTTTTTCTTTTTTTTTTTTTTAGTGGTAGTCCGTATCGAAATCGATTAATTAGATTTAATTTATTGTCTGTATACTGCACGTGCATTGAAAATACTACTCGAATTACTATATATTTGAAATAAATCGTTTTCTCCGACCAACAACAAATCTGATAAATAGAGAAAATAAATTAAATAGTAAAAAACTGAAAAAAAAAAATAACCGTAGATTGGTGTGCATAATTCGAGAAAGCTAATGATAATATTCTGGGTGAGAGTATAAACGCAAGTCATTATTATATTTCAGTGTCCGACGTTTTAATTACTATCGGTTTTTTTTTTTTATACATATAATTTTTTACGCAATTTCCACGGGTACCTTAAACTGCAGCAAATAATAATAATAATAAAAACTATACCTTTCGAAAATCCCATTTTAAGGGGCCCGGTGCCAACTCGTGTTTTGGCTCAAAGACGTGTCTTACGTGAACAATTCACGCGCCTCGTAGGAGTGATAGGATTTCGATTATCATATATATTTGTCGGAAAGAGGAACACTTCAAATAGACCGTATATTGAAGTCATACTTAATAATACGATGAAAAATCCGAATCTCTATAATGTTGTTTATTGATTTCCATAAAAAAAAAAAAAATAATAATAAAATAAATAACATTGACGAGTTGTCCCGATTCCGGCGAAATCATTTTCGTCCGTAAAAACGACCGTACCGCTCGCCTCTAAATGAGTATCGGACAGTGAGTATCGCAGTGGGAGCCTCGTCTTTAACAGGTAGTCGTCGGTGCGTAAAAAAAAAAAAAAGAACAATTTTCAAATTTTACAAAATCGAAGACGGTCGACCGTGAGCCCGGGACCGGGCTCGTCGTCGTGCGCGCGGTCGATTTTCTAACGCGCGGAGCGTACGCGTCCGACAAAAAATTATCGATCGTTTTCTTCGGCAAAGTCGACGAAACGGTGAATGTTATTGTTCGCCGCGGGCCGTGCTGGTTCGATAAAAGCGTCGGCGTAAGAAAAAAAAAAAGAAAAGAAAAGAAGAAGACTGTTTAGACAATGTACACGTGTGAGATCGTATAAAAGTACACACGCGCGCGCGCACATAGCCGAAACCGTTGAACAAACACGCGCGTTCGGAGTAATATATTTTTTCGGACGTGATTCCGCGGCTTTTCCTGAGTACACTATATTAACTATATTGCATTTATAGCCGACGGTTTCGGAATATATTCCGGTAGGATAATAATATCGGAGAGAAAATAAAAAAAGGTTAAAACGTTTAGGCGCGCGTACACGATTAAACAGATACGTGTATACTCGTACAGGGGTTGACGTGAACCGTTTCCGTTTTCCCCCCGCCAAAACCGTGCGAATGTGCCCGTGTACCGAGCGAACGTGACGTTCGCCCTGTAACAACGCGACAGAACGTTTTGCTGCCCGTTAGTTATTCGCGGTCGGCGGGTTTTTATCGGCGTGCTCGTTGTCCGGACACAGTTCGCTCGTTCGAAATCGATCGAAAAAAAAAAAAAACCATTAATTATTTTATTCTATTCGGAACCGCGTTCGTCCGGGTCGGCGTCGTAATCGCATTCGCAGCGACGGATTCTGGCCGGTTCGAGCGCCCGGCGAGCCAACGTCCCCGCCGGTTTTTCTAAAGGTTTTAGACCGGTATTAAAAATTAACGTATATAATATTTCGCATTGTTTAAATAATTCTTTCGCGCAAAAGCGAAATAATAACGGTTTTAAATTAATTTCAAATGCGATAGCCGATCGGACCGCGCCGCGGATTGTTGTTGCGACGTGTAACGGGAATAAATGCCGGAAATTAAAGCGAAACAGCGTTAGGCAATCCAAACCAAAAACCAAGAGCACCGAGCGCAAAAACAATCTGGCGTAGTAGAATATTTCGTTACGCGGTTTTATGGCGAACGTCAAACTCGCGTGGCTGCGTACTGAAGTTACGGGGTTCGCAACTTTAAGGGTTTTCAACTGAACAACGGCAATTGTACAAAACAAAAGCCGTTAATTGCGTACGTTTCTCCGTTTTCCCGACTTTTTTTTTTTCCTATCCTCGGAAAAAATAAAAACCGCGCGGTGAAAATCAAGACGAAATTCGCCACCGGAAACCGACCTTGCCGAATGTCGACGACCGGAGCAGCGAGATTTCCGGCAGAAAAGCTGTTCGCGGAACGGCACGCGGCGTCGCGGCAAAACCGGAAATATGTTTACGAAGACCCGGAACGGAAAGTGGAAAAACCGGGCTTTCAAACGTCGCCGGCCGAACGGGTTCTGCGAACGGCATTGGAACGTCTGACGAGGCGCGGGGCCCGGCCGTCGTGACGCGCGTGACGCTGTCGGAGAACGTCCTCCTGTCGGGCGCGAATCGCGGGGACGCGGTCAAAGCGCGCAGTCGCCGTGCGCGAACGCGCGAACAGCGGTTCACCAGAACACGCGGCGTGGTTTTCTGACCTCCGCGACAGACAAACAAACACCGAACGTCGGCGGCGTGCGAGGCGGACGGTGGGGGTGTTGGCGCCCGGCTGTGTACCCGTCCTGTACACCGGCGCGATAACGCCACGGCTGTTTCTTCTGCGGGCACCGTCCCGATCCCGTGCGGTATTTCAGTCGAGCCCATAACGCGGAACACGCTCGGTTCACAGCGAACGGAAATTCGCTTTTTCGGATCCGGGCGTCTCGGAAACTCCCGCCGTCGGGTCGCGCGCGCCGGGAAAAATTACCCGCGGACCGCGGTTGTTGCTCGCCCGGTATCCGCCGGCGAACAACCTAACCGTCCGCGAGGGTTCGCGGGTCTCTCGGGATCCGACCGTCGAAATACCGTGTGTTTTCGAACCCTATTGGAGACGCGTATCGTCGCGATACGAACCGATATCTCGATTAATAATTGCTGCGTGCCGCGGAACACGGTATTACGCCGTACGGCGCGGTTCGCATAATCGACGATACGGTTTTTGTTTTTTTTTTTTTTAAATTTTATTTTTTAATTCCCACGTTTCACACCGAACGCCGCCGAACCAGAATATCGTATTCCAACGACAAACGCGTATGGGGGGTGGGGGGGGGGCACGGCCTTTCGCAATGTTATATTGGCGCGACGTTGAAACACGTAGACGCGCGTAACGCGGTTATCCGTACAGTCGCGTATTGTCTGTTGTTTAACGGGTTTCGCGCGTATCGAAAAACCGCGTCGTTTTTCTCGACAGATATCGCGTTACGTAACGCGAATTATCATTTCCGACGACGGCGGCGCGCGTAAAAAAACGAATTGAAAAAGTTTCTCGGGTAAATTGACGTTTTGCAAAGTACCGCCGCCGCGGTACCGGGGGCGCGGGGAAACTAAAGCCCCCCCGCGCCGTATATGCGCTGCGTAATAGCGTTTAACTCGGAATCGAACGGGAACGTCGGCGACGGGCGGCAGGGCGTGCCGGGAGTAAGAGCGGACCGAGAACGACGCGAAACGAACGGCGGTCGCGGACAAAAGGGCCCGTGCAGTTTGCGAGGATTTCGCGGGATTGAATCGCGGGGGCGAGGCGCGTGAACGTTTGCCGCTGCGTCGAGTCCCGTACGGACGGCGTTGCGGACGAGAATAATAACAACGATAAAAACATAGCACGCCGCGGGCGCGCGGCAAAGGAAATTTCAATTGCGCGCTCGACGCTGCGAATCGGTTTGAACTCGGATAACGCGCGACGATATCGTGTGTGTGTGTTTTTTATGACGATGCGTTTTGACCGTCCGCAATGTCGATTTTCGGGATTTCGACCGCGAGCGAAAACCGATCGAAGACGGAAAACGGTCTCGTTGGAATTCCGACGGAAACGATAACGTAATGTTGACACGCGGATAAAATTTAACATCGGACGAACGGGATTCGTTAGAGTCGTGTTATACACGATCGATAATCGCGTGTCCGCGGTCGGATATACGCAGAGATTGATGCGCGTTGTGAGAACGAACAATATGCAATTTATCCGGCTTATTATTATCGTCATTAAACCGACGATAATTATTCCTCGAATTTAAACTCGAAATTAATTCACGTCGTATTAATCGATAATAATTACTGTACGCGCGTACGGAGCGATCGTTTTACAACATTCGCAGTTTCAAAAGGTATTGACTCGAACGGGGGGAAAAAAAAAAAAAAAAAAATTGTCAAAGCTTTAGACCGGTACACGCGCCGCTACAATTGTATTACGAGTTGTGATTTTTCTCGCCTTTATATCATAACCTATAGGCACTTTAACGTAAATTCGATAAAGTTACGGGATATCAGTCGAATACATCCTACAATTTGAAATTTTCGATTTTCGTCGGCCCGTTGACGGGACATACCACCTTTGGGTTGGGGAGAGAGCATCGTTGGATATTTTTTTTATCGCGATCCGGTTGACGACCCGCGAAGATTTCGGGTAAAATTGATTTTTTTTTTTTTCGTTTTATAAAACACCGTCGGGGTTATCGTCGGAAAACAGACACGAAATCATTTCGTTACCGTTCGCTCTGCCTTCCTCTGATCTAAAACCTTTAAATACCCAACTCGCGAACGGTATTACGGGTGCCTATGTACGTCCGGCGTTATAGTGTTATTGCAACGATACAAACGTTGATGTTATCATAATAACACGAACTTCGCGTATTATAAACGCATCGTATCAAAACGTGTAGGCGAAACGTATTCCCGATTCGAGTGTGCGTCGCAAAATGCCGCAGGAGGTTCGCTATACTTGAACACCGAAAGCCGCTGGCGCACGCACACGGAATAACAAAATGGTGTAACTGTGTAACAATCATTTTCAAAAAAAAAAAACATTTTGTAGCTATTTTTCCGTCGCAGTCGAACTGTGTAGCATTCTAAATATTAACGTAAATTCGTTGAGGTCATTCGTGAATAATACAGATTTTACTCGTGTGCGCGTGTTCAATGTAATCGATTTAATCCGTTTAGATACGTCGCGACTCAATGCTGTTTAACTCCCCGACACGAGCCGCGCTCAACGGGCAGGTTTGCGAATCGTTCGTTGTCGGCATTCCCGTACGTGTTTGTGCGCTGTTAGTGACGCGCCAGATAAAATATTTTTATTATTATTTTGCAATTGCGTGCGGCGTGTTCCGCGTGTGGCCGAAAAACTACCATCCCGTAAACGATTTAATCGCGCGTACCTTAACGCCGGTCCGTGACAATAATCGCCCGCTATTTGTTATAAACACAATAAAATCGATCGGCGCGTACGACGCGACGTAAAAAAAAAAAAAAAAAACAATACGCGATCGTTTTAATACGTACAATATTTGTTTCGCAATTAACGGACAACGGAAGTACGATGATATTCGATTGTCCGATACCGAGAACGTTAGGTGTATTATTATTATTGTTAGAAAATGTACGCCGTTTACCATTGTGCGACAACGTTTGCGCGCGCGCGCGCGTAATTTAATTTTTTTTCCAATTTGAACTTTCTCGCTATCGTCGTTTTTTAAACGTTTCTCGCCGTTGTAAAATGCGTTCGCGAACGGATTGATAACGAGACGTTTGATGTAACGACGCGTTCGATTTCACGTGACAAAAAAAAAACCCCTTATTAACAAATGATTCGATCGATTTCTATTGTACGACGTACGAGCGATACTACAAAACGTGCCCGGGCACGGTTCGGGACGGAGAAAACGAACGTCGCGATATCGTAACCGTGCTGTTCTCACGATGGCCCGCCCACCCGCGGTCCAATTAAACTCGTCGCGGGTACACGAAGGTGCGCGCGTTCGACGACGGGCGGACGGCGGAAAAAATCACAATCGGACGACGACGACGGATTTGTATTGGTCGTCGCGCGTTCGCGGTCGGGGTACGGCGCGGCCGCGTGATATTTCACGCGGACGACGCGGGAGACTACCGCGCGGTTTCCGGGTGGTTTTCGGACGGATCTCGGACGTCCGCGCCCCGTGTAGAGCCGTGGACCCTTTCGGCGCGCTCGTCGTGCGCGGTACCGTTTCGTTTGCACGGCGGTCCCACCCCCCCACCCCCCCGGTCCGTTCCGGCTTTAGATTCTCAGATACCAGGACGGACAAAATATCTTTGTGATTACGAAATCGACAACGTTGTGCCGGGAATCCGACGTTTACAAAGAAACGGCTCGTTCGTATCGTAATTTCAACAACAATCGTTTTGTAACCGAGCTGCACCACAGATATTATTGGTCGGTCGTTTGCACTGCGCGCGTATTGAATTCCGCGACGTATCGTAACGTTGCCAATTACGTAATTAGCGAAAACTTTTACGATGTTTTTAAAAAAAAATAACTGCCCGAAAATGTAGAACGAGAAAAAAAAAATAATCGCCGTTTCCATTAAAAAGAAAATAACGACGTTAATAAGTTGCACTGCGCGTGCGCGTACAGGGAGTGTTGTAAATCCGAAATCTGCCTGGAAATATTCCCCCCTACGGAAGTCCCCCGTGTTAATTCCCGAAGATCTCATTTCAATCCAAGGTCTTCCAGCTGAAATATGAAGTCGCCACTCGTGAAAACGCGGTCGCGTGGTGTTAATTAACTACGTATATTGTGTAATGCGTATTCGTTTACTTTTAACGAGTGTGTGAAACGAACAAAAAAAAAAAAAAAAAAAAAAAACAAAAAAAAATTAAAATTTTCTAAAANAAATTTTTTTAAAATTTTTTTTTTTTTTTTTTTTTTTTTTTTCTGTACGAATCGCATTGTATATTATTGTATTGGAAACGCGTTTATTCACCTCTTCGCTGTAAACGCTATATACATTATTTTTATTATCGGTGTATAATATACACTGCTGTAGTGTGTATATATATGTATGTGTGTGTATACGTATATGATAATATTATAGTCGGATTATTACGATATAATACAACGATTTAAATAAATGCATTTTGAAAAAAAAAAATGTTATGGATAAAAAAAAAAAAAAAAATAAAGAAACTCCGCGAGCCGTAGCGTTCGACAAAAACAACTGTGCGGATGATGATCCGGGAGCCGCGTTTACACGCGCACGCAGTACGGGCGACGTGAGACGCGTAAGAAAATGTCGTTCGAAGTCCGTTCGCAACAACTGTTCTCGGGGCACCGCCGATGTTCTCGAACGGCGACGCGAACGCAAATAACAAAAATCGTACGTCCGAAATTTCGGATGGCGAAAAAAAAAACCCCGCGCCCGTCAGTTGATTACCGACGCGGTCGACACCGTTATTGTCGTGTACCAACCCGCTAACCGCGTAGGGTTATTTCGGTTTCGCCATGACGTGCGCATTTCGTGTTTTTTTCCTCCCGTCCGTTGACTGCTTGTGTGTTTTCTGCCGTCGGCGATGTTCGCTCCGCGACACTCTCCGGAGCGCCGCGTTTTCCGAAAGCAAATCGCACATCTGACCGGTACACGTCGGGGTGTTCATATTTTTCGATTTTCTCTGCGGTTTTCACGCCAATCGGGAACACCCCGGGCGACAAGTCGCGGGAAAAACGGCAAAGTTCACGGTGCTAACGGTTTTATTATTTTCGATTTTTTTTATTTCCCCCTCTCTTTTTGTCGGTATTTGGCTAAAAACAATCGAAGGACATTAAATGTTCACGGAACACTTACATTTATCTGTTCTAGACGCAGTCAAGTTTTCGATAAATTTCTGACGATTTTTTAAACTGTTTATAGCGTTTGTAATTTTATAGTTTTTAATAATATTTAAAAATCAGGAATAATATATTTACGTACGCGCTGTATACGCGTTGTTTGCGTGTTTGTGTGTGTGTGTTTTTTTTTTTTTTATAACAATTAAACTATTGAATCGAAATCTTAATATCGGTTACTTACTATAAGAACCTACTAATCCAGGTTCTCATCGAGATTCGCCCGAATCGATTGAATTCCCACCTTGTTTTTTTACCGTTTATAAAATCCTTATCGAAATAAATTCAATTTAACGCTCCTCCCGTTTCTCTCCGTCATTATATGAATAATATTACCAATAAGTACCTAGTACACGTAGTACGACGAATATAAAATTCTTTTTTTTTTTTTTTCGGAATAATAATATTAAATTATAATTGTTCGCAGTGGTTCACGGACGAGAATCTAAAGTCAAATGAAAAGCGGCCGGGATCGATATTAATTTTAATGGACGTAAAACAGGAAATACCTGCAGCGTGCAGGCGCAATGGAGAAAACCTTGTTTACAATATTTTATCTCCGGTCGTATCGTTTAGAAAACTTTATACTTGGCGAATTTACATAATGTTACATAAACCAGCAATGTGTCGTTGACGAAACTATTGAAAAAAATATGATACGAGCATTATTATTATATTTAATGAGCCGGTGGTTCCCAAACTTTACACGGTGCCCCGTCATAAAAACGCAACGATATTTTTCCCGCGGTATTCTCGCGGGAAACAAAATGTATATTTTATAGTTGTTGCGGCCAAGATTTGGTTTTTAAGTTATAAAAAAAAAAAAAAACACTTCCCCCGCGCAGTTAAGTGCGGTATAAACGGTAAACGCTGTAATTTGTTCGTATTAAAATAATCTATGGTGAACGCTGTAAAAGACGTCCGAGTTTCAAGTATTTTTTTGAATCGAATTTAAATCGTTTAAGTGCATAATAATATTGTAATTTGGTATACTCGATTCGTCTACAACGACCCAGAAAACAATACATTATCGCGTATCTACAATGGAAATGAGTTTGGAATAATGAAAAAAAAAACTCTAAAAATTACATACCTAGTAGGTAACAACAATATATATTGATCAGACAAAATCGTCGCAAAGGCGCCGTTTTATATTTTCGAATAGTGACGATTTCGAAAATATAATGGCATTTTGACACGACGGCTATTATAATGTACCGACCTATTCAAATAAATAGTTTTAACCGCTATACATAGTTCGTTTTTATTACCGTTCGCGTAGCATAATAACAATGTACCTATGTATTAAAGTTAGGTACCAGTCATTTATAACAACGCCGTACTGTTTCGTTAAATAACCGAGGTTGTTATTATTTATTCGACTTTTGCAGAATGATATCAAATGACGTAAACTTTTCCAGGGCCTATTTCGAGCTAACCACGGATTCATTGTAAAACACTCGTGGCCGGCCAGATCCCCCCCGACAAGACACCGTGACGCGAGGTCCTAAAATAACGTCTTCACTATAAACGTACAATAGCAACGTCCATAGGTGAAGATTTGATACGTTGGGGTATACCGAGGATACCTAGCTCAAACAGAGGTATTAAATTTAGATGGTACCCGCATAATATACAGTCTTCTTACAAACGTACGGCATAGTAAAATATTTACGTTCAGCAGGGACAACATCGTGCTGTAAGTTTTCGTATTGGAGCGAGTTGGCTTACCCATGCAACTTAAAAGTAAGAACGTTATCCGCGCAATCACGTAAGTGTTTCAGTTTTCAAACGAGATGCATGCATTTTTAAACTGTTGTCATTCCCATATCTCGCACAAAAATTGAAATATCGAAAAAAAAACCTCCGTGGTAATAGATCGGTTCGTTCTAATATTAAAACTGTCAGCACAAAGTTGTTTAAACTTTAAAGCATATTTTCGATTTCGCTTATTATACGAAACATAATTTTTAGGGTTGCCCTGAATGATTTCGGGGAGGGGGGAGGCTGAATTTGTTGAGCCGCTCCCAATGTACGTCTACGGGTAATATTCAACAGTCCATAACGATCGAATATGATACTGTGAGTAATCGTCTTTTTATTTTTCGACTTTTCAATTTGAACGGTTTTGAAACAAATGTTTTCTCGCGGTGAAAAAAGATCATCCCTGTGATGCTGTCTACGGTTAAATAAAAAACGTGTACAAATAACTATTCAACCGTGACACGTCTTTGTGACATTCGTAATAATTTCTCTTCCGAACATCACGGACTGTGACGACGGCTATTAATGTTGTATAGGTATTACGCATTGCAACAGTAATTAATTGCAATTTTATATCTTCACTACTTCGCCATATTAAATTGCGCTTATTAAAAAATTATCTAATTCAACGTATTGTAGGTTTGTTTTTTTTTTTTTTTTGTACATATGTCTTGTTACTAAACAAAACAATTGCAACCTAAATAGATTCGTGTTCGCAGAATAGATATGTGCTTACCAGTAATAGTACGTAGGTCTGTACATTTTAAAAACGGATCAATTTTTTATTTCCTCGTATTACCTTTGTTTTTTTTTTTTTTTTTTTATTTCGTTTTGTATTACAGTGACGCGAGAATCGCGGTTTCTCTTCAATTGTTTTCGGTATATTGTATAGAATAGTTTGTTTTTAACGATATCGTTGTTGAAATTGTTCAATTGTTTGGTAATCTAAATACAGGTAATGTTATCAACTTCTTATCAATTGGGTTTACTTACAACAAAGGCGTGTTTAGCGATTACTCGCTAAACTCGCGATTACTCGCCTTGTTGTTAGACATGTTTACCAATTCGATTTCGGTTAACAGTTATCAATTCACAAAAACGATGACAATATATTAACATAGAAGGTTTCTTTAAAAAAAAAAAAACGAAGAAGAAATTACGAAAATATAGTTTTGTCTGATGTCAAAACGAAATTTGGAAACGACTTCATCTCGATTTTACTCTTATAAAAAAAATAATAATAACAATAATATCTATAATCATTATTTTATGAATAACCATTGATTTTGATGGGTTATGATGTTTCATTAACTTATATAACCAGAAGTGATAAGTTATTACTGAGAACCATTGTTATAACGAGAATAACCAATAGAATGCAGTTACCCGTAAAACATTTAGATGTTCGCCAAAACATGCTTTATAATTTGAACTTTCGGTCGATAACAAAACGATAATATATCTAATAGATAGAATGAATCGTAAATAGTATTTTTCGAATCCGACGTTCGAGCATCGCGATCAAAATATATTTGTTTTAAAAATTATACATAACACAAATAACGTCAGTCGTTATGTTATTTCGTTTTTTTTTTTTACTGCGTTCTTCTATTGTGTCATCGAAACGTTAAAATTTGCTCAGATGAAGTCATCAATGAGCTCAGAAAAGAAAATTCGATTTCGTGCGGTCAGTAAGTTGTTTACAGTGGGTCCTACGATTTTGTCCGTGCAACTGTCGCAAAATTATTGCCCGATGTTTACTGTTACATTCAATAACGATTTAAATTTGTTTGTATTTCGGTTTATTAACTTTTAAAATGTCTATCAAAATTATCACGACTATTGTAAATTCGCCATTCGAGTGTGTAACGCTATTATCGTGGGCGCGCGTAGGTTCTCTCGGCCGGGGTAGCAGCTATCTTTGAAATCAAACTTTACACAGAAATCATAAGCACAAATAGACCACTTAGTTTTGGAGGGGGATCGAGGCTTCGTTACGTTGACCGTGTATGCTTAGTAATTATACTTAATGAGGACTTTGTTTCGGGGGACTTGGTTATGTGTTTACGGGGGGAGTCGAAATCCTTCAGAGGTCGCTCTCCCGTTTGCGCCAACGCACAAAACCGAGTGTGCTGCGTTACGGTTTAATGTATTTTTTTTTTTTAAAAAAACGCGTTGGCGGAGAATCGCGCCGCGTAAACCTAACCGCCTCTACCGCCTCCCGCGCGCGCACGCTGATGGTTCGGCACCGAACGGCGAACGAAATGTTTTTAACGCAAAACGGTCAGGTGTTATTATGAAAAATATCGCGTCGACGCGGCCGCGCACGCGGGATACGTACGCGAGGCGCGTGCATTTTTGTAATTGCCGCTGTCAAAATATACGCACAACAAAGCCGACGGCACAACGGCAGTCGTCACACGAATCGTTCGCGCGCCTCTCCGTTCGGCCGTCGTTGCGGGCGCCCCGCGGTACGACTGCGCGTCGGGGCGGGCGGACAGGGTGCAGGCGTACGCGCGTACGCACCCGCTACCCGTCCGCGCCCGCTCAACAGCCCGTCGCGTTCGAAACCGTAACGCCCGCGAGAGAATCAACGACGCCGCGTCGCGCGCGCCGTCGTTACAACGGTCGACACGGGGGTCAATGCGCGACTGTCAATATTTCCGACGTCTTTCGGGGCCGCGAATCGACGCCGCGTCTATCGTCGTTGTTGTCGTCGGATAACACACTCGGATGCGCTGCACGGGAAACGCGTAAATCGTACGCGAAAACCTGACCGACGGCGATACTGTTCGGCGGCGGTAGTGGGTGACGTATACGAATACGACTCGAATCGAAAACCCGTTCGATAAAAAAAAAAAACCGCGACCGGTCCGGATAAACCCGCGGGTCGGACGAGCCGCGGGAGACCCCGAACGGGACAAGGGTACGACTGCGAGAGTGAGCGCACCAACAATACCGATACGGGGTGTCGGGCAGTGTCGGCCGGTATGAAAATGACCGTCGTCATTATCGCTGTGTTTTGTTTTACGCGCGCGAACGTGTTCTACGGCATTTCCGCGTCACGGTAAAAAAAAAAAAACATCGAAACGCGCCCGAACGCGCGCCGCGACCAGCGCGACCGCAAACGGACGCTAGGCGCTATGCGGATACGGGCAACGGCTATCAAGTACACGGGGGCGGATGGGGCGGGGAGGGGGGGNGGGGGGGGGGGGGGGGGGGGGGGGGGGGGGGGGAAGACGGCTCGGGGGCTTTAAAATACGACAACTTCGCAGTTGTTTATCATTCGGCGGTTTTGCATTGAAACTATCCGTATTCGGCCGAGTCGCGAGGAAAAAAAAACGCTCGATTTAGTGATGAATAAAAACACGACCTTTTCCGCGATCCGGCTTTGGAATTCTCGTCGTCCAAATCCGGGAATTCTTTCCGGGAATTGCCGGGTCGCGCGACCGGGTCTATAGGTCTATAGCACGGCTCGGATCACTTTTTCGGTGTACACAATTGATATTTTTCGTTAATTCCCAGAGTGCCGTCGTATTATTGTTGTCGTCGTTCAAACATGTTTCGAGAAATAATGTGTTTTGCGTGTGTGTTTTTGTGACGCAACTATTATGACGCGAATCGCCGTCGACTTTTTTTTTCCTATTACCGACAGGCTTTGAATTTCGAGTCGCCGCAAAATCGTGCGTACATCTATTATTTGCTGACCGTGGTTTTTTTTTTTTTTACGTACGATCGATTATTGTTTTGTAATCGGCAAACAATTATTATTTTCCTTTCAAATCGTACGATTTCGAGGAAAAAATATACGCGCACACACACACATTTCGTAATATGACAGGAATATAGTCTGCGTAAAAAACACAAAAAACAAGAACCCTAAACTAAACATACATTTTTTAATCTTATCTAAGTGTAAATGATAAATATTTATATTAGTATCCGGACGGGCGACCGGGATAAATCGTTAATAATATTTTCTTTTATTATTATTACTGGTATACGTGGTAGATTTTTTTTTTTTTTTTTTTTTTATTGAATAAACTAACCATGGAATACGAATGCTCTGTAATAAATAATGTTATCATCATAAAATATTTCGGAATTCGTATCCCTCCGCGTGCGTTTTATATCGAAATTGTATTATCGCATAAAATACAGTTTTTTTTTTAGATTTCTGTTTGTCGACTAAAGAAAATATTTTTATATTGTTTTTTTTTTTTTTTTTTTTTTCTCTCTAATAATTTATGAAGGTGATGCATACATACAGTTATCGACTATTTCGCGCATATCGATTATTATAATACTCACTCTTGTGTTTCGAGTTGCCTTTCCATATAGATTTAAGAGACAGCGGCATGATGGTCGAGCGTCTGCGGGCAGTGACAATATACGGAGTATTGGATACGACGGCGGACGGTGTGCGTAATATATTACAGTGTTATAGTGTTAATGTTGTCGTTACAGAATTGGTATTGCGCGTGATCGTTCTGATCGTGAAAAATAAAAATGAAAAAAAAAAAAAAAATTAAAAACACCGGGCACTCGCTAACAATAATGTTTGAAAATATCTGTTGTTGCGACTGCTGCGGCGCGCGAGGACGACGGCGGCACGACGGGCAAACACACACACAACCGTCACGAGCGCGCTCGTGTATTATTATTTTCCCCCGACCGCTGAAGAGCTCGCGCAAACTGTCGGAACACTCGCCGCACACTGACGCCACTGACGGTGGCGTGCGCGCGTGGTCCCGCTCTCTCGCCCGCCCGCCCCGACCTCCCGGCCGCCAACACCACCGCCCGCCCCTCCACCACCNNNCCCCCCCCCCCCCCCCCCCACCGCTCCCTCAAGCTTTCTCCCCCTCGCACCGTCTCTCTCTCTCTCTCTCTCTCGACTCCTGTCATCTTCGCACGTCCTGTAGCGCATAATATTATCAACACATTACGCAGCTATATGATCTATAATAATAATATTATTAAACGCCCCGTCCGCTTGCAGCGTGTGCATCGGACGAAAACACAACCGTGATGCACAATACGAATTATCGTGCGACAACTGCAGCGGTTCTTTTCCGCGTCCCGACGGCTTGTGCGGTAGACAATAACGCCGTAGTGTGCGATCGTTTTTTTTTAAATGTATTTTTCTGTTTCGATTTACGTAGCGTCGGGTTAAAATGCAAATTTTACCTGCACAGTGTATTTAGGTACGAACAACGCGACAATAACGTTTGAACGAAAACAATTTAAAAAAAAAAAAACCCGTTTTTAAATAATTCGTTGAAATGTTTTTTTATGAATAATAATACGCCTACGTTCACTGGGGTTGACGGGTTACGAGTTGCCGAGTTAAACGAAGCAATTTTCTCAATAGATTTTTTTTTAAAAAAAAGTAATTACAAATCGAAAAAATAATAAACGACGTGGCTTTCGTCGACTTAATATGATTTTGACATTTTCGAATCCGAGTAAAAATTTAAGCACGTAACGCACTATTAACAAAATGTCCATAATGGCCGATTCTCCTAAAAATATTCAAATACATAATTGTTTGCAACATGTACTTATGTATACTAGCCTTTCGCTTTGTTATTATTATTTTTTTTTTTTTTTTATTTCTCAACACACTCACTTAATACCATAATAATGCCACTTGGCGTGCAATTAACAATAGTGATATTAATAATATACAAATATACATTTTAACTAAAGCAATATTCATCTAACGTCAAATACATGTCTGTATAATATTATGACATATTGTAGCACTCGCAAAAAAAAAAAAAAAGTTACTTTTAGTAAATTTTATGCGGTGCGCGCGAACCGACAACAGTTGACCTAGGAACGAGACGCTACTGCTTGAATCGGCTTGCGGGGTCGTACAGTGACTGTTACTGTCTTAAAGAGAGTTCGCATATTATGTGTAATACCTATACTGTAGCACAGTAATTTGAGAGGAATTTGATGCACCGTTTTTTTAAATGTTGCAAAGGCGAACACTAATATAATTCATTGTAAAATATGATGAGGTTTTTTTTTTTTTTTTTTTTTTAGCATGTGTGTAAAAACAGTTTTTCGACCAGATATCGTGTTGGAATCAAAAACTTTGCAGGAGGTTTCTGGAAGACATTTTAGATTAGCTGATCGAATGGAGCGGAGAAACGTATGGTTTTACAAAGATGTTTATTTATTTTTTATTTTTTTTTTGTGAACAACTTGTCTATCAGCAATTTGGCTCTGATTTACAACAATAGCACTTATTTTAAAAGGAAATCTGACTGGAATGGTACTTTAAGGTTTGATTTTCCTAGGGTTTTTTCCCTCAAATGTGAATACCCGAGGAAAAAACATAGGAAAACCGTGAAAAACGTCGGAAAAACTGGAAAATTGGTTTATGAAACTAATATTATTAAAGAAAATATACAATGGATTTTTAATTATTTTACCATAATATGACGTATATATTATTGACGAAGCATCTCTATCAACTGAACTACGTTCAGAATCGTTTTTTCGTTAGTTATGGTTTATCGTTACTTACAGATATACATTAATTTACCCATAACAGTGACCGCACCCGTTCTCATTATCATAAGACGTCTTTTTACCTATAGTTGGTACACTGATAATTTATTCTGTGTAATCCCTAGGAAACGGATTTATATGTGTATAAATGCATATTTTTATCAAAACAATATATTTAAGATGTGATAATAAATGTTCACGATTTTAATCATTCTTATTAAAACGACGCCAATTTTATTTTACATATTTTTACATATTTCACTAATTTATGTATATTTTTTTTTAAAACATTTTATTATTTCATCATTCATACGTTTTCAAGCCATGTTTCAGTGAAATAAAACAGCCACTTATCCTTTATTATCATATATTGCCATTGTCCTATATTGTTGATTTACATTTTTAGTCGTTTCCTTGCACAAAAAATATGTCCTTAAATAACAGTATGCAAATTGTCGATTTAACGATAGAAAAATTAAAACTAAATTAAACATTTCCTTCCCCTCCCCCTCTCTATAGTTTGATGTTTTTAACACGTATTTTATAAATATTATACTTCCATATTTATGTACATATTTTTGTATTTTTATTTCGTATATAATTCTGTTCCCTAGCAATTAAAATTTAAAATAGTTTTCAATTTAATTTGATCGAAACACGTTTAATCGAATTTCGCTGAAAATTGTTTTTCGTTTGCAATGGTTATTATCGTTGCGATAGAATATTATATAAACTAAATTTTCCTTTATATGTTTTTCCCGATTTCCCACCTACAAAATTGGCCAAGTCACAATGCGAAGTACATATCTATATATCTCTTTGTTTTTAGTCCATTTCTTTATGGATCAAACAATAAATAAATGAATAGATAGGTCTAAACTACACTGTTTATAATATATTCTGAACATAATATTTAATGATCAATATATAGTAACCTTTACTCGATATTAGAAAAAAATATTACAGATTAAATAGATTATAATAATATGAACGTAACACTCCTGGAGTTTGGACGATTTATTTTTTTTTTCAACTATGTATATACTATCAAATATCGTGTGTTTTTTTTTAAAAATGTTAACTAGGTATATTAATTAAATGAAAAAAAACGAATTAAGTAAAATTATTGGCATATCTGAACCGAATGCGTTTTTGTTCACACGAGATAAGGTAGGCACGAGTTGCGCAATGTATAGTATAGTATTACAAATAAGAATAACAGTTTGCGAATGAAAAAAAAAAAAAAAACTAGAACAAAGACGATAACAATAATTTATTGTATACGGACAAAAGTTACACGATTAAAAATTATATAAAATATAAGTATTATTAGATTTTATTACATAAAATATGATCATAATAGTTTACGGATATATGTATTAGAATGTAATTGTATAATTATTCGAAAGGCTGAAAAGGATAAAATTAGAAAAACCAAAACAAAACAAAAATGTATTGTACTCGTAATATATTATCGCAATATCAAACAAAATCGTTAGAATATCAAAATACAATTGGCGGTTGCACAATTTCAAATATGTTTTTTTTTAGATTGTCGATTTTTTTTCTATCCATGTTAATTAGTACATGTATAATAATGACCTATGCTTATCATAGGTACACTGCAAACATGCTTTCAGTGTAGTTGTCCTTAACAATAATGCACGTGCGTATTAGATAATAATGTATTAATTTTTAAAAAAAAAAAACCGGACACACTTCATCACCACACCACGCATAAGCCTCTAATGTAGGTTAGAAGTCGGGAGGTATCCCGCGAAGGTAGCACATAGTTGTAATATTTTGTTTAAAAAAAAATTAACTAAAATTTTTAAACGAAATACATAAATATCTGTGCTTTTTTGGCTTATTAAAAATATATTATGTTCAACCAATGTACAACGGGTGAAATTTTTGATGGAAGAAAACCCACCCAGTGGTGGCACTACCATTTTTGTTATTTATACTTTAATTACTATTTCAAAAGACCACGGCACCGATTTATTTTGAGCCGTCTCTGAGGGTCACCGGGAATTGTGGGTGTGGCTAGGTAAGGTATAAGAAGGTTGCAATGTGAAGGGTGTTTAGAATGGATCCTTTTATAAAATGCTACTGCTTCTTCGCTTCACAGTTTTGATTTTTAGGTCTATGTGGAGAGTTCGATTAGCCTAAAAATTGTAAAAATAATATGCTATTCGATATTCGATTCCGAGAACGTTCGGCTTGCGAATATCACTGTGTCATCATTTAATCGGTATTCAATAGACTTTTTATCATGTATTTAAATAGTGGTGCTTAAGAATCGAAATTATTTGTTTGAATAGACAAGAAATCCGGCTTAAAAAATTCTAGAAAAAAAAAAAAAATCTTTTACGTAAATGTCGATTTTCAACAATAAAATTCATGTTAAATTTAAAGAAAATCACTTAAAACGTCTGGTCGCGTGTTGGGTCAAGCTGAAATATTCGACTCGGCAAGTAAACATAAAGCGTGAATATTAAAGTAATTTTAAAGGTTTAGGTACGTGGGCACCTATCGCATCCCCCTAGTCACGGCCCAGAATAGCTTCATTAAAGTCATTTTAATTTACGGTGGAATTATGTATTATCTTTTATTGATATTGAAAATATAGTTTTTTTAAATCACGGACATGCTTTTATGGGCAACCAGTATCACAAGTGATTTTATGGGTGCATCGTGTGCCGCACCTAAAATTTCAGCCATATTTAGTGGTTTTTTGACGATTCGATAATATAAGATTTACGTACACAAATATAATCATAGTTTATTGTGTCTAATGTTTTGTCGAATGTTCATTTTCATTTTGTCAGTAGTCGTAATCCCGTGACATTATGACGATAACCATTCGGTTCATAATTTATTGGACAAATGATAAAATTAAAATTGAAGACGGGTGAAAATATTTCGCATACGCGTTTAAAATAACAGTTTGATATTTATGAAGAAGGTTTTGATGAAAAACATTATTAAAAAATATACCACGTACGTATAGGTGTTCCAAAATGTGGTACTTCATTTCGTTAACGGTATCACATTGGCTACACAATTCTAAAAGGATCGCTAATTTTCAAACTTTTCTGAAAAGTTCAAAGTTATTTGTCACAATACCTGTTACAAGTTGCAGTTTTGAACGTTTAGTCTCAAAAATATCAATTTTTAAAAGTAAACTTCGAAC